GAATAAACAGCCTAGCACAAGCACAAATATCAGGAGTGCAATGCTTGTCTTTCCCATTCCCACTTAATGTCCTCTGATGGCAAACATTACTATTGGCATGTATGAACAAACAGCAGTTGACTTCTTTTGAAAATGCAATTGTCAAAATTTAAAGTGCAGATTTTTTAACTACAGTCCGCTTTTGTTAGCTGCATGAATATGCAATCTAACAGTAGAAAGCAGCAAAGTGATCTAAAGATCCTGTCACATTCCTGCCAACAATCAGCGAGTGGCAGCTCTCTCTGCTCAGCGTCCTTGGCAGATTGCTGCACTGTTTGAAAAGAGGAGGTTTAGCCTTTTGAGGCACTCGGTGCAAATTTTTGTGAACACCTTGTTTTTGCTAGTTTTGTCAACAAGTGGTAAGGAAAAAGAAGCATGCACCAAAGTTAGGATTAATTGAACATCGCACATAATAAAAGTGTCTTCATTCAAGCTCATTCTGCCATCTACTGTTGCAAATGATCACTTTGCTGAAAGCACCGACATGTTTGATGAATCGTACCATGCGTTTGATGCTATTTATAAGATTATAGACTTATATGATTTATAGATTTGATTATTACAAACATGTATTAATAAAAAAAACCAAATATTAATCACAATTTAATATAGACAAATTACTATAAAACATGTGAATCAACATATTATGAAATTAATCTTGTTGCCGTACCAACCTTGCAATAATGTTACACAAGTTTGACTCGTTTACACAGTTCTTCGTAGGTCACAGTTGAAATGGTTCAAGTCAGCTTCGCATGCAACCCCCCCCCCCCCCCCCCCCAATTATAAAATTTGACATATTGCCCAGCTCAGTTAGAGCATGAAGGAAAGAAGAAACAGCACAGAAGGGAAAAACAGGCAACAATATGAGCACTATAATTTGGTTGAGATGTTTACAGTCCATTCGCCTATACACCGAATAATTGTAGTAATGCTAAATGAATCGCTTATAGCCCCTTCCAAAAGTACATTGTAGAGAGGAAACAGTGACCGAGACAACTATTTTAAATAAGTTCACTGCTGTTTCAGGAGTTGTTGCTGCAAAAGGGCATCCCGTCACGAGCATGTACACCTAAAATAAAGTCCACTCAAGAATTTACAGTCATTCAGTAAGAATGCTTATGCAGCCGAGTACGAATTCATTGCTATTATGTGGCCAGTCTGACCATGCTTCCATCCCTATATAACAGTGTGCAGGGCTGTAGCATCACACCTATGGCCTTCGGCAAACACAGCTCACGTATCTAGAAACTCTTTTGTTCCAGCACAGTCATTGCCACGACTCCTCAGACACTTGACCCATTAAGGCCCAGTGTGCTTTACTGAGTACACTTCCCGTTTCAGGAATAAAAAGTAGAATATTCTGTTCTTGCTCATTGGCACTGCCGTACGCCAAAGGTCACACCAATATAATCCTGACTTGGCCTATTGACTCTGTTCAATTTTTAGTGTTCTACGAGTCATTAAACTTTAGGGAAACGAAAGCATGTCAAGCACACATGGCCAGTACTCCTTTTTATAAATTTGTTTCAGGTTTTACAATTTATACGTAAAAAAAAATTAATTGCTTGTGGCTCAGCAAGAACAAAATAATCCTTGCACAATGCAAGAAGTGTATAGAGCGCATTGTTCTGCTCCGAGGGGTCATCAAATGTTGGTGTAGACGCATAGTACAATGGGACTTGGTGGGAGCACATGCGTACCTATTGTTGTACGCTGCCATGGTAGATTGAACCACATATTTTCTTTAGAATAATGCCATTCTTTCGGTTATTTGAGACTTATGAGATTGCGACAGATGCCACTGTGAATATTCGAAAGCCTGTTCACGTTATCAATGTGGCTTCTGACCCTAACACAGATACTTATGAGGAGAGGAATGAAGGCGGTGCGAATAGACACTCTCTGCCAACAATAAAATAAAGGAACGAAAGGAAAAGGGGGAATATAGTATCCGTTTTGATCTAAGAAACAATTTTGTTTGGTAACGGACAAAGGCATAGTTTCTATGCTGCTGAACGACAACACAGTACTGATGCTCTGTAACCAGGTGACCATCCACTGAAAGAAGAAAAACAAACATAGTGCTGTTGTTGCCAACCCTCTTCAGCCGCTCTAACAATGGCACGACAGGGGCCGAGCTCTACGACCATGCTGTGAATAACTACCGATTATTCATCTCCGAGAAAAAGTGGTGCCAGCCCTTATTTACCGCTAATGGATGCCAGCGTGTCTAGTGCAATTCACGCAAATGATCACTAAAGTTTATCACTAAAGAGTATTTCGGAAGATGACTGAACGAGAATTTGTTTTCAACCAACATGATTTCACTTGAAAATCTACATCATTTATGTTTTTTCGTACTTTGTCTTGTACAATATTTCTTATGCCACACAAGTGCAGACTTTATATTATACAATATTTATTATGCCTTATATTTGTCTACTTCGTTTTACACACTATTTCTTATACCTTAGATCTCTGTTTTTACAGTATGTTGTGCTACCATTGTATCAATGTTTGTGCAAATATTGTAACCACACTTACCGTACTTAATAGTTCTCATTTGTACATAACCATCCTCCTATTCTTTCTGTTTCGAGTCGAGGTAGATACTGCAAAATTAATGGTTCTGCTGCCCTGGTTTGGTGAGCATGTTAACTGCTTCCATTTTTATATTTACTTGTTACAACCTTGTGTTTACTTTTTTCGCTACAGTAGTAGCACTTATTTTTTAAGTTCCTACTATCAATCATGCAACATTTTTCTGCACTAAAATGCATTAACTTGGGAACTTTTGCATATGAACCAAATTTTGAACTTCAATCACCTATTCAATAATCCACAAGTTCTTTCAATGTGCATTTGTAAACTGCATTTAGAAATTATGCATCAATATTTTTCAAAGTTGAGTTTTGTTTAACTGTGTACTTCATTCTTTCCCATTTTGCACAGTTTCCCAGTGAAGTTATCAAGTGAAATTGCACAATGTTTTAGTAGATTCACGTTGCACTTTTTATACTGCGTTTTAAATAAAAAGCTTCACTGGCCCTAGCCAAGGAAGTTTCACAGAGTATCTCTGCGTAGCCTTGAAGTGAAGAACCCTGTGACAAGCCACGCTAATTTAGTTGTGGCATTGCAGTTTCACACGAGCCTAAAGCCACTGCATCCTTCAGCTCAGCTCTAAGCATGCCCTACCTCAGCATTCAAGATGAAAATGCAAAGAGTGTGGGCATCTGCCCGCAGAGCACGTCTCAAATTTTGTTTGAAAATTCTCACTAGCATAACCATGCTTAGCCAGACTAAGCCTGCAGCAATTTTTTTTTCTCCCTCAGAAACTTGCAAACTAAGTTCTACTGTATTTCATGATGCTATAGAAACAATAAGTGAAGTCATAATTGATGCTCATTTACCCCGAGTATCTTTGCTTCAAGGTACAGTATGGTCCACTGTTAAAGGGAACACTCGAATGAATGCACGCCATCCATACTCCTGGCCCTATAAGAGCAAGTGGATCAAAACATTCTACATGCAAGTCAATAGTCTGCCAAGAGGATCAGAAGGGTTGCTGATCGGGCGAGTTGGTCATCCATGAACGTAGCGTGTATTAGCGCAGTACATAAAAGAAAGAGACACGACACAGACGTAGAGATAGATAGGCGCTAAGCTTTCAACTGTTTTGAAATAAACAGTTGGAAGTTTAGCGCCTACCTATCTCTACGTCTGTTTCGTGTCCCTTTCTTTTATGTACTGCGCTAATACACACTACGTGCTAAGAGGAGTCGGAACTTTGAACCACCAGTAGTCTTATGCATATCTAAGCCGTTATGATTCCGTAAAATAGCGAAATCTAAACATGCTGCTCACGCAGGTGTTCCCTTTAACAGTGGACCCCTCTGTACCTTGGGTTATAAGAGACCCCATAGCGGAGGGCTCTGTATAATTTAAGACCACCTGGTGTTAAACTTGGTACTCGGCAATTGGCCTGCATGAGAACGCGACTGCTGTGGCTCGTCCGGGTAAGCAGCCAAGCACCGTGACCACCGCATGACATTCACACAATATGAGTGTGCATACAACTGTAGCTCCAGTAACATGTGCACTCACTGAGCTCAAACACATCTTTAAGTTTGTCATTGCAAGAGTGCTAAGCCATTCATTCCCTACTCGGATTGATTGATTTGTGGGGTTTAACGTTCCAAAACCACTATATGATTATGTGAGACGCCGTAGTGGAGGGCTCCGGAAATTTAGACCACCTGGGGTTCTTTAACGTGCGCCCAAATCTGAGCACACGGGCCTGCAGCATTTCCGCCTCCATCGGAAATGCAGCCGCCGCAGCCGGGATTTGATCCCGCGACCTGCGGGTCAGCAGCCGAGTACCTTAGCCACTAGACCACCGCGGCGGGGCCATTCCCTACTCAGACACACTGCATTGCGTCAAATATGAACCACAATATATGAAGGAAAAAGGAGGATTGTCATGAAAATCCCACACACAAAAAGAATGGTGATGTGCAAAAAAGAAAAATATGCACAAGTTTCTTCACTAAAACATCCAACAATAAAAAAGAAACAAAAACAAACTAGCAAAAAAAAAATAATCTTAATAATCTTTGAGAAGCAATTGGAGCTTACTATAAAATTCTCAACAGACACTGTCAAAGACAAAAAAAAAATAAAAAACAGTTATGGTGAGGGGCTGGGCCTTCCTCAAGTCGCAGACCGAATTTCAAAATGGCAGCAGGACAGTTTGCCAAGAATTTTATGCGATTCCAATGCTTTGAAAGATCTTGCAGTCCATCAACCAGAAAAAGAGTCCCAGACAGAGGAATTCAAAGAACTCGGAAAATGTTTTCTGCAAGTTCACTACGAGAATGACAACTCTGGCACAACTTCTCAACATTTGGTTTTGTCCCATGAGTAGCAACCCTAAAAAAATGAGTAGGGATCAGACAAGCTTTTTGTATGCAATGCACTGTATTTACTAAATCTGCATTTGTTACGATACGGCTCGACCGTAATGCATGAAGAGAGACAGAGCAGTTGTATGAGACGGCGTGGCATTCGTGTGTTTATTGTGGGCACGGCTTCACGTTTCCAGGTTGTGGCCCGGGGCATATTTCGCGCTGCACGAGGAGCCGTGAAACTGGGTGCAGATACGGCACCATTTGTTAGCACACCGGGCGCTTTGATCGTGACGCGTGCGGTGCTCTCGACTACAATAACTTTGCGGCAAGTTCGTGGTGTGTCGCCTCTCCTACGCACTCCTTGAAGGGTGTAGAGGCAGGTGGGGAACTCTCCAGTCACCAGTTTCCACACACGCACATACAGAACAGAGTGTCCCATACACAAATGTCCGTAGCACATCTCCAAGAACCCTGAAAGAGTCGCTTCAAAGCTACCGTTGCATAGGCACCATTCTCTTACGCCTCTTATCCTCCAACCGTTTTCACACTGTAATACAATACCACATACACTCCTCGTATCAACATAAACAATCATTGGTATGCCAAATATGTTACAAACGTAATGACTGCACAACTGGTCACTGCATTTCACTTGTCTACATGTCTACACCGGATGAAAGAAAGAAATTGTCATATGGAAAGCGCTTGTTTTTAAGCAACATACAGGCCATCACAAGGCAAAGCACTTGCCACACACTATGCGTGGAGGCTCTCTCGCGTTGCACCCAAAGCAGGGAGACCATTGTCAGTATTTGGCACTGTCTTCACTCAACGCCTCCTGCTTTGGCTGCAACACAGAAGGGTCCACAACGCACGTCGCGCTGTCAAAAGGGTAACCGTGCCATTCGCCCATACCGTACAATAAAGTTAAGCACGGCCTTGGCAAATGTGACTACCATCTCGACCACAACCTGCAGCGAGCTGCGCCGATTATGTCGGCATAAAAAACGTGCGAGGCTCCACGCGTGCCTGCGGTAGACAATGAAGAATACAACACAAACATTTCTGTCCATAGTTGCCAAAGGACTCACTAAAGACTAACACGCATGATATGCAGAGCGAGAGAAAAAAACAACAACAAAAAGTTGAAATGCCATTTATAGATTCACAGTCCAAACAGAACACATTAGTGAATAACAATAAAATAAACCTAAGATGAGGCAACCCGGCTGGAGACTTTTCGAGTCAAGTGGGTATTTCTTTTTTTTCCCCCTGTATTTTGTAACCTTAACGTGGTATGAGCAAATGCGCAACTTAATGCTTCAGCAAAGTACAGAACATGCAACTTCAGCACTAAAAGTAAGCTCTCACACAGTGGCTGTCTAGCCAAGAACAAAAAGAAAAGATGGCAGAGCAACACCGAATAAGTCGTACATGAAGGGTATGCAAAAATGATCACGGCACAACAGTTCATTCACTCGGGTCTACAGAAGTACCAGGCATTTTGCAGAACATCATCAACGGCTTGGTAGACGGCAAAAGGTGTTTGAGAAAGCTGGCCTGACGGCTGCAGTCTTTTTCGTAGTCCGGCAAGGGCAAGGCGTCTCTCTGCAGTTACGCACAAACACAGGGGCAGTGACGACATCAGGAGATGAAGGAGGGGGGATACAACACAGCGGCGATACAAAACCACGTCGTTGCGGCGGCGGCAGCGTATGAGAGACCAACTGCATAGCACGACAGAGCCAGCTGTCGGGGGTGAGTGGAGGGGGAAGGTCTCCCTCCACCTCCCCAATAAATAAAAAGGGGGCCGAACACCGGCCGGTTCTCTAGTGTTTTTTGGCACTTTGGTCGGTTCACCCTGTGCACGACGCATGCGTAGCACATACACGCCCACACACACACACTACTGGCAAGTCCAAGTCTCTGCATGTGCTCAGTTGACCAGCAGGGTGTGCGACTCCATGGGAGCAGCCGAGTCGTACAGGGTGTCTGTGTCCTGGGTCGGTTCGCCCTGGAGCTGACACTGGTTGCTCAGGGTACCAGCACCGCAGTCACAAAAGAACCTGCATCAAACGTGGCATTGTATACATGCACCTCACAGTTGAGGTAGATGCGTCGAGGCAGTGACCGCAGTAGCAAAAAATGTTGAATTCCAATGGCAGAGTCTGAGCAGCTGCTGGACTCTATGAGTGAGCACTCGGCTCTGGCACACAGCAGTGCCTCGAAATCCGTGACTGGAACATAATCCACGCTGCCAAAGGAAGCATGAGAGCAAGCAGCAAGTGGAAGTGCTTGAATTGCTTACAATATGCTGCTGCATGGTTATTCCAATCCGCTAAATACGCTGTCAAATTCCCACTCATACACTGCAGTTTCTGCGTCCCTGTCACTATCCGATAAATAGCTCACGCAGAACCTCGAGTTTTCCAATTTGGAGCTGTCATTATTCAGCAGCGGAAGTAATTCCACACGAATATTCCAGTCACCCGGCCTTGCTGTAAAAATGTGCAACACCGGTGGCGCCTCCAAGCGGGCATGTGTTAAAGGACGTATGTCACGCCGAGTACCGGTTCACTCTGTCAATTTTAGCAGAGCAACTCTTCCTTTTCGTCCACAGAGGGACTGCCGCTCTGAATCCATGTGAACTCTCACATTAGCAACACTCGACTCCCGCCTCCACAGGATGCCATTGAAACACACTCACTCCAAAAGGATAGAGATACGTGAGGTTTAATACCACAAAACCACCATATGATTATGAAAGACGCAGTAGTGAAGGGCTCAGAGAAATTTCGACCACTTGGAGTTCTCTAACGTGCACCCAAATCTGCATTCTCGCCTCCATCCAAAACGCAGCCGCCGCAGTCGGAATTTGATACAGCGACCCGCGGGCCTGCAGCCGAGTACGTTAGCCACTAGACCATCGCAGCGGGGCCGCTCCAAAAGGAGCAGAAAAGCTTGCTCCATAACCACCATTAAAATTCAACAAAAAAACATGAGAACTCCCCCCCTCCCCCCTTTTAAAGTCTGCTCTAGGGCGCACATTCCTCCATTAAGACCTGGCATGACTCGTCTATCGTAACCCAGTGAATGAAACAAAAGATGAAAGCAAAGGCAGAGGTGATGGCAAAAGTGTCAGGGGGAAAGCAGTGTCTTCAAGGCCAAGAAGGAATTCGTGTAATCAAGGCCTAAGCTTATAGCCACCACCAATGGACACATCAAATGAAAACGTGCGTACAAAACTTTGCATTAGGAAGTCTGTAACTGCCGGTAATTTATGTATTAGGCAGCACTTTGCATGCTCCCACCTCCACATTATGTTCACACAATGTCACACATATCAAAATGCTACCCGATTACCAGAAAGCTCTTAATATTATTATAAATGCTTTGCAGACAGAACACCAACACAGTGGTGAGAAACATGCAGATTAATCAATGATGGCTTACTCTACAACACAGCCACAAACATGAGACACCATGGGATTTGTAGGAGCATAAGGTAGTCACGAATCACAACATTGGTGATGCTAGTTCAACTCTTGAGCAAGTGCTTATGTCATAATAATTTTGCATATTCAAATCTTAAAGCGGATTCCAGGAAGTCAATTTAAGAATCCAAGAAACCAATTTATGAGGCTCAATCTCAGAGCAGTAGTACTATGGACAAGGAGTTGGAGTATCCGGAATTATTAAACGGAACGAAATTATTAAAATAAAATTTTGTCCATAAAGAGTATGGCTATCAGAGAGAGGTTACCTATGATGGCCCCTAATTACAAGACAGCAAAAACTCGTAAGAGATATCTATAAAATAGTGCTAATTAAAGGGCTAACTGAACAGAATTTAAGAGAAAACACACTTTTAGTTCTGTCCACCAATCTTGATGTGATGGCAGCGTGCATAAAAAGGGCCCCCACATAAAGACACTACAATCAACCAATACTAGGCTGTGTATACTAAGATGACAAACAAACGGAGTGCTCACCTGTCGTGCCGTATGAACTCCACTTCATGACCCGAGTGGCATGTCTTGATGCAATTGACACAAATGGCATTACGGTCGGTCGTGTTGCACGTCTTGCAGCTGCAACAGCATGGATCAACAGTGTCAGGCTTGCCCTTGATATCAAGATCTAGGAGCAATAGGTAATCTAGGAGGTCTTTAGAGGGGAAGGACGCCAGAGACCGAACTTCTTTATTTTCAATAAGATTGATTTGATATGTGGGGTTTAACGTCCCAAAACCACCATATGATTATGAGAAACGCCGTAGTGGAGGACTTCGGAAATTTCGACCACCTGGGGTTCTTAAACGTGCACCCATATTGAGCACACAGGCCTACAGCATTTCCGCCTCTATCGGAAATGCAGCCGCCGCAGCCAGGATTCGATCCCGCGACCTGCGGGTCAGCAGCCGAGTACCTTAGCCAATAGACCACCGCAGCGGGACTATTTTCAATAAGATACTTAGATGGAACCTTGAGAATATGTTCACTACGCTAAAACTTGAGGAAGTGCCAAGTTTTATGAAGCTGTGTTAATTAGTTCCAGTGTTATTGAGTTCGCATGTACGCCTGAAAAAGAACCCATTTTTATATATCAGGGCACTGTAAAGCCTTTTTTGGTTTACTCTCCAAAATATTTAGCGTGACTTTGAATTCAATGTAATGACCCCATCCAATAAAAGTCAACTGCTTGTTATAAATTATTGCAGGAATTTTCAGAAAAAAAAACCTTGTTCAGGAACTAAATAGAAAATACAGAAGACCAATCCGAAAAGTGGTTCTTGAGTGATATCTTTCCTAGCACCACAACTAGCAAAAAATCCTTTCTGATAAAACAGGCCTTGAAAGTTTCCAGTGCATTTTTGGGCTTAAAATGACCCTGCAATGGAATTAAATCCCTCTAGGAAGATCCTAGCACATTTTATTCTTTGTTGAAACATGACAATTACTACATCTCAATACCACCAAAAATGCTGTTTATCCTGGCAACCAGACTGTACACTTACCGGTAAAAGTCATGCATGGGAAAGCTGGTGTAGCTAGAGATCTTGTACAGGCATTGGCCGCTCGTGACCGCCTTTTCAACTGCATTGTGGTTGTCAAAGATCCGGTTCCCTGCATTCCATAGAAAAGCCACCAAACACCAAGCTTGTAGAAGCATTCACTTGGGCATGCTGACAATCCACAGAAACTTCATAACACCCGTGCCCTTTAACACCTGTGCCCTTTAACACCTGTGCCCTCCATTACTCGATAGCGATGGCTAAGGCAGCCTCATTGCCATCGCTATAGAGTAATGGAGGCGCTCATGCTTGCTGAACAGCGATGCTTTCTGGTGGTGCCAAGGTGTGTTTTAGACTTCGTCAACGTAATATCAGGTTCTGAAAATGCATCAAAATGTTAAATATTGGGTTTACTGTAGCATAGCAATAAATAAGCCTGAAATCGCATCGTGAAATTTCACTGAAGCGGGACGGCAGAAGAAAAAGTGTTCGTTGTGGCAACAATATTTGTGCATTGACTACTATGGACTACTGACAGGGAACCGTGAATTTTTTGTTGTAGCGGGGATTTCGTTGAAGCGGCGTTCGTTGTAGCAGGGTTCGACAGTATTGCGCTTCTTAAACATCCTACATTGTTTCTACACTGTCACCAATGTTTTGGTGCTTCCTGCTTAGATGCTAATTAGGCTGCAAACAAAGGACCCAGGTTTTATATTGACTGTGGAGTATCTTAGAAACTACTTGACTAATCAAAAAAAGTAACTACATTTTTAGAATATGCACATTGTGGAGATCTGAGGCGCGCCTGCAACCATTTCGCAGGCATTCTGCCGTACGACTACTCCTTTTCCCTTTCCCGTGCTCTGGTAACGACGCGTGGCGATAAATGGCGCTACGCGCGGGCGCAGCGCGTGTTCTTGGGGGCTGCGGGAATCAGCAAGGCCGAGTAACGTGTGCGCCGGAAAGGGTCTCTCCTCTGTTGGTCGGCGCCTGGTAAGCACGCGTTTCCTACGTCCGCGTCCCCTTTGAGAATCGCCTGACTCTAGCCTGCCTGGGGGCCTTGGCATACCCGGCAGGCGTGTTTACTTGAGTGCTAGCTTCGGTACCATACGCTAAGTCAACAGCGGTGCCTAGTGCTTGAAGTGGACACACCACACCAAGCCGCACTTGCCGTAGGCCTACGCATACGAGTTTTGCCCTAACTCTTGCGACCAGGCCAAGTGGCCATCGTGAGAGTGCACAGCATAGCCGCGAGGGACTTTTACCTGACCGACGTGTCAAAGCTCGCCATTGCCAGCTGCGACGTGCTCGCGGTTTCCCCTTGTCGTGAACGTCCGCGAGCGGGAGATTTGCTCTCCACGTCCCTGGAGCGGATGTTGTACTGTTGTTCGGGGTGCCGCCAAAGGCAATAGAGTGTTTGAGTATTTCTGTTAATCGAACACTGTTTTGCCGCGCTGCGCTAAACGCCCTGCTAGTTGAGCGCGTGCGGAGCGGTGCGCTACACGCCGGTAAGTGACGAAGTTGTGGCTCTGGGGCTCGCTAAGCGTGAACCCACGGTGATAATCCGTTACGGTGAGTAGTAAGATCAGCACAACATCCAACATCTAAATACACAAACTGTGAAAATTTCGTTCAGATCTATACATAAATAAAAAAAGTTGCCCTTAAAGGGGATCCCGCAATGATGACTGCGCAATGGCCCTCTATTAGCGCTGAGTGCATTACAAAAGACAACGCACCTTTCAAGATTGGCTGGACACCACTTGCCAGGCAAAGGCCCCCAAACCGGTTGTTGAAAATCTGGTTGAACTCAAGCGTTGCGGTGGCATTATTGGTGATCTCGACGCCTGCAGCGAGACCGTCGAAGATACGGTTCCGTCGCAACACTGGGTGACTCTGGGTTGATATTAGCACACCAGCCTGCGCATTGCGGAAGATGTCATTCTCTTCGAGAACGCCCTTCCCACCATTGAAGATGCAGACGCCACCGTCTCGACCGTCGTAGATCTTGTTGCGCCGCAAGGTAGGGTTACTGTCGGTCTTGATCCAGACACCGGCCATGGCATTGTCGAATATTTCGTTCTGCTCCAGTACACCGAGACCACCGTTGTAGACCAGCACACCACCGTTCTGGCCACCCCAGATCTTGTTGCGACGGATTATTGGGTTGCTGCCCGTCCTGCAATACCAAAGGGCATCACTCGATTGCTCCTTGAGCACAACATAATGAGCAGCAGATTTAGCTAGAACGTATTAATTTTGCAGGCACGACTCGCACTATTGTATCCTGCAATATTAATACAACAGAATCTCTTTGAAAAAAACATCACACTGAGGAGGCCGGGAGTCCGTGTTCCATTCAAGAAGAGCGGAGCGCAGCAGCCAGATATAAAACCAACCAATGAGACCCCACAGCGCCTCCTCCATTTTCGAACTAGTAGGAGCCACTCTCAAGTCATTGTACACTAACAAGTCTAAAATCATAATTTGGTGAACATTCTCTGCAAAACTACACATGAAAAGATTCCCTTTGACAGTTGGCCGACACCATGAGTCAAGATAAGCATGCACCTCAATAAGGTAACTTTTTCCTCACTTTAATTCATCAAACAATGGTTCCCCACTGCCCCTAATCTCTAATTCACAAACAATTGTAACACAGACTAGAGGTGTACTCATAAAGTGAAGCTATGCCAACTGTCTACGATAAGACTATCACCTCACAAATGGGCTAAGCCATGAAGGCGCCTAGTTACTTTACTCTTAGGTTCAACTAACTGAGGGCAAGCTGCGCAGTGCGCGAACAAAAACCAGCGAAAAGAGTGAGTACCTGATCTGGACGCCCGAGTAGAGGTGGTTGAAGATGTCATTCTCTTCGAGGCGGCCGTGGCCGTTGTCGTAGAAGTAGACGCCCACTTGCTTGCCCGAGTGAATGCGATTCCGCCGCAGCACAGGCGTGCTGCCTGTCGTGATCCAGACGCCCGCCAGGGTGTTGGCATACACTTCGTTCTCCTCGATGAGGCCCTGACCCTTTTCATGCACATAGATTCCTCCGTGCTGGCCGTGGTGGATTTTGTTGTAACGCACGATGGGGTCACTACTCGTCCTGATCTGGATGCCCGCCAGGGCATTGCCATGGATGTTGTTGTGCTCGATCAAACCCCGGCCCTGAGAAGCGGCAGGTAAAGTAATACCGACATCAAATGCCTGTGCACCTTTCTAGAATAGCAAATGCCATTCGTGAGTGATAATATCAACTGTTGAGGGTCCACGTCGCGAAACCACACTCTAAGTATGAATAAGGCGTACTAGAAGTACTCGACACAGTTCAACCACCTATGGTCCTTTAAAGCACTCTTCCAACTAGGTACACGAGCTTCGAGCATTTTTACGTCCACCCAAAACTGGACACTGCAGTGGGACTAACATCTGCCACCTTCGTTTCAGCAGTCAAGCACCAAATCCACTAGACGGCCACGAGTTGACACATTCTCGAATCGGCCTACGTCAACCATGAATTTCACAAGCAATGCGCTTTACAATGCACTTTAAACTATTTAGGCGAAATGTCTAACACATAAAAAAGTAAATGTTGAACTATGATAGCAACTGCATGCTTGAAACCAGCACGTAACCATGCATGCGCTGTAAAACTTGTGGAAAGAAATATCGCTATCCCCTTCACATGGAAGCCTAAGACCCACCTCGCCAAAAATGTAGACGCCGCCCTGGTGGCCATTGTAGATATCATTGCGGCGAATGGTGGGGTTGGAGTGCGAGGTGATCCAGACGCCCGCAAAGTTGTTTGAGTGGATCTTGTTCTCCATGAACTGGCCACGGCCGCTTTCGTGCACGTAAATGCCGCCAGTCTGGCCGTGGTGGATCTCGCAGCGCACCACCGTTGGGTTGGCACCCGCCTTCACCTCGAAACCCGCAATGCGGTTGTTGTGGATGTCGTTGGCCTCAAAGTAGCCCAGACCGTTGTCAAAGGTGAACACGCCGACATCCCGGCCATGATGGATGTGATTGCGCCGCATGATGGGGTTGGCATGGTTCTTGACCCACACACCAGCGAGCGCGTTGCGGCTTATCTCGTTCTCTTCATAGATTCCCTGCGCAGAGTTGTATCAGGTGAGATTTGTTTATTTCGTTACACAGCAGGCCGACTTGGCCTAAGCAGGAGGGGCAGTACACATAAATATATAATACAGTTGAACCCTTTTATAAGAGACACTGTTATAAGAAACAAATGGGTACAAGAGACACACGGTTGTGCATACAGTAAAATACAGGTTGATAAGAAAATGCATACGAGGTACCCTGTTTATAAGAGATATCTCATATAAGAGACAAGAACTGCTACCTGGAGCACGCCTCTTATAAAGAGGTTTAACTGTACAAGGAAAGCTTAACACATGCAACAGTGAAATCAAGAACTAATACAGTACAATACGGGTTAAACACGAAAAAAGACAATAGCAACAAAATACATAATAATGCTCATATATCGTGAAACTAAACAATGTCAGCAGAAAGAAAACATCAAATCTAAAAAAACATTTTCTTCCAGAGAGTGAACAATTTTGGCGACACAATCACTGAACCCGAGTTACTGAACTAAGCTTGTGCGAAAAGTGGATTTCAGGTTCGAAGCGAATAGTGATCCTGCGGTCTTACATACCAAAAGCACAATAGGTATATTATTCTATCAAGGGGTTGCGATGCTGACGAAGGCAGCAGTGGGCTTCTTTTGGATGAAACTCTTTATATGGCCCCATTTCTGGCCATGAAGCGGAAACTCAAATTACAGCAAGCAATGCGCACTGTACACTGATATCAGCACACAGAACATCGGTCTTTGATGAACTGATTCGTGGCAAGGCGCCTCGGCACTTATACGTGCGGCGGCGAACGTTCGAGAATTACCACTGGTGGTCGCGTTTGTTCGAGAATAAACTTGGCTCTTTGTGTTTGCATGCTTAAGGGGAGACGCGGGTCGAAAAGTCGCGTTTTTTTTCCAAATTTCACCTTTTCTGTTTTTTGTTGCTTTATCATCTTTATACATTATATTTTGACATCTGAAAATATCACAGCGAAATAAGCATCAGAAGTCAGTGAAAAAACGCGTCTGAGTGAGCGGCAGTGACGCGCGGCATCACGAAATTTACACAAAACGGGCTGCTGTTCGCGTGCTCGCGGGGCCGCGAAGAGAGCTGTCCGCCATATTGCGGCCGCTGGCTCGTGTAGAGTTGTCCTTACTCTCCACGATCCCGGTTCTTGAAGTCTCGTACGTTCACGAAAAATCTAAAAAAAAAGCAACAAAAACAGTCTTTTCCCGCCGTTTCAAACCGCGCGCCACTAACGCAGGGCCGCCATTGGCTGACAGCACCCGTGTTTTCTTGCCGTAGTTCGCTTCACTGTTTTCCGGAGTTATTTTTCGCTGTTTTCGTGCGATGGCAAGCCCGAAAAAGGCCGTTGCCGACCATCGGAAATACAGAAGTAAGAACAAGTTCAGAGGGAAGCGGCGGAGGACGTACAAGAAAGCCACCGCCAACGAAAATGTCCGCGACGGGCCAGCGGCCGGTAGGCCTAACATCGACCACGGCAACGTCGACCATGGCAACTGCGACGACGAGATCAACGCTGCAGTGAATTTTGTGAGTGCATCGCAGAAAAAGATCGCGTTATTCGAAAACGACGTCAGGCCGAATGCCGATCGTGCCGAAAGCGTAGTGCTGTGCGAGTTGGGTGCATTGACGGCCGTCGTCGCAGGCGCGGCATGCCCCGTTTGTCACGAGAGTAAACTCGCAGTTCGGGCACCGAATAAAAAGCGGAAAGGCCTTTGGGCGTTTCTGGAGCTACACTGCGAGAATGCGGAGTGCTCGGAGAGCATCCTTTCGTCCGCGTACTCGTCGAAGCGGGTCGCGTCAGATGGCGGCCGCGGTGCAAGCAGAAGCTACGACAGCGGGAGTTCGCGTGACGCCTTTGCCGTGAACCTGAAAGTGGTGCTTGCAGCGCGTGCCGTCGGTATCGGGCATGAGCAACTTTCACGATTTTGTGCAGTAGTTGGATTGCCAAACCCTATGCACCATAAGACCTTCCATGCTATCGGCAAAAAGATTCACAGTGCGGCAGTGAAGGCTGTCTGTGAAAACATGCAAAGGGCACGCAGCGTCACCAAAGAGGTGGCTGGTAACAGTGACGTGCCAGTCATGTTTGACGGCACATGGCAAAAAAGAGGCCACAAAAGCCACAATGGTGTGGGAACTGTAGTGTCCTTGGACACTGGTTTGTGCCTGGACTATGAAGTGCTTTCCAACTTCTGCCTGGCGTGCAGTTTGCATAACGACATGGGAGGCGATGAAGAAACATGGCAGGCGTTTCATCATCCCGTTTGTGAGAAGAATTGCGACTGTTCTTCGCATGCCATGGAGGCCGAAGCTGCAGTGCGCATTTGGCAGAGGACTGTGGACTATGAGACACCCCTGCGGTTCACCATCTTCCTAAGCGATGGAGACAGCAAGGCCTACAACGGGGTCTGTGATGCCAACGTGTACCCTGACACTCCAATTGAAAAGAGGAGTGCACCAACCACGTGGCGAAACGTCTGGGCACCGGCCTGCGGAAGCTGCCAACGCCACTTCCACGAGGGGAGAAGCTGAAGGAGACCACCATCCAGAAGCTTCAAACTTACTTTCAGGTGGCCATTGTGAACAATCGGGGAAATGTCCACAAGATGTACACTGCCATATGGGCCTCATGTTTGCACTCGTGCTCAACAGACGGTGCTGGAAGTCACAAGTTCTGTCCTGCAGGCCCAGACTCGTGGTGCAAGCACCGACGTGCTGAGGCGCAGGGCCAGCCTGCACCGTGCCACACCCCCCTCCTGACCAAGGCCCAGGGTTTGGCAGTCCTCCCAATCTACAAGCGTCTCACAGATGCGAAGCTGCTTGCCCGGTGCCTCCACGGCAAGACACAGAACGCGGCCGAGTCCCTGAACAGCAAAATATGGCTGCTGTGTCCAAAGACCCGGTTTGCTTCCCGGACTGCTGTGGAAACAGCCACAGCCATTGCAGTCCTGTGGTTCAACCGGGGCCACGCGAGCTTTGAAAAGGTGCTGGAAGAGCTTGGGGTGCTTCCTTCGGAGGCCCTGGTTACCCTCAGCGACCGCCGAGACAGCATGCGCATGCACAAGATGAATGTGCGTCAAACCGCTGAGGCGAGGGCACACCGTCGCAGTGCAGCCAAGAGGGCCCGGGTGGAGGAGTCCTGCCGCACCAGCCGGGAAGGGAAAACCTACGGTGCTGGAGAGTTTTAGACAACTGATATTCCCTCTGGACATGTGTGTATGTGTTCAGCACAAGTTTCGTGCTACTGCGTTTTTCATTTTTGTAAATACAGACTTTCAAACTTTCAAACGCGTTTTTCTCATTTCGCAATTTTGGCCAATTTGCATTTTTTGCGGGAAGTGTTTCGGGCACTTAGAATGGTCATACGACGACGAAATTTGGCACACACATTGAGGAGAGTGCGTAGGGTGCCGATATCTACTTGAATCAGCACAACCTATCAGCTGTAAATATCTATTAATAAATTTAATGGTGGTCGAGTGGAAAAAAAAGGGTAGTTTGCTACACAGATGTTTTTTTCATAGTTTCAAAGTTGGAGCACAATTTCTAGCTAGATATCGGCACTCTATGGCTAATAGGGAGCAAAAGGAGCCATTGAACAACTCTCTGCATGAACATTTAGTATGCGCGAAAGTTCCCGGAAAACTTATCAAGTTTCACCATTACTTGAAACACAACTCCCAAACTATTGCACTTATGTAAAAACTGATTACAGATTTGGAATCAGGAGGAAAAACTGCATCAGTGGTCCAATTTCTGAAGCTCTAAGTTGAATAACAAAAAAAAAGTGCTTTCGAGGAGCGTCTCCCCTTAAACTTATCAGGTGATCCGTAAAATAATCTGAAATGCTCTCAGACATTTTCGTACGGTTTGTGTAAGGCATCATCTACACATGCAGGAGGCCAGCGAAGTAAATCATAGAAATAAAGGGGCATGTGTGGCAACAAAATAGTGAGGCATGAGCAGTAGTGAAAGACACCAAAGTAATCTTGACCACTGGGGTTCTTGAGCAATGAGCCTACGTCATTGTAAAACATGGACATAATGCTGCTCTTGCATTTCATCCTCATCAAAGAGGGCCTGCGATGGCCAGGACTCAAACCCATGTCCTCGAGGCTACAGCACAATGAATTCGTCACTGAACTAGCATGGCAGGTATGGAAGAGGCCACCGTACCTGGGCATAGTCGGTGATGTAGAGCCCGACATTCTCGCAGTCGGAGATGTCGCAGCTGCGTAGGCAGGGCTCGGCCCCAGTCCCGCTGACGCACACAGCTGCCCCGACCACCGACGTGCTCCGGATGATGCAATGGTCCACCGTTGGCGAGCAGTTCTCGTTTATCTCAAGGCAGTAATGCTTGTGGTGCGGCACTGACGATGTAATGTCGGGCGTGAACTGAGGAAGACGACAAACATGAGCAACGTCGTGAGGACTCGCTCCTGACAACAGAAGCAACATGATGGCAGCCACATATGGACACATGATGGCAGCCACTATAAAGGCCCCCATGCAAACATGGACACAATGGGCTTTAGTGTCCCCCTCCTTTTTACCCCTGCGGCATTACTGTTCGTCCTTCTGGCAACACGAGTATTGCACAACTGACTCAACTTATCTCTATCCCCAATTAGTGAAATTAGTACTAACCACCATTCTACTACAAATATGCAATATACTCAAAGTTCATTATAACAAAGTTGCACCTTACTTGAAAAAAATTTCAGTATACCTAAAATTTGTTGTAGAGGTATATTTTCAATACTATAATGCACGACTATCATTTTTTACTTCATTATAACTAATATTTCAATATATCTGGGTCCGTTATATTAAGGCTGGAGTGTAAATCCACAAAGGTTATGACATTGTTACATTGGCTCATGATGGCAAATAGTAGGGGTGTGCAAATATTTAAAATTCCGCATATTTTTTTAACAGTGTTTGCGATTCGATTCGCTTACTATTCAACCTTTCCAAGGACAAATAGAGTCAATGTCCGAGTTAAGTGACCTCTTAAGACTTTCAACATGACTCTTTCATAGTCACGTGGATATTGTTCGTTTTAAGTGAAAGTTTGTCTTGAGTGGGGCCATTATATATAGGCTTGACTGTATAAGCAACTAATCACCTTGAGCGTCAGGTATCCAAGGTAGGCTCCACGGGCACCCTCAACGAAGGTGACTGTAGAGTCGGAGTCCCGCTCGAGGATGACGTGCTCGGCAACGTTGCCAGGCGCTGCCCCGATGAGCGCCACACCAGTGTCAACGATGAGAAACTCCCCCTTGTAGGTGCCCGCGTGTACAAATATGACGGGCCGGTCGACGTCCTCACAGAAGTTGAATGCCGTCTCGATGGTGTCAAAGTAGCTCAGTGACCGGCCGCGATACCTCTGCGGTTGGCCGTCATACTGTGCCTGCAAAGGAGGTACCCAAATGAGTGATTTGGGTACACAGCTCCTTGGAAATATCCAACTCTTGATTGATCTAGGTGAAACTCGCCGAGAATAGATATGTTCGTGCACATATTTAAAATGAGCAATCTTTTTTTCAGCCCGACATAAACTTCTTGATAATATCAAACATTTTATGTGCTTTCTGAGAGCATAATTTTTCCTAATATGACAGTTACAAAGTAAATCAGCATACTACAATTATTTGGGATGAAAAATGTACATAAAATAAGAATACATGTTCTAAACCCATGGTACATTGAACATTCATGAGTGAAATCCCAGCTTGACTTATTGTACTAGAGTTTGTTAGGAAAATTGGGCAGTGTTTGAAGTCAACAAACACATACAAACAAACTCGACAAGTTTCATCGAAATCAGTGATTAACGAAATTAGTGATGAACTCTATTCCCTTGTGCAGGGCCACATGGCACTGCAATCTTGACACGAGTGAGGCAATGCCCGATTGCTGCCCGTGGTTCACACATACCTGGAAGTGTGGTCGCACGTGAATGCCGCGGTAGAGTTGCCGGAAGCTCTCCTTCCACGGGTTGGGGCAGTCGGCCTCCTCGGGGGCCACAAACTCAAACTTGCACGGTGCCGGGTGGAAGAGGGGCAGGTCGTACTCGAAGACATTCTGGTACAGGGTCTTCCAGAGCTCCGTGTCGTTGGATATGGCGTGAAAGCGCCGGCAGACCTGCGCCACCCGGCACAGGTCCTGTTCCAGCAGGTACGAAAAGATGGTAAGCAGCACTTCATCCGGCACCTCGAGCAGAAGGTAGTGTGCCGCACTGCTCCCATCTGCGACAGTTATTAAACGAACTTGTACATCTTAACACGCACAATGCAAAAATGACAGAAGGAAGGGAAACATAAACAAAACAGGCACTGGCGGAAGTTCAGTTACCAGCAGATGTAGAAATCCTGTTAAATTTTTTGCTACCCTTTTCCTCTCCCCTTTGCAAATTGCGGTACTCAATGCGAGTGTTAGGATTTCATGTCCCATACCACAATAGGATTACGAGAGATGCCATGTTAGTTGACAATTGAGGAGTCCTAATATTTGGGCAGGTTGGTCATGCATTGTTCTGACAACAGTGCAAGAAGGGTCTAGGAATAATAATAATATAATAATAATAATATTTATTGCTCATTTCACAAGAAAGTAGTACACATATCAGGCCGGCCAACGCCACATAGGGCGTGAACAACAGTGCCTGACAGCAGTTGAAAACAGAAATAGTTCTAGTTACATATTTGCCGATGCAATAAAAATACAAAAAAATAAAGATACGGCTCAGGAAAGAGAGCCACCACATTGCTTAAGGTGATAAATAAGTCATTCCCCTGAAAACCTTTCTTGACTTATGCTTAGTCCGGGTGCGTAGTACACTTGGAGGCAGCTTATTGATGTGCAGAGGAACTTTGTAGTCCCTTATTGTTTTACCCTACCTTATACGACACCTGGGTACTAGAAATGAATCTTTGGGACGCAGAAAGAAACACAGGCGAGCCCTGACGGCCTGTGTTTTTTCCTAGACCCTTGTCTCTTTTCGCGCGGTAGTAAGTATAGTTTGACAACACTAGTTTATCATGTGTCCACTTCTCACCTTCAGAGGAAGAGGAGGAGGAGGCGCCCTGGGAGGAAGACGGCGTGCGGCGCTGGCGCTTGCGCGGCAGCGGGCACGGGGGTGCCCCGTCGTGGGGCAGCTTGCGCCGCAGGTCGTAGGGGGGCTGGTGGCCACCCCCACCAGTGCTGCCCCCCTGAGGTCCCCCCCCCACTGTGCACACGCCACCCAGCACGCTCACCAGAGTCTGCTCCACGCTAGCCGCTGCACCACAACAAAAAATAGCCACACAGGAACAGATATGGCTAATGAGTAAATAGACAAAGCGTTTACAGCATCAATGCTATCACAATTAAAGCTAAAGACAAAAGAAATGTAGCAAGTGTAGGCCAAGTAAATAGAAGGACAAGAACAACAAGAGAGAAGGCAGAGAGGTTACCTAGGCACATGCCCGGTTTGCTACCCTACGCTGGGGGAGTGGGAAAGGGGAGTAAAAGAAGAGAGAGAAAGAGGATAGAAGTCAAGAACAACAAGAGAGAAGGCAGGGAGGTTAACCAGGCACATGCCCAGTTTGCTACCCTATGCTGGGGGAGTGGGAAAGGAGAGTATAAAGAAGAGAGAGGGGGAGGATAGAAGTCAAGAACAAGAGAGAAGGCAGGGAGGTCTACCAGGCACATGCCCGGTTTGCTACCCTATGATGAGGGAGTGGGAAAGGGGAGTATGAAGAAGAAAGAGGATAGAAGTCAAGAACAAGAGAGAAGGTAGGGAGGTTAACCAGGTACATGACCGGTTTGCTACCCTATGCTGGGGGAGTATAAAGAAGAGAGAGAAAGAGGATAGAAGTGGCCATTATGTGTGTAAGGTAAATCAAATGTGAATTAAAACCATGCTGCCATAAGTGAGGGCACGACTTTTGCCTGTGTTCTCCCGAGTGTTAGCAGATGGGATAGAGAATTTGGTGTTGATCACTTGAAGAGCCACTTTCATTTAAAAAAAAAATGACATTTTTACAAAGTGCACCATCTGCTATCACTGCATTAGCCGACTGGCACACACCTAAATTGATATCAGCAAGAGCAATTTCCTAAAGCTGCTTTGCCATGCAGCTGTGTGAGTGGAAGAATAATGTGTGCAGTTGCAGTTCAATTCCCATAATTACACTAATGTACAAGCTACACGACACAGCGTGGCCTAAAAACCTAGTTAACGACTGTAATGCAAGGCATTATCAGCACTGCTGGCAACATAAGTAAAAGATTACAACTAGAGGTTTACAATAATCATCACATGAGGCATTATGAACCCAAGTGGAGTGGCATAGATCCGCACTTGCACAATCCAAAGCTGCTTTTTTTTGTTTAATATGCAGACCAACCTACCCCGCAGTTTTTTTCAAAAGCCAAGCAAAGCAGTATGTCCCTGTAGTTCAGATTAAAAAGCTCGGCACGAATCCTTTTTTAAAGAACAATATCAGCAACCTGTGTTAACATTGAAAAGTCCATTTGAAGTAACGAATCCATCAATGCAAAATTAAAGCTACAAATTTTAGTGCCATGTCCCCATTGAGCTGAATTTAAACACACACAAACACCAATTTCCCATATTTCATGACCAAGCCTGACTGATGCGTGTGTATGTATGACATAGCAGGTTCAGTTCAAGACAAAGACGCCAACTCGTGCATCGTTCGAAATAGCACAAGAATAGTACACTTCCTCACATGAACAAGTTACTTGCTTGGTGTTTTTTTAAAGAGAGAGAAAGATGCTTTGTTATTTATTGAACTCTGAACAAACAATATAAATGTTAACGAGCATTTTTTTTTTCAATGTGTTTGTGTATGTGCGTCTCTCTTTTTTGTGTCCTTGTCGTGGTGCGCTATACCCTTATAAATGATGTTTTTTAACCATGAAATAAGCCAATGGCAATGTCCTTTCCTATATTTTCTCACAAGAAATGCTTTTATAAACTTATCTGTAGACATATTGGATGTATTATGTTTAGTATGCAAACATACACCTGCCCAACTGTTGCGTATAAGTTAGATGTCTACAATGTGTTCTGTATGCTAGGCTAACAATTCGTTAAAAATGATTATAGAACTCCGTTGTCTCCTGCCTGTATATTTATGTTATACCTGCAAGGTTCCATACTGGCACTCTGCTAAGGATCCAGATGCTTGTAACATATTTTTGCCTGAACATAATTCGTTTAATAAAGTTCAATTCCATTGACATAGCCTCTAACACAATTGAAATGCGAATTCCCTGCCGCGTGCAGTGCTACCAACCATATTTTGCTCCCATGTTCACAGAGAAGCTTTGACTACATATCGGCATGTTTTCTATATTCAAAGAGTATTGTTTTTTTAATCAACTAAATCAGCCTATTTTTGTCTGTGTACCAGTCCTAATATCAGGTGTCTTTTAAATCACACTCTGAAGTAGGCCTTACATATGGCCTCAAGGTTCCTTCTTCAAGGTTTATATATATATTACTGTCAAAAATAAAATTTGATTCAGCAAGAAGAGAACGAACGCAACTACAATCCCTGCTAGCTGGCACATTTACTTCAAAGGCACCACTGCTATTGTGTCCTTCAGTTTTTCCTGAACTGCTATTCTCATCTCATAGCAATAGTGTGTGTTTTCCACATTGTAAAATCACAATTCACTCAAAAAACGTAATCATTTTTTTAAGTGCCTTGAAGGCCAATTGCTGCATAATGATCAATCTAAGTAAAAATTTGGTCTCAGATAGTCTAGACATTCTTATGAACACCAACTATGTCCAATAACAATTATCAATTGATTGCATCCTTTTAACATTCAATACCATGAATGACACAAAGCTGCACAATGAAAATGGGAAGCTTCGCCTTTAGGAGTTGAGCGTAATAGTGATAACCTGTCCCACGTGCGTACTTCAAACAGTGCATGAAATCTTTCTAACCTGCTCCCACTACGTGGCCTTAAGGGAATAAGCGCAGTAACATGTGTGCCTTTTGTAGTGAGTGACCGGCTTTCAAAAGATGAAGTCATTACGATGATCACGTGTTCTGACACCCTATGGCAGTGTACGCTTGTACCCCACATTATTATGGCAATCTCACATGTTACTGTGAAGCATGTATACAGGACGCGTGTTTGTAAAGCATGACGGTTACTTTCACTGCATTTCCAAAAGGAAGTTATTTACACTCTATTCACAAGCAGATGAGTGGTTGTGTGGTAGAACACCGGCTTGCTACGCAAACGACCCGGGTTCTCTCCCCCCTTGGACCCAAAGTTTTTCATTGTGTATTTCATTACCATTTTTCAGTCACGCAAAAGATGATTTTTCACTCACAACCACTGACGCCAGAATTCCTGCGAAACGAACTCTTTTTAACGCTATCCCGTTAAAACTGGAATGTTTAAATTCTGCAATCACTTTCCATCATGTTTACAAAATGCAAGAGCTGTCTATCGAAATTAAGGTACAAGAGGATAACCATTTCATGTCTAGCGTACCTGAAAGGCATCTTTCCATCCACCAATAAAATAGATCTGGTGCAAAACATTACATAAATATAAAGGTGAACCTACCACACAATAACACACCCACAAGTGCCCAGCTTTTCCTCTCATGTTTACTACAATTCTCTCATGTTTACTACATGTTAAAAACTTTAGCTACAGGGCCAATCAGAAGTGTTCCAGAATTGGGCAGAAAACTTTTAAATACTTCGAAAGTTCTCATTTTTAAAATTTTTGCACAACAGCACACATTGCCCCTGCGTAGGATATAGTTTAAGATGAAGCAATAAGTCACTGTCTACGCAGGTTTTCACTTTAGAAGAGGTAGGCAAAAAGCTTCAGCCACACGCAAAGCCAAGCACTACCACACATCAGAATTGCAACTTGCGTGCATGTGCACAGATGCCTCACGGGTGATGAAATATCGAATCTTATGCCATGGCTTGCATTGTAAAGAATCACCCTGTAGCGTCATGACTGTATTATGATCAGCCCATCTTATTACTTCTGCAGGGTGAAGACTGCTCGCCAATCCATCCTGTCCCAACAAAAATTATCTACTATGCACGGAACAGATAGCAAAAGTTAAACTATGTTGACACAGTGCAGTGTTGTGACGGTTGTCACCAAAAGCCTTCCTCCAGCACATCAAATGTTAGTGCTAATCAAGAATGTTTGTGTTTGCGCATTAAAGGGCTTTTTTCTGGCACCGTAGTTAGAATGTGGATGTGAAGGCAAGTTGTATTTTTTTGTGTAGAACTTACACTAAAACACTACCATATGGTAATCAAAGCTGAAGTTGAATATGTAACTTATGTACACAACCTCATTAAGTAGTTCATTTTACATTATCTTTGTTCCATCATGAAGGCAATAAACTCAAAACACGAGATCCTGTACCCAGGCATGAACATAAATACAGAACACAAATACTACACGCCCAACGGAGGGCCACTGTATTTCACGATCCCCTAATTTTAGACAATGCATTCAAACAACATTTCAGGGTTGTATTAGTACAACTCTTCACAATTTTTGTTTAAAAGACATTTAGTAAACACAAAACGATGTACAGTGCATTAAAACATAACAGCTCACAAATTTTAGAAGCAAAGGCTATTAGATGCCTGATATAAATATGGTGTTGATGAACGTAGCTCTATTCACAATGGTATTTTCACATCAGTTGGATTGGTGTGCTTATCAGCTGCCCCTGAGGAGAGATTAGCTTGACCCTACTGCTATTTTGGAGATATTAACATTCTACACATTTGTGAAGTGAAAATCTAACACAAGTGCCAATGCATCTTACTCTTCGCTGGAGAGAATGGAACTTCATGTTTGTAATGTCCCATAGCTTTCGCCGATACTGTGCAGCAGCTCTAGGCCGCTATGCCGCATGACCACAAGGTGTTTTCAAGCTTTAATTTTTACCTCTTGCTTTCCTAATATTTTGAACAGCCCTGACGTAGAGCAAAATGACGAGAAGGCACATCGGGACTCCACACAGCGCTACTGGCAACATTCCACTAATCGTCAAAACCAGATCCCTTACAGTCCGCCATCACAAGGCAGGCAGTTGAAAATGTGGGCACACTCAGACACATCTAGATATAGTCACTCTACCTAAGTGAAATCATGTTTAAGGCAACTATGTAAATCACTGCAATGAACATCAATGCATATTCAATAATCCAGTGATATAAATTACTCGCTCATGGTAGCGTAAATCACCACATAAGTAATGATACCTTCGTCGTAATTTCACATAGATAGAGGGACTTTTTTTTCACGCATGTGTCTTAGTGCCCCCTCGTGTTCAACTGCCTGCCTGGTGATTTGCAGTTTGTAATTAGTCTAGTTTTTAAAATAAATGCACTGTTACTATATAGTAGCCTTGCGTAGTGTCCTTATGTGCCTTCTCATGTCCATGTGTCATTTTGCACTACATAAAAGCTACTTGGATGATTTCCCAACAAGCCGAGATTGATGACAGTGCCTCCAATATTGATTCAAATAGAGACAAACTATCTTCCAAACCAAACCAGCAGCTTGAACTTTACTGAGCACAAGAAGAATATGAAGTGTGAAACAGCTCACCACACTCTTGGGGGTGACCGGCAGGCTCATCTGCGCCATAAAAATGTCCAAACATGTATCAGCCACATTTTTCCATGCAGCGAAACAGGAAGTGACCAAAACATTCCTTCTACAAAATCGTAAAAAAGCGTACTGCACTGAATTTCACGGTGCAAATTAAAAATGTCACGGCTTCGCTGACCTCTGTACAGCTGCTTGTGCTGAATATAAAGCTTTATGTCCTCAATGTGTCACTAAACGTTAGTTGCTACTCGAAACAATATGCACTCGCATTCGAAAACTGGGTTAGCACAAACATCGACCGCTTTCGTGTACTGCGGAGCGAAGAGTTACGTCAAGGCAGACTCGGAGGGTATAGCGTCTTGATATTTTTTTTTTTTTTCGCACGATCACGGTGAAAAAGTCACCGCGGGGAAGCGACGCCGGAATAAACGGAGCCCGATTTGTTCGTAACACTATCACCCTCGTAAAACACTATCACAATACAAGCGTTACAACGACGGTCGCGTTGCGTCACGGCGAAACGTTTGATTTCTGCACGGTTTCCACGGCACCCAAAGGTCAACTTTATCTGACGCACTTGCGTGTTTACACGGCATTCGGCAAAGGAACACCTACGAAACTCGATTTTTTCCCGGAGCATGGGCGGAAGACCAGGAAAACAGCTGTTGGAGTCCCGATTTTCGTCACATGCTCGCTCAGTCAACACTCACGAATGCCTCATGGGTTTCTTTCATAAGCAGCTAGGGTAACGCCATACGGCCACTGGAAACATCCGGAAAGAACTGCCCTGCTTAATGACGCATCACAGCGGGCGCCTACGTTCCTCGGGCGAGATTCAGGCAGGCCGCCTCGCATTTCGCACGCAGCCAAAAAGACGCGGCGGCGATCGCCCCAGAACGGGAAAAGCGCACGACTTCTTTATACTATGAAACATGGATCGCGTAGTCAACCACTGTCGCGGCTTTCACAATTCGATCGCGCTAGGACAACCCGACGTCGAGATCAATGTGGCGTCCGCCGCCGCCACCCTAGGGCCAAACAACGGCACTTTACTGAAACGAGCGAGTCACCGATGAGATCGTGTCGAACGCATCGACGTGAACACAAGGAGGGGGGATCGCCCTGTGATGTATCCTGACGGGCCAGGCTCCGATGCGGCTGGCCTAAGACCCACGTACGAGCCCCTCGAAGGTGCCAGGGCCATTATCGAGCTTAGCGAGAGTCAACTGATTGCGCCGGGGCGGTGATTAACGCGAATCGGGGAAAATATTCCTACGAACTAGGCCTAATCATGGCCCAAAGGGGCCCCCCCTCCTTCCACAAAAGCAGTGCTCTCTAGCGTACCTTCGTCGAACGCCCTGGACGTGATCCCAGCTCGCTTCAGAGGCTTCTTCCGCGTTTTGCGCACACTTTGTCTCGGCGGCCGAGCCGCCGCACTGGACATCTTCGGGGAACGCGAAGCACCACAAAGACCTTCGGCCGCACCACTGCTCAACAAAGGGTCGACGAGAACTTGACAACCACCCCCATCACCATTGCTGTGAGGCCATTTTCTTGTTCCATGTCGGGAAACATTAGCCCGGCCAATCGCGGCGCCGACGCGGGTCACGTGACGCTCTTTTTGGTTGACTACCGCAAAAACCGCGCGCAACAACAGACAATGCACGACAAAAAAAAAAAAACCGGAACACAAGCGCAAGTCGAAGCCAGCTGTATTTGCATATGCACTCGATTAGCATGGCTACCGTTTTTTGTGTTAAAATACGTCACGTTTTTACTTTAATTTAGTAAAAAAAAGCGTACGTTTTTAGATTTTTTTAAAATAACTACTCCATCAAATATAAAGCATAATACAAAATCTTTTTACAGATTATTACGCCCTCTATGAAAATTATTTAAAGTACAAGTGCTCATATTTGACAAAAATATGTATTTTATAAAGTGATAAATGACGCACCTTGGAGACGCAAAAGTCTGTTGGCTGTCAGATTATGTAATGTGCAAGCTCGTGAGCTCATCGATTCTCCGTACAGCCACTAAGCACCTATACTGACATAACTCCTGGCGTGAGTGAACTCTACGTGGTTTCGAAAGATCATGCCGTTTGCAAAATTAAAATATCCAAATTGTTTGCGTGGCTTTACATGTCTACCAGTCCACCGCCCTTCGAGCGCTTCCGTTTAGCGGTCGTTCTCGACGCACTTTTGCAGATCTGCAGTTCCCAGCGCTCAGCTGACTCGTGATACAGGACGCGGCTACCCAATCTGTACGGGAAGGTTGTCTGATCAGTCTCCGGCGATCACCCATGGCCACCGAGGCGGTGACTGTGGCCGAAGAGGCTCGGCCAAACGTGGACCTCGAGTTGGAACAGCGCGTCAAGGGCACCTGTGGCCGCATTTCGGAGAACGTACACATATTCGCCAACGAGCCGTCGCTGGCCTGCTACCGGTTGCAAGAGCACGTCCGCAAGTCCCTACAGCCGACCGTCGAGAGGCGTCTGCAGATGGCCGAACTGCGTCAAGAGCTACGCGGCAAGTGTTACGACTTGGACTACGCCATCGCGGCGCTTCGCGGCTTCCAGCAGAGCCGGCAACACTTGGCCAACGTGCAGGACCTGATGCGCAACGCGGTCTTCATGAAGCAGCAATTAGGCGCACCGCGAAGCTCGCGCAGCTGCCTCCAGCAGTGCTGCGCAATCGACTGGCCGTCGTCAGCAACTGCTACATCAACAAAGGCTGTCGCTGGATCTTCCCCAGACGGCTTCTCGTCTGAGCAGCTCGCCGTCACTGGGCGCAGCTGACATGCGTCTCGGGTCGCAACGATCGGCGTCCCCGAGGCGCCCAAGCGATCAGCGTTAGATCTATTGATCGACTATATTAAATAGGACCTCGTTATATTTGGCATCTGTGGACGTACTAGCGAATTTAAGCGATTGTAAATGCAACAGTGTGGTAGTGATTAGAATGAAGAGGAAAAAGGCACCTAATTTCTGTCTGCCTTCAGGCGACACGGCGCAGTGCCTTATAGGGGTGGGGGGAAGGAGGGATAAAAAGAATAGAAGGAAAGTAGAAGCAGAAGAAGAAGCCAACGAGAGAAAAAAGAAGGAGATAGGAAAGTGGGGATCCGGTCGAAGAAGTCCAAGGGCGGGGTGCCACAATGCGAGAGCTACACGGCGTCAGGAGACCGCGGAGGGCGAACCAGTCGGCGGGAGCTACGCTGAAGTCGGAGATCGCGAGGGCACAACCGTCCAGCTTGAAATCCTGCGAGCGAATCCAACAGTGTCCGCACCATTCTCTCGACATTGTCGAATTGTGCCAGAGTGGACCAATCGTCTATCGGAGAGGCATCTCTCTGGGCCAATCGGAGCGTTCGAGATGGCCGGCCGTGGCATGACGCATTCATCACGCACACAGGAGCAGCGTTGGTGACGACATCTAGTGACGCTGGATTAAACTAAAGTGTTCTTCGGCTTCTTTTTTTCTTAGCTTGTATTTCTGTGTTCATAGAGAAGGAAAAGTTTGATATTTGCCAGGACAATAATTAGTGAATTTATTGGTTGAAAATAGCTCTGTGGTATGTTTCAGCTAGCAACCTTTCATTGGTGACGCGCGAGCACTAAAGTGCATGTATAGAGCATGCTGTAACGCTTTAGTTGATGCAGTATTTCGTGATGCTGGCATCGCTTGGCAGTACATGTGCAAAGCAGGCAGGATGGCAAACTGCAATTTCATGTTGCATCAAACTGTTTGAATGATTGATAGTCATTACTGTAACAGCCTCTGAAATGCAACTGGAGCTTACGCCACTCGCATGCTGACAATGCAGTGATGTGAAAATGTGATCAGTCTGGGAGAGTTTTGTGCAATTTTATTCTAGAATTCACCGGAAGTGTGAAACAAAAACAAGGCATGTTGTTCATCTGTCTTTGTGCCTCTTGTGGGTCACCGTTATGGCAAGCTTTAGTTGCTAGGCTGTAGTGGCCTTCGTATTCAAAATTAAAGAGTGCATAAAAATCAATAAGCAAACTCGTAGAGGCACATGAATCCTTATGCCACATATGTTGCACCCCTTCCCATCAATTCTGGCTAGTTGTGATTGTCTGAAAGTTGTGTGCCCTGCCTTCAAGCACTCAAATTTACAGGCAGAGTTTAAAGTTGAGTACACTTAGTGACAAGTCAGATGCAAAGATTGGCACCTTCTAAACCCAACTTATTTATCTAGAAAAATAACAAAGGAGACAGCCATGGTATAGGTAATGCATGCCATGATTCGTATGCAGTTAGAAAAAAATGTAGTGCACGAGCACCCAAATTTTTCCATCCTTGGGCTCACTCACAAGGGTCTGCTTCACTTTGGGACTTGTGCAATGTGTTGTAATGTATTGCTATAAATGAAAAAATATATAAAGGGAGTGTGAAAATAGAGAAGTTCCCCAATCTGTTGGAAGAAGTTCATTCCCACCACCACACCAACCATTTTTCTATGTGCACACCACAGGCAAGAAGGAAAATGCATCATGCAAGGATAAATTGGCCTCATTGGTAAAACGCTTAGAATTCGATCAAAAATGGGTGTTCCATATGACTAAAAAAATTGCACACATCTCCAATAAAGGGAACCTCAAGTAGCATGCGAAGCAGCCATGGGCCCACATAGGTTTCGTAAAGAGGTGCTCCTTACTTATCTCTGTAGACGTTGGTCGTTCTGCACACAGTCGCTTTGCAAGCCCTCGCCTCTGTTACACACATGCTTGTCTTCATTCATACTACTACATTGTGGATGTGAGAGAGAGGAATAAGTGGCTTTATTATACAGAGCAGCGCAGTGCTGCTAGCAGTCTCCACCCATACCAGAGTACGCGCCGAAGTGGAGCGAGGACTTTACTGCAGAGCCACCTAGTAGGCACTCCGAGTACTAGTGTGGCTACGACAAGGGACAAGCACCGACCATAAGCTGCTTTGAGTCTAGTTCAATATCACTAGTTTCTCCGAACGAAAATTTATAAAGAAGCCCCCCCCCCCCCCCCCCCCCCTTCCTATAAGATAATTTGATACACTTAAATCTCATCTAAGCAAGTGAAATACTGTATTAAAGGTAAATTTTCGCAAAGAATAATATCTGTTAGCAAGAAATGAGAGAATGCAGATTGTCTCGTGGACTTCACAAAAAACACTATAGAAGATGGCAGACCAGCACTGTGCAATTGGTGGTTTTGGGACTATAAACCCCACATATCCATCAATCCGTCAAGCAAAATGATAAGAATTTGACAATCAATAATTTGATTGCGGGTTCAAAGGCTTGTGCATGACGAATTTCACCATCCCACTGATGTTTCAAGAGGTGAAATTCCAATTTGTTCATAATAAATTTTGTACCAGCAATAATTTGAATAAACATGCTAGCCAGAATTTCATATTTTGTACAGAAATAGGCCCTTAGGAGTTGAACAGTCTTTGTAAGAGAACCCTCTTTGTAAGTTGAACCCTTTTTGTAAGTGATGATCTTAATGCGCTCAAAACATGAATCGCCACCTACTGTAAGAAAGGAACGCTAGACAATGAATCTGTTACAATCACTGGAGAACTTGATTTTAATTTACAGACATTTAGGATAACCCCCAAAAAATTCACCTAGAAAGTAGGTACAAAACCTGGAAGGCAAACAGAAAACTACCAATATTGTGTGGGGGAGAAAAACCAATCCTACATTTTTTATCACTTTGGGAAGCTTCAGTTACTAGGATTGTCTGAACTGATATTGTAACAAGTGATCACTTAAAATAGCACCGTAATAGAATGACAACTTTGATCGACCCATTTTTCTATGGTGCAATGGAAAGCTCCCCTTCAGTAGTGGTTAAACTTGCAACAGTCGATTGCAAAAGCACGTGAATATTTTGAAAGCAGAATTTTTTCAATTTTCAAAAAAGTTCCAGTCGCTTCTCCAACAACAGTTTGAAGCAATGCCTATGCCAATAGCACTTCTTGCAAGCTATTCTTTACACTCGTCATTCTGCTTTCACAAAGTCAGTTAAACTGTGGTTAACTGCTTTTATTTTGACATTTTCTGCAGTCTCTGGATAAAAAAGCAGGTAGAATAAGTTTTCTGAACGACTCTCGCCACGTGAAGTCCTCTTACTACTTAGTAAACCAAGGCATTCCTCGTACTTATACAAACTCGTCAACAGGTCTCGTTAAGCCCTCGACTAACAACTCATGACGATTAAATCCGAAATCCTTGTACATAGAAATAAGGCATCTGACACTACCTCCCTCAACTTACAACTCAATGGAACCCTAATGAAAGAGGTTGAAACAATCCGAATTCTTGGGGCCTACTTCAATAATCGGGACAATTCATTTGCAATAAAACTAAGAACGTCCTGTTTACAGATTTCTCATATAATTAGTCATGTGGCTAACCAACGACAAGGGATGAAAGAACATGACATAATGCGACTCATTCAGGCATTTGTAATCAGTCGCATAACTTATAGCTTCCCTTACCTGAGGGTCTTGAAAGCAGACGAGCACAAAATAGAGTCATAGGTGTGACTCTCAAGAAGGCTCTGAACCTTCCCCCGTGGACACTCACGGAACGTCTGCTTCAAATGGGGCTCCACAATACCGTATCAGAACTATTCCATGCACAACACACGAATCAAGTCATGCGCCTCGCCATCACTAAAACGGGACGGAAAACATTATCAGAACTTGACATCGAAGCCCCCATTGAGAGAAAAAGAAAACACTGTATGCCACATGAGTGGAGGCAGGACTTCATCATCAAACCACTTCCACGCAACATGCATCCTCAGTTCCACGAACATCGACGTCGGGCACGAGCAAAAGTTCATAACAACTACTCAGATGCTGAGGGCGCCTTATTTGTCGATGCAGCTGGACCAGTGAACGGCAAATATACAGCAAGCATCATTCATTGTGGAAAACAGGTCGATTGTGTATCAGCCCAGGACACAGACACAACTAGTATGGAAGAAGCGGGAATCGCCCTCGCCCTACAATACCCCGAGTCCACCTTCATTCTCATAGATTCACAAGCAGCCCACCGAATTTTCTGTACACGCTGGATTGGCCTCGTTACGCACCGAATCCTTACACAGCTATCGGCCCCACGTTCAAAGGGAGACTGGAAACAGCTGATATGAATACCCGGCCACAGCGGAGTTAGAAGCAATGAGCTGGCCCATGCCTCGGCCCAAAGATTACTCTTTTGAACTTCCGACCCCGGCATATCGCATCCATGCTCAGCTCTAAGTGAGGACCGGCTTCTAACGTATTGAGAAATTCTGCAACACCAACGAATCGAACGACAAAAACTTCCACCCCAGGACAAAACCTCAGTAAGGAACCAAAGTAGCGTGGCATTGCTTACAGACTTTGTCCTATCCTAATCCGTACATATTGTCAAAGATAGATCACGACACACACACCACACACAGTGCAGTTTCTGTGCCAATAAAACAGTTACCCTGTGCCACATGGTATGGGAGTGTCCTCACAATCCCCCTTTGCAACCTAGTACACAACACAATATTGAAGGGTGGGAGGCAGCTCTGTCCAGCTCGGATCCGAAGACCCAAGAGGCCTTCATGACACGTGCGAGGACAGTGGCCTGCACCAATGGGATCGCGGACTAAGGACCCCACTCGCCTATCTACTCAAGTTTTATTCTCCCTCTTATGACCATCTTCTCATACGTCAAGGGAATGTGGTGCCACTGTTCTGCCGAGTACAAATGAAGCTCTAATTGGCACGTTTTTAACCGAGAAACAATTATTTTAAAAAATGTACGGCATTTCAACTCTATCAGAGAAATTCTGTACACCAGTTCAGGGACACTAATGGGGGAACATAATCAACTCTACTTTATTGCCGTGTGGGGCACAAAACTGACTTAATAAAAATATAAACCCATGTTTAATTAAAAAAGTGTTTGTTTTAGCTAGTATAATAGATAATCTTTCCACTAGTGGGCTATCTTAATCAGTGTTAAAGTGGTTATCTGTTCATTTAAAAAGCTGTACGACAGCAGCCTTGCATTTCTTGGGAACATAGCCAGGCTGTGTTTTAATGGCATTATTGCTGCAGCTGATTGAAAGTACATCACGAACTTAAATATTTTAATAGTACAAAGGGCCCTGTGAACACAGAATTTGAGGCATACTGGAATCTTGGCCAGCACGCTCCAAAAAACCAAATCGCGCCTGGAGATAAAAACAGTTTGTGAACATCCACTGTGTGGTGTATGCAGTCTTAGAGACGGGTAACAAGTGAAAGGAGCCCAGCTAGAAGGCCACCGCCATCCTTTTCTTCTCAGTTGGTGTATTGATCCTGCCCTGCCACCCTTCAAAAACGATAACTGGGCTAGTTGACAAATGTCCATGTTAAAAACTCCGCTACTTAACCTTACAGTAAAATGAACCTTCAAAAACTTTCTGCACCTAGCATGGTTTTGTACTGCTTCCGCGATCGACTCTTTTCCGACCAAACGACAAAGTCATAGTGACGCCATAAAGTCACAAATTTTGCTTACCTGCAATGCAATTGCACGCCTAGCCTTGCATGACTCGTGTCGATGCTGCTACCATGATGCTGCAAGTTTAACCACTACTGAAGGGGAGCTTTCTATTGCACCGTAGAAAAATGAGTAGAGAAAATGTGATTGCCAGTCTCTCTCAATGCTATTTTAAGCAATCACTTGTTACAATACCGATTCAGACAATTGTAGCGACTGACAATTCCCAAAGTGAGAAAAAATGTATGATTGGTTTTGCTGGCCCTATCTGGATTCGTCGTTTTCCATTTGCCTCCCAGGTTTTGTACCTACTTTCTAGCTGAATTGTGAGACACTGGTGTGTCTCACAAATTTTGGTGACGTGTAATGCCATTGTACGACTAATTTGAATGACTTGTGTCAACACTGCCACCACGTGGTAGACACAGCCAGTATCTACCATGTGGTGGGAGCATCGTTTAAATCGTTCAACGAACTTATAATACAGCTCCACTATAGAAAACAGGAGCACATGCAATAATCTGCTTTGCAAGATACCTACAAGTAGAAGTTGCAATGTCTGCAAGGCCATCCCAATGCAGATGAGGCATCAGTGAGCAGCTTATCTCATGTGATCACAGAGTTAGGCAGTGCAGCATAACAATCAAGGGTATTGCCACAGAACATTGTGTGCTCCCAAAATAATGTTCACCTTTTTTAAGTGTAGAGCACTTAGCGGCCCTGCTTGTTGTCCATCTACAGAAAATAGATGATGGGATCACACTCACAGTGAAGTGTTCAATATAGGCCATAACAAGAAGCAATACTCGAAACCAGGTTAATATGAATGAAAAAGGTCTAAAATAATATAAGTAACAGAAACAAGCAAGAAGTAATTGCAAAAGAAAGTAACTAAAGATCTCGAACGTTTTCGAAACATGTGGCAGACTCCACTACCATGCTAGAGAGGGCGCTACCTACCACCTTGCCAAACGAGCAAGTGACCTGCACTTCGCTTGTTCTGCGTAGGTACATTTTATGAGAAACAACCTGATGCAACTCGCTGCAGATGAAGCGCACCTCAACTGCCATAACAAGCACAATGTCAACGCACCGCAAAAAGTAGCACACATGCCATGCACAGTTCGCGAATTTCTTTTGCAAGATTCTACTTGTTTTCATTCGTTTGGCGGGGGAAACCCACATGCCTATTTCAAGCATTGGCATCAACGCTTTGGCAAATGGAGCAGTGGGAACTCTACGCACAGGAATCACTGGGTTCTCACACTGCGCACTTCAAGTTTCACAGCAGAGGAGCTGTCACTTTTATAAAAGATGGCCTTCACAAACCTCCAAATACGGCTTCGTGAAGCCCTCAGGGCCCGTGGACACTCATTTGAGAACTACTGCACTATGCCATGAATTACCATGATTTCACGAAGTAGGAAAATGTCCACTGTGCCATTAGCCATAATTGTACGAATCAAGGTATCTACTTTGCAACTGTAAGGCATTGTGCACAGTTTGTTGATGCTGTGGCTCATGACAATGAGGAATTATGGTTCAGCATCGGACGAACGCCATTGAGTGAAAGCCACATGTCAGCAATGAACGACCAAACAGTGTCAAAAACTGCTACGAAGACTGTTTTAGACTTTATCAAAAGCACTTGACTAGATACTAGACTGTAGGGTGCTATGCTAAGTGGCAACTGTACATATGCATCACCTCTTCTTGTCCTCATCATCATCTTTCATCTCTCTTTTCTTCCTTTACCCCTGTGTAGAGTAGCAGGCTAGAGCGAACTAGCTCAGGGCGACCTCTCTGCCTTTTAATAATATTAATTCTCACTCTCTCTATGGTTCAGCCCATTGTAATAAGTGGGAAGCCTAAAACCTCATTAAGCACTTTGTATTGTGTGAAGCTTGGTATTAGTTCCCTCAACAACCATGCTACATAAATCTGTTAATGTGATTCCTAGCCCAACATGGCACTTTTACAGGGTCTTTGTGAATAACTTCCAAGCACCGGCAGGGCTCTGTAATAGAAAATTCAGCTGCCACGCAGAGGGCCTGGTTCGAATCCTGCTAGATACTGGATATTTTTTCTGCTCTCTCGGCATACCCTAACTCATGGTATTGCACAATATTGATCTAGAAATACAGCCAACTAATGCATATTCATTACCCACGAAAATATCCAATCTATCTAGAATATATGCTCTGACAGTGCACCACGTGACATGGCAGTGAAGTGATCCCACTGTCCAAATGGAAGGCTGCTATTACTGGTTTCGAACTTTAACAGCTGCGGGCAGTCCGATGGACTCATGATGCAGCAGAGACTTGGTCTTTCTGTTCTGACGTGGAATGACCCAAAATGCGCTAAAAGAGCATTCCGAGAGATGACGATAGGGTTTATCTATCCATTGATCTACAGTGCGCGATAGTGGTTATGAACACTGGTGGCAGTGGACAGCTAGACCACCAAAGTGAGCTGTTGTTGTGAGCCCACAACAGTTTTCGCTGTAGAATGTATCACAAGAAACACAGCAGAATGACATGAGAGATTATTGACACTTTTATTTAACTCAGAAGAGCTAGGCATTATGCCTGTACTGCCCTAACGTCATGCGACGTTCAAAACAGCCGTGGGCCAGTCGTTATTCCCGTCACACCGACGGCGTTTTCTTTTCCAAACGACAACACCACGGGGGCGAGGGGGTGTGGTGCCAAGCAGCGAACAACTCGGTGCACGTCTACTGTGTTTTAAACGCAAGGCCCAACATCGGGCACGAGCGACAGGCACTAACCCGACAATTCCGTCGCAGGAAACGAGCACACACGAAAAAACTCGCCATAAAAGTCCAGTGCTGCACAACCACACCCGACAGACACAAGGAGAGGGAAAAAACGGGAAGATCGTACGTAGTTAAGCTTAAAGCACTGCAACCAAGACTAGGTCACGCATGCAGCAGTGCTCACGGATTGCCCCTACAGAGTGATGGTACCGGACACTGCACGATGCCACTGCGAGGTTGAGCGAACGGCCCGGGTCTCGATGACTCTCTATCGTGCCTACGAGTTTCGAGAAGAAGCTCTCCTCTGCTAGTCTGGTCCTCTGAGCCTCCTCCTAAGTGTGGCCTTGGCCAGCGAGGCGCCTTTTTTCTTTGCTGGAGGGCGTACAAAAATAAAGGCAAATAAATAAGCTGGGGTCTGGTCATCAGAGCGGGGCGTCTGGTGGTGCCAGCAGCTGGTCGGCCCTCTTGTGGTCGCTCAGGGCCTTGAGCGTGAGCGAGTCCAACGGGAGCTCCGACTTGCGCCGCAGCAGGGGCTTCTCCTTCTTGGCAGCCAGGGTCGTCGTTACCTGCGTGGTGCAATACAGGAACGTAACGTTGCAGTCCTCATCAACATTATGTGGGTAAACAGCATTAGCTATGGTACGTTGACAGTAGAGTTGCCAGCCTATATCATAACAAAAAAATACTGTTCTGTATTCTTTGTTATGCCGAATAAAATAAGAAGTACTAATCCATGTTGGCTCTTCACAATTGGCAATTTCAAAACATGTCAGTGCATCCTTACACTATAGTGTGAATCACAGCACAAGGCAAACGAAACTGTATTCTGAATTCTGTGGTAGGCCCAATAATTTCCAGAGCCTTCCACTATGGTGTCATAATCATGTCGTTGTATTGGGATGTAAAACCCAATATATTATGATGTTATTGGTATAGCTCCACTGATTTAATAAGGGTACACCCCAAGTAGTCATCACCATCAGCCTGACTAATCGAGTCTGTAGTACTCAAATGACCAGTCGTTATCTTGCCTTTGTGCTACGTGCCCTGCCCATGACCATTTCTTCTTCTTGATTTCGACTATGATGTCTTTAACATCCGTTTGTTCCCTGACCCACTCTGCTTTCATCTTTTCCCTTAGGGTTACACCTATCATTTTCCTTTCCATTGCTCATTACGTCATCCTCAACTTAAGTTGAACCCTTCATAGAGTTTCCTAAAATGAACACTGGCGCTGCAATTGTTCAGCGACCATGAGAATGATGGGTAGTACACAGACTTGCCTCATCTTCGTACCTGCGGGCAACGAATTGCACTTGTGGCTTCGTTTACTGCTGTGTTTCCGTTGCGTTTCAAAGGAAAAAAACAAACCCCTTTGAACTTCGTGAACCAATTTGAAATGGTAAGACTAGAAGAATAAGGAGGTGAAGCGCAATCGCTGAACACTAGCTGATCTTTGGTTCGTGAGAAAACAACTCCAAGCCACACGAACACACACGGAGCCAGAAGTACGAAGATTAGACAAATCCTTGTACTAACCATTACTCCCATGCTCGCTGAAGCACCGTGCATTGCAGTTCTCATAGACACTAGCGCCTGAGTTCCCTCTAGTGTACATTTAGAACTATATGAAACCCTCTTCGTAATCCTCTAGTTTCTGCTCTGTAGGTAAGTACTGGTAAGATGCATCTGTTATATACCTTCATCTTGAGGATAGTGGCAATCTACCATTCATAATTGGAGAATGGTTCCCGAATGTGTTCCACCCCATTCTTATTATTTTAGTTACTTTAGTCCCGTGGTTACTGCACCGCAGTTACTACCTGTCCTAAGTAGACATATTGTGAGCCCTGTTCATATTGTTCGTCTTATGACCTGTAAATACTCAGCATCATAGCTTGGGTCAGAGCAGAGGGGCTCTGGCTCGAGTAACATTGTCTCACAGTACTCTTTTACAACTTCGAGTCCACTGCTACCTGTGGTAGTAAAGCTTTGTAAATAAACCGATTGCAAGCGTTAAACTCGCTCAAGCACCGTTTTTAAGGTCAACAACTATATCTTACATGTAAGTTATTGAGTGTAAGGTGTTCAACTGATATAACATTCTATGTGGCAATGTCTTCCCCCAATGATGAGCCAGTAAGATCTGAAGCCAACTTCACGCCACTCACCTCCCTGGCCTGGCTTTCCAGCCTGTCGTAGAGCATGTCGTCGTCTTCCGGTGGGCTTTCGAGGGCTTGTGTCGGGGTGCCTAGCTGGGGCTTCACCACGTGGAACTGCAGCAGGGGCACAACAGAAGAGAGCTTCAGCCATTGCTTACAAGAGTGCTCGTTTATGTCTGCATACCTGAGGATTTTTCTCGGCTAGGCTCTCTATCCGGTTCCAGGCGTCCTCCCGCTCTCGCAGGCGCATTTTCTCACTGCAAGAACACACAGAAATGCAAATTTGACAAAAACACAAACACGGCATGGCAAGAAAGAGAAAAGCTCAATTCAAGGCAAACAGTGCATGGAGGGCACATGTGATAACATTACCCTCATGTGAGCAGCCTGCCGTCAAATGATCATCACACAGAGGAAACACCCCAGCCAACTTTTGGTTAGGGAGCATGGAGGACTGCCAATGGAGGGGAAGGGGGGCTGTGGCACTTAAAAAGGAGCAATCTCCCTCTTTTATTTTTTAAGAAATAGCTATCATTGTAGAGCAGATATAATGCATGAGAGCTGAATTCTAGTCACCAACAAAACAAGAATGCAAACAGGACAGACGGTACATCTATTCATAACGTCGTAGGAGCAAGGCGTCATTTTACTGCGGAGCTGTTGGAACTTCGCTAGAGTGATCCAAGGCATCTGCAACTAGCCCACCATGTATGTTCCAGACATCGGGCAAGCCTCAATACTTGCCCTCAATGTACTAAAAATGAAGCTGTTCGTAACTAGCCAAGCAGACATGTGCCAAGCAGCTTCTAGCATAGCATGGCCATGTCTAGTATTGCCAATCACTTCATGTCTAGCCATGAAGGTAACTTGATACATGAAGTTCTCTGAAAAGTAGCCTGCGCTATTTTTCATGTACAATGAATGTTATAAGATTCATGCACTACAAAAACGCTGACAAATGCTATACGCACGTAAAACAAGGCGAGTTTCAAATGCAAAGGTCAGACGATAACATTAAGCTATCCATCGTGGCTTCATAAATCTTGCGAAGCCGATATTTGCACTCTGCGGGCTATAATCGAACGCGCGGGTTGCCACGCATTTTCTCGAAAACTTCACGTATCGCAAGAACAAATCAGATTTATTGCGTCACGGACGGTCCAGTATATTCACTGATGCACGAAACATACAATGTGCTTCGAGTTCGTTTCTTGCTAACGTATCAACACTGAGGCTGGCAGAGCCGAACAAAGGAGCGTCTGCCTACTGATCATCCTAGAGAAGACGCTCCTGAATTCTGCTAGGCTGCACGACAGTTTCTGAACATTGCGAATACACTAGCGTTCAACTGTTGAGGGAGAGCACCGCCTCTCCAAGTCTGCAATTCGAACTCTCTATATGAAACACAGCCCATCTCGCTGGAGCAGAGTGTAAGAGGAAGTTCTATTTTTCAAGTGGAGAGTTGTTTAGGATAGGTTACACACAGTCATTCCCTCCTGCAGCCGAATTCACACTCACGTACGCAGTGGTGGCAATGCCGTCCAGCATTTTGAAGCAGCCAAAATCTGCTTTTGGAGCAGCTACCTCGGTGTTTGGAGCACGCATGGGCTTCCCATGACAAATACAGAGGAAAAAATTTTTGTTTTAATTAGTGTAATGTTTCCCCAGTTTACATAATCATTTATACAGAAGCAGCAAGCCCACAAATAGGCAAGAAAAATAAACAAAAGTAGGATTACGTACAGAATCAGTTACACAAGTAGTGAGGGATATTGCACCAACAAGCTATAGCTCCAACATGAAGTACCACACATGCACACACAATCAAATGCAGTAAAATGGCGTTAATATGTACGTACATGCCGAGAACCTGCCAGGAATGCAGCTAACGATGCACCAAACATGGTATGCATTAAACACCACACAAGCATCTGCAGGGTTCCCCTTCCAGGGGGAAAGGTTTATTGCAGTGCCCCTTTCCCCATCATGTACATGTATGGGGCTGACGGCCAAAAAAACAAGGATAGAAAAGAGCGCTGCATACTTGCTCAAGTATCCACGTTTTACGGGACTGGCTTTACTTGCACCACCTCTTTCTCCCCTTCCGCCCGCCCCCCCTTGTGCACGCATATGACCAACTACCAATTTGTGTTTCTTTGCGTGCGCCATCACTCCTAAATAAGGTATACATACCGTGCCTCAGTAAATATTGTCCAAACAGCCGACTACAAAGCCATTTCTTTCTTTTTGCCAATGTTAAGAAATTATCGGCATTTTTCTGCAACTGTTCGATGGCATGTGGTGGCGGCACCAAACAGCATTTTGAAACTGCTACAGAGTCCGTTGAAACATTGTGGAATACCCTGAAGTCTACCGTTCACTTTTGCATTGACAGATATATTCCTACCAGGAGTGTCCGTACTAACCAAAACAACCCATGGATATCAAGAGAAATCATTCACCTTCATCGCAGGCTTAAGCGTGCCAAACGGCGCCACTCCCCTCCCAGCAAGTTAACCGCATTAAAAACTCTTCTTGCCTCCAAGCTTTCTGATGCAATGGCTATATATTTCTCGCAAACCCTTCCAAGTTTTATAAAAAGCTGTCCAGAAAAGTTCTGGCGTTACTTAGGTGATCGTCCTAAAGACGTCCAACAGATATCAATTAGCGGTTCTGTTACCGGTGACTCGGTCGCTATCGCTAACCATTTTAACCAATATTTTCACTCCGTTTTCTCTCCAATCCAAGATAGTACACCGTACAACATGCCTCTTCCAAATCTGTCCTCAGAATTTATAATCGTTGAGGGTGTTATTAACATGTTACTCAACCTAAAAATTAGATCTTCCGTCGGCCCCGACAACATACCCAATGCCTTCTTGCACCGATACGCTGAGCCGCTAGGGCATATTCTTACTCACCTTTTTAGGTTATCATTTGACTGTACCGAAATTCCTGACGACTGGCGCATGGCCTGTGTCGTACCAATCTTCAAAAAAGGGGACCGCCTCTTTGCAAACAATTACCGCCCTATCTCCCTGACTTCTAGCATCTGTAAACTCTTCGAACATGTAGTATCAGATTTTATTGTCTCGTTTTTAGAAGCCAACAATATTCTAACGCCTTGTCAGCACGGGTTTAGAAGACGCTTATCTACGCCTACCCAGTTAGTAACCACCATTCATGAACTTGCGTCTTCACTCGATAAGGCTGAACAAATCGACGTCATTTTTTTAGATTTCAGCAAAGCATTCGACCGCGTTCCTCACAGTAAACTAATCCTAAAGCTTCAAAAAATTGGCTTACCAATAACACTCATAAAATGGATCCAGTGCTATCTGTCTAACCGCAAGCAGTTTGTTAAAATCAGTAGCTGTTTTTCCCATACTCTCCCTGTAACTTCCGGTGTTCCTCAGGGCAGCGTGCTGGGACCCGTACTCTTTTTAATTTATATCAATATTTCTGACGTTATCGACGCATCGTCGATTGGTTTAAAGTTGTTTGCGGACGACTGTGTACTCTTTAAACGAATTTCATCCTCAAGTGACCAAAGTAACCTGCAATGTAACCTTGATGCTGTCTCTGAATGGTGTGAAAAATGGTCCATGGAACTGAACTGTGACAAATCTGTATTGCTCCAGGTAACTAACAAAAAAAATGCATTCACGTCCTCCTACAGGCTCAATAACCACACGCTGAAACAAGTAGACGAATATAAATATCTAGGAGTTACTATAACAAGCCGACTAACTTGGTCCAGTCACATTAACAAAATTTGCGCATCGGCCTCCAGAAAACTCGGGTTCCTCAGGCACAAACTAAAAGCCGCTCCTCCACGTCTTAAATTGCTAGCTTATAATTCCGTTGTTAGGCCGCAACTCGAGTACGCAAGCGCAGCATGGAATTCATTCCTTAAAAAAGACATTCACAAATTAGAAATGGTGCAAAGAAAGGCAGTCCGGTTCATCTTTAACAGCTATCATAGCCGAGCTTCTCCATCGCTTCTCATGGAAAACAACAATATAATGACCCTGGAACACAGGAGGCAGGTTGCGCGTCTAAGATTTCTGTTTTTGCTTAATTCCCAACAATTCAATATTAATCCAGGACTTTATATTTAGCCCCGCTTATCTCGTTCAACTCGAAGCACCCATGAGCACAATCTAACTCCAATTTTTGCACGCACTAATCTTTTTAAGCACTCCTTCTTTCCCCGCACAATCGAGCAGTGGAATAGATTGCCTGTTGATGTGTTTTCAGGCGCGTGATGTGTCGGATTTTGAAAAGCGTGTACTTTCTGCAATATTTTAAACATTCTTTGTGCCGCTATGTTTCTTTGTGTACTGCTATTTTTTTTTTGTTTCTTCACACTTGTTGGACTGTTTTCAGAATTGTGTACCAATTCACCATACGGATTGATGCTTTCTATGTAATTAATCCCTGCCCACCTGCTTGGTCTTCGGACTGCAGTATGTCTTAAATAAATAAATCCAATGCAGCGTTGAAACTGACATAATCGGGTGTCCACAATCAATGTGCAGTACGCTCTGCTACTTAGCGAGAACTGACAATTTTTTCGAGATGCCATACGATCGCAGACTGTCGCCAGCTATTAAAGGCATGCACTAGGCTTAAACCAACGCTACGCCGCACACGTAGGCTTCTTGTCAGTGATAAGTCCTACTGCCGCGCTTTTCGGTAGTCGCCACATCACCTGCATTCTTAGCCAATGGTTAGAAAAGGCACCGCCGCAATCGTGCGGAAGTCGAAATAATTGATCGGCCGATTCCATGCTTTTGCATTAACGCAAGTGTGCGCAAATGCAGCAGCGCAAGTGTACAAGATAACGACCATCACGTAATATCCGCTCACAATGCCTGCTGTCAACATTACTTTCGGATCGAAAATTACCTTTATAGTGCAGCGATGATGCAAATTAGACAATAAAGACCCATTTGGAGCAGTGTGGCGCAGTAATTTCCCGTTGGGGCAGGTTGGAGCAATTGGCGCAGGTTTCCCACCACTGTGCATGGCAGTCGCAGTGTTGCTGTCACTATTTCATGAATCGTGTGCAGAAACTGGAGATTTCCAACTCAGAGCTATCACTATCGAGCAGCAGAAGCAATACTATTTGCCAAGCCATCCATATAATTAGCCATTACCGCCAAAACTCGGGACTACTGACAGCGCCCCCAAGACAGGTGCATAATAAAGAAAATGCATCACGTAATTTCAGTCTGCTCGACTGATTTCGACGGAGCAAGTTTTCCTGCTCGATGAAGTGACTCCCATTCTGAATTGAATCCAACCATCTCGTCAAATCTGAAATCCCCCCACTCTAGTCAGTAGAACACACCTGCTCCAAAACAAACACGAAAACTTGTTCAGACTATGTAACTGAAATTGAGTATAGTACAACAGTGCAAGGGGTTGAGAAAGGGAAGTGAGGGTGACAAGTGATGCAAGGGTAATGAGGGAAAGAAAGAAGCTAAGTAGGGGACCACGCAAAGCCTAGCATAGCCATGTACAGTCTAGTATAGGTGGGGAAAGGTAAACGAGGGAGAGATGGTTGGAAAGGCCGAGGAAGGGTATAGTGTAGTATAGCAGAGAAAAGTGGTCGAACAGCAGGTCGCACTTTGGCAAAGTCTGGCGTGGGAAAAGGCAACATGCAGCCGCACTGCATGCATGCAGGCAGTGTGACAGTGACGACGTCATCAACCTGAAACTGGCCCCTCAGCCCCGCTGTACTGTGGTGCCTACTACGTTAAGTCAGTTAAAGATGCACCCAATTTTTTATTCATTTGTTATCAATAAGTAGCAATAAGTAGTTATATGCCACAGAAGCAATCTTGGCATAACAGAGTGACAATTCTCACACCTTTTCTATTAACAACTTGTAAAAGCCAACCACACAGATCACACATACATTTAATTGACAGGAATTCCAGCACACTGAGCTTCATCAATTTACCAAGTCCCGGATCACACGCCAGCGGCCCGCGGGTGCTTCAGCTGATAGGCAGCTACGTCACATACATGTGATCAAAAAGTCCCGAGCCAGCCCAAGCGGCCTTGGGCCATCTGCGAACTTGATGCTGGCTGCATCCGCTGTGGCATCTGCTATGCCATCTGCTCCCTCCATAGCTGTGACACAGGCCACCAAGCCGACCCAATTCCAACCTAAACAGCAGTTAGGTAGCGAATTATACCTATTTCTGTTGTGATGCAACTTACTGTAAGTGAATTACACAAGTGCGTGCACATCGTAGACCGGCGCGGTTATTCCACCACTGTTTCTCCTAGCGAGTATAACGCGCGTTTGCCCGACCTTCGGGCAAACGCGCGTTAGACCAAGAGCACGTCAAAAATTTCAGTGTCTAACATAAGATGGCCGCACAGACATGCGCCCCGCGCCGTCGGCTGCCAGCTGCCCGAAAGAAATCGTCTGGACAGTCCCAGGCCGCCCGCAGGCACGCGAAAAATCAATGTGGCACCGGCGTCTGGGGCCGTATGGAGCCGTCCGGGACGTGTAAATCGATGAAGCTCACTGATTACAAGATATTCAAATCATCATCGATATACCTATAGCATCATCATAATCATTGCTGTCATCATCACTTATCATTGCATCATGGCTTGAGCCAACGTAGAACAACTGGTCCTCGGCCAGGCCAGACGCTCCCTTCTTCTTAGGGCGAAGAATAAATGTAGGGATATAGGCACAGCTAAATATTCCAAGTTCTGCATTAGTTGGGTTTAGGTTCAGTACGAGGAGCATTATTTTTCTGATCTGTGGCAGCTCTACTCATATTAAAAACATCAAAGTTAGACCTGAGGCTACTTAAAGATATGCTTGAACTGCACTTGGCATACAAAAAAGGAAAACTCACTTGTGACGCTCCTGGCGGTAGTTTTGGACGCAGTCGTCAAACAGCTTCTGGTTCATTTCCATGAGTAGCTTGAGGGCGTTGTAGACTAGGCCGTAGATGGTCTTGTTCCAGTGGGCCTTGGAGTTCTTGTAGAGGGCTGGAAACACAATGGGCAGCAGGATAGCCGCATTGTCACTGACCAGGCTCATGATGTACTCGTTGTTCCAGTAGTAGAGGGCCCGCTCGGCCACCTGGAAGTGGGGGGAGGACACACAGCGCGCCAGCTGCCTGAAGAGAGGCACCATCACCTTCGCGAACTCGGCCGGCTCAATGACGTCCAGGATCTCCTCGAGCTCGTTGAGGAACATCACCTCCTTGGGCGAATGCACCTTCGGCCAGAACTTGAGCAGGGCCAGGATCACCGGCTCTGTCAGGCTCGGCTCCTTCTCGAGGAACTGGACCACGCAGTAGGCCAGCTGCGGATGGTACACGCTCAGCGACTTTACTTTGTGCAGGGGCATGAGCACGCGCAAGAGGAACAGCTTGTGCTCCTCCTTGAGAGGCAGCGCGAAGCCGTTGATGATGGAGCCGAGGATCTCGAGCAGCTCGGCGACGCCATTGTGATGCTCCGTCTCGTAGATGAAGCGGTAGAACATGTGGTTCACTTGCTTGCGTACATACGCCCGCAGCCCTAGGAACTTGCCATATATCCGATGCAGCGTGGTCTTGAGGAAGTCGCGCTCACGGGGGTCCTCGGAGTCAAATAGCTCAAGGAGCTGCAGCACAAACCGCTGATCCAGGTGGCGTTTGGCTAGCGCAGGCTGGAAGTCAGGGCTCTCGAGGAATCGCAGGAACAGCTCGTAGACAAGCTGGAGGTGAGGCCAGGCCGCCTCCAGCGTCGGCTCGTCCTCCTCGGGGTCAAACTCGGCACCGTTCGGGTTCGAAGAGGGCGGCAACGTCCGGAACACGTTGACGCCGAACATGTGGATCATCTCGGGGTAGATGGGCTCAGTCAGCACACCCCGCTGAGAGGTGATGTACTCAACCATCTCGTGCAAGGCCGCTCGTTTCACCTCTTTCCACTTGAGGTCTGACAGAGGGTCGGTCACAAAGTCGAAAAGCACACAGCACTGCCGGATTTTCTGCATGAAAGGAGACAAAAAGGGAGAACTTATGCCACTCACAGGTCATACTACATCTAATAGCAGGAAAAGTGCCATTGTAGCTTTGCTACCGAGGATACAAGACTTTGTTAACTACTGTTTCACAGCTGCCATTTCTGTGGAAACTCGGCACGCCATGAGTGGCACCAACACGGATAAGCAGTGGGCATAATTCATGCCCCACAAGCCAACTACCAGCATGACCTCCTATCAAAAGTTGAATATGTTATTCTGGATAGGTGAGCAGTCCAATGCAATTAAACAGGCATTTACGATAAGAGTCAATGTAAAGTCCGAGTGCTTCCCATCTTTGTGCATACCAACAGTGCTGCAGAGGGGCAGTGAAATAGAAATTGGCCATGCAGTCAGTTCAGAAAACATAGTTTCAACGAATAATTAATAGAAACAGCTTTTTAGACACTTGTGATACCAGTGGCTTATCATAACTTGTATAAAATATTAATTGCAAGGATTCTGTTAGCCTGTTTGTTAATTCAATAAATTCTCCAAATGAAAGAACATTGGTGAACGTTACAGTGCCAATTCCACCTTGTAGCTACATGCCTGTCACATAATTAGCAGTAATTAAAACCAGCACTGTTACACATAGTTTGCTGTCGAACACTAAGCAGTGATGTGATTGGTTGAAGCCATTTCGGAGTCGCTACAGTCTCACTGCGAAGAGAAAAAACTGAACTTGTGACCATTAAAACAGCCGAGTATGGCAGAGATAGGCAACATGCCATAACATTCCATGCACGTATGGCTTGGACTACTCATAGCCTAACTGCTTACAGTGAAAGACTGGCCATAACGCAGACTTCATGCTACCCTTCATTCTCCTATAGAACTCCATGTATATGCATTCCGCTTATAGCACATCCACCTAATGAAATACTGGTTATACTGGGGCTCTGACAGGCGAGGAGATAAAGTCTTAATAGAGGTACGCTGGCCGAGGAGAGAGCAATAAATGGAGAGGGGGCGCAAATTGGAAAACAAAAAAACAAGAGGGGGAAGGAATAGATAAATAAATACACAATGCGCCACGAAAGTCACAGGTGTGATGAAGAGTTCTCTAGGATGATGAAGGGTTGTCAGACTGCTTGCCACGCATGTTCCGCACCAAACAGGCACCCGCGTGAAGTGCACAGTACCACCGTTAGTCCGTAAAATAGTAACGTCATCCGAAAGTAAAAGAACCCCGCTTGCAAGCTTGGGAGGCTTGTGCAGTATGGCTGCTGTGGCTATTCACCAGATCGTGAACCTTAACTTGGTTTAACATGGGTTGCCCTGGGTTTCTCATGAGTGTGATCTCTTTTTCACAGGTCTCATGTTGCCTATAGGGCAAGCTTCCCGAGGCAGCATGCCAACTTACAAAATCACAGGCTAGGCCTAGGAACCGCTTACCGCGTAACCGCCTCATTGGTAGTGGCTGCAGCAGATCTGTGGTTTGCAGCCAAGATAACGAAAAGCTTTGCAATGGTTACATTCTGAAAGAGCAGATGCTCTCTTGCACAATGCCCTCTGTTAGAGGAGCTAGGCAGGCAGTGTGGTGTGATCATCTGTTAGTGACCAAGGACAGAAATTCCGTATGACAGAAACATATTTGAGATTCCGCAAGCAGCAAATTACACCATCAATAAAAACGAGAGCGTACACACATGTGCAACATTTGAGTGGTGGTTCGCAATCGCCACTGCTTTGACATCACGCCTGGGAAATCGAAAGCATGCAGAAGGTTGCAGTTTGACGGGGAAACCAGTGCATAAACGAGGAGCTCTCAAAAGCTAGTCTGAGACTTTATTCAACTGTTCCCCCCCCCCCCTTTTTTCTGTGTTTGTACTATTGGCACCGCAGGCCCGCAAATTTAACCTTTAAACATTTGCAAATTTAGGAGAATGAGAACACCCTAGCCGCACGTCAATATGTGGAATGGTGCAGCTGCCTCACTTCTTGCGCGTGTGCAGTCCTTGAAAAATTGTATTTTTGTCATAGTGCACATATTCACTCCTGTGGCAACTTACGTTACATGCGGTCTATGGTGTAACAGAAACATAGTCCAGCTAGTACTGCACAATCGCACGTGCACTTACGGCCATTGCAGCAAAGTGTGCACACATGAGGATAGACGCATGCTACAGCGTTTCGACCTCGTGCAATTTTTTTTTTAGCATACACCATGTTTGGCTGAGCTAAACAGCGAAAATGTAGCACGGTTTATCTTTTGGTGCAGTTTGGCACAATTAGTGCAGCTGTCTCATCACTGACTAAGCACACAGCAGCAAACATGCCATGCAATGAGTAACAAGTCGCCAAAGAATGCATTTCTGGGGCGCCCACTCGCAACCACTAACACTGAAAAGATACCACATAAAAAATAAAAAACAAAAATAAACACGACATAAGCAAAAATATTGAAGTTACTAAGGCAAGCTCTCGGCAACACTATGCTCAAAACTTTTGAAGTGGCACTGAGCACAGACACCTGCACATGCAGTACCTTATTTGACGCAGTCGGAGGCATCACGATCTCCGTATGCCAAGCAAACCTATTCTCTGCGCTCAACGTGTGACCTGTCATGTCAGTCGGGGCTTGCGTTCCTCAAACTAAGAAGAGAACTGCATAGGTCTAAGAGGCAATCATACTCATACAAGCATCCATCCCTGATGACGCTGGCTCTGGCACAAGTGACAAACTATTGAGCGCACCGAAGGCACAATGCGGAGCGGCAAACGTATGTTGCCATCCCACCCCCAATTCACCAATGCCAAAAACTGCAAAGGCACAGCCCCGATGTGTATTTTTATACTACACAAACTGTGCAACATAGCTGCCCCCAACTTTCGTAGGGCACGCAAAAAGAAATAATTTGTGAACCAAAAAACATGAGCTAGAGCTAAAAAATGGCTTTTTACACACATCACAGAATTATATTTTTCAGTGCTGCGACATGATGCTTACGCAGGTGCTGACCACCTGTGGGACTGTTAACTAGGATTTTTTTGTTTACCAGCCAGAGGTTTAAAGTGAGGACTGTTAGGACACCCTGAAGCAGGAATCCCTTGTCCATGTAAAGAGTGTACCTTAAATGCCACTGAATTGTATTTTATTATTTTTTTTGTCTGTACAAGAACTGAACTGTGACGGACCACTCTTTGGGGAGAAAGGTTAATCCCTTTAGACAGCTGGAGATGCAAAGAATTCTCGCACGAGTTAAAAGGCGGCACAGCATATGTTAGGGCAGAATCTGTAGACAATGACGTCCACACGATTTGACCCATACAGAGGGTCTCCTGTGCCAAAGGCAGAGAATATGGAGACCCAAACAGCTATTTAAGTGCAGGACATCACCCTGCAAACCAGTCTAGTCTAGTCCAGTCCAGCGCAGCATAGACGTCAGATTTTGCCCAGGTCCCCATCCTACGCCGACCATATATAGGTACTGTCGAAACCCGCAATAACAAAACCCCGCGAGTACGAAATCCCCGCGGCAACGAAATATTTCCGGATCCCCGGCGAACACTCATAGAAGCCCATGTATTACGTATTTCGCGGCAACAAAATGTTTTTAGACAGCCATCTTGCATTAATGAGTTTTATACCACTGTGCGGGCCTTATTTTACCCTCCCGCCAAAGGTTAACTGTCGAAAATATGCTCGTATGCGTGTTATGTGCACTTAAAATTTGTAAACGTCTGCTTTTGTCGCGCTAGCGTGGGTACCGCCATTTTTGTTTACTTAAGGAAGGACGCGGCTTCGGGATCGCGAAAAATGACAAAAAATCAATTTTTGAAAATCAAGTTTTCAGTTTCTGGAACCCTTTTTTCTATCTGATTCCAAAATATCTACACTGAAAACCGCACAGAAGTGCTTCGGAAAATTCATTTCACCCACCCAGGTAGCGAAACGTTTTTCTGGAAATCGCAAGAAAAATTTCTGGAAATCGCGAGATTTTCAAAAAATTATAGCTTCACAATGACGGGGCCCGGAGCCGGCTTCTTGGGCTCATCGGAGAGCATTTGTCCGTGTTTAACTTTCCCGCCTCAGCTGGCTCCTCCCTTTAAAAACAAGCACACAAAAAGCAAATGTTTGAAGGTCGTTTCGAGGCCCTTGATTGGCTGTGGCCGCCATGTTGCCTCGGCTCGCCTCGCCATTGGCCCGATGCTCACTCCGGGAGATCGTCGTCTGCTGCTTGTGCGTCGCGAGGACATGGCTCTCGAAAATTGCTACTTCGTGATGTAATGCCGTGCGTAATGCCGTATGGTGGCGACAAATTCAGATCATCGGTGGTCATGGCGTGTGCAATGTATCACGTGCGTGTAACCTGCCTTCTGATGCACGGTGCGTATCGCGGTCAGAGGCTCTGTTAAACTTCATAATCAAAGTTACCACGATTCTCCGTCAAGACAATTGCAAGAGACCTACATATCACACTTGCTTATGCGACCAGCTATGGATTGAGAATGCGAGTAATTCGCTTACCCAACACGTTCGCAACGGTCCGCATCCAGTGCTCTTGCAGTTCTGCCTCGCAAAAACTGCCTAAAACTGAAGTCCTTTACGTCCGTGGCAATTTACAACGCAACAGTAGTGTCGGCTGGGGTCTTTCTTGGTAGAGCGCAGAGCTGTTTTGTCTGCTCTTGTTTTCACCGTCGTTTTGGTGAGTAAACCAGCAAACAAATCTTGGCGGTTCGGTGATGCGTCTGACTAGGGAATAGAAATTCGTAACTCTTTTTCCAAGTGTTTAGTGTGCAAATACACCTAACATTTAGCTCAATCGTTGTTTCGTACGCTGTAGTTGCACCTGGTTGCGCAGCAAACTGAGTGAGGAAGTCGTGCTTTGCACTACTCAAAACTGCATCGACAGGTGGCACTGCATGCCCGCAAAACTACAGAGTGAGACGTCTATAGAAGCCGAACCTAGCTGCTCTTTTAGAAGCAGTTGGTATGGTATGAAGAACTTTAATAAGGTCCTGAGGATCAGTGCAGGACTGATGGTGGCTGCTCCTACGTCGGGACAGGGAGGCCAAGCCCCTCCGCTGTCGTGTTGCCCAGAATTTCCTGTCCACCTAACCCTATCTGAATGACTAGTTTGTGTAAAGATACGAAACCAATGTCTGCAACCATGCCGACAGTACAGCCTCGAGCGTTTTGAAGTATATCCCATGAGCACCGACCGCACGCATTATCAGTGCTTCACAACTACAACCTGCAAGAACGGCAACATTACCTTACAACAGCAGATAATCTGCAACACCAGCGATGTAGTTTTTTGAAAACGCTGGACACTTCTCCAGTTAGCTCAACATGCTTGAATGGAACCTTCAGAACTGACATACGAGGAAAGACAGAGCTGCAATCCAATCCAATACAAGTAGACTCACAAGCACTCTATGGGACGACTCAACTTCTTTCTTGTTGGAATTTGCCAACGTTATCAAGACTTCCATATGTCACCGTTTGTTTACTTCTGAACTGTATTGCTGCTGGCCCTGTTACGCGCTATGCTTTTGAATTGTCACCGAGTTCCGATTTGCACATTGTTCTAATTTCTGTACCTACTGACAACTTCTTGCTCCCAGTATTGAGTCTTAACAACTGACTGAATTTAGGCACACGTGTGCTAGCTTCCTTTTTCTCATTATATTATCCTGCATACTGCTGTCTGTCAATAAATACCAGTAATTAATTACTCTTGAAATTGATCCTTTTCCTGCATCAGTTTGCCCACTGAATGCCTAGCAACCAACAATGCCCAGGTGATGGCTGTGCACATCACAGCCCATCAATTGCTTGACCCTCAGGAATTGAAATAGTATTACTTTGCCGTCCTATATAATTACAGAAACAAATGACTGATTGTAGAATAAACTCTGCCTTCGAACAAGTTGATGTGTATACGATTTCGTTTGGCAGGGAAGCATCATACGTGCACGTACTAATTGCATACACATAAATGAAATAAGGGGTATTCAATTATTGTTTTTTTTTTGTTAGACACAACTTTACTGTGAACCAACAGGACATTACAATAAAGTCAAGATAAGTAAAGGGAATGTCATCTGTTGTAATTATGATATAACAACGCAGATGAATGGGCATCGAATGTGTTATATAGTTGCAGGTTCGGTCTCTGTTGGTGGCAAGTAGGTTTTTTTTTGTTGACTTTTTTGCACACTTATCACAATATAACAAACAATGTTCCCTAGACTTTCTTTAGCTTGTCTGCTGTACACATAGATATATATAGCAGCACACACAAGCTTCAACAAATACATGCTTTCAATGCTCTAACAATTGTGTTATTCTATTATAGTAGCAGTAATAGACTTTTATTCAGATTACCCCAAATAATATCCCCTATTCCCATCACTTGTTTATGTGTACGTGCAAATATGTATGTACAGATGCCCTGCATTGATGTCACCGAAATCACTGCTTTGCAGCACCAGCATGGGAAGTTGTAATATTTGCAATGTCATGCTAATGTAATCGAAACGTAAAACACGTGTCCTTTCCGTATTCACATGCACAGGCATTCTTGTCATGTCTGTCACATTAGGCAGGTCAAGCGCGACTTGTTTGCCATCAAAGTTGCCATATAACAATAGCCGGCACAGTAAGATCATGTTCCAATAACGTCAAATGCTAGCTATCTTTATGTATGCGTGTGAAGTGCTGCCTCCCAGCCAAAGGAAAGAGTTCCAGACTTGTCGAGCTGGTCGAGGACAGCCTTTATTCTACAATCTCCTTGCCTGCATTGGAAGTGTATCGCGAAGTAAAACGTAAACAAAAAGAGAACGGCCTCACCTGAATTAGCAGGTCCTCACGTTCGTTCAGCGGCGCGTCCTTCAGCGCCGGCAGCTTCTGCAGTTCGCGGTTGTGGCTCACGTTGAAGCGCGACGAGCTCTGGCGCTTCTCCTTGCGCATCCCGCTGCCGGGGGCCGTGGGCACCACGGCGCCCGCCAGCTTGCACTTGGCCACCAGGTTGGCGGGCGGAGGAGCCGATTTGGGCCCCGCAGCCCGCGCCGACGCGGCGGTGGTCGCCGCGCCTCCAGCGCCGTTGCTGTTGGCGTGCACGGCAGTACCACTGCTATTGTTGCAGGCCGGGCTCACCTATAAAGAAAAAAAAACACCACGTCTGAACGTCAACAACGCAACGAAACACCGCTGCTGTGGACAGTGCGCGCAACACGGCCGAGACGGACGCTTTCGAAGACTAGAACAAAGCGCACAGCCGTCTGTGTGTTTTCACTCTTGTCTTAATGACTCGAGAGCGCCGCCCTAACTCGCCCGAACACGCAACGATCACGCAGGGAAACCCAAACGGTGCGCACTTTTGACAGATACTGCCTGCCACGTCTCATCGACGCCTGGGCCGGCTCGCCGAGCACGGTCAACGTTCGCCGAGCAAGTTCACAGGCGGTGTACACGACGAGATTGGCGTGCGCTAACTGCTGCGACAGGCCAAATGCCTACCGGCTGGCTCTGTTCGTCAAATCGCACATGGTCGCCGGCAGCGGCGAAAAGTTCCACGCGCGAGCCTTGCGGCAGCCGCTGCGATTCCAGCTGTCGGCGCGCACAGCACACGGGAAAAACTCGCGCTGCGCATGGTTACGCACGCGTGCAGGTGCCTCAGTCAGCCGAGCCCTGTGCTCGAAGGCGCAGCTCCGAAAGGGGAACCCCCCCGTCATATTTTTTTCGCCGCCGCTAAAGACGCCATGTTGCGCAGGCGAGCGGCTACCGACAGGTACGCGGCGGCCGCGCGTGCAGCTACGAGGCTCACCTCTTCGGAGCCGTCGGCCGCGTCTTTGCAGCTGCCATTCTTGGCCGTCACACCGGAGCTGTTGTTTTTCACAGGCACCTGCGAGGCCGGGATGGGCGAGCCGCGATTAAGCCTAACACACACACATACACACACAGCGGAAAATGCACGTCAAATGGCTCGCCGACGCTGCCTCGCGTGACACGGCACACACGGTTTGCCGGAGCGTCGCTTTCAACCCACCTTGTCTTTGTCAATCCGATTAGGCATTATTTTATTAACGGTTCACACGCCATCGGGCGAAGGGCAAACTTTTGCGAGAAGAAACAGCGCACGTACCCCGACACCCGCCAGCGAGTGTGCGACTACCAACAACTGACGCGATAGGTCCGCACGGCGCACGTGACCTGTCAATGGCGGAGAGATACACCGCGCTGCTCGCGTAACAGCCGTATAACACCTCTGTGACGTCATAACGGAGCTGCTCTGTGCCAGCGCGCGCGCTCCGTTCTGCTCGCCAGTCGCGGCAGTTTTTGCACGATTCCATCGTTCCGCTTTCCCAAATCTACAAAAAAAAAAAAAAAAAACGTGCACGCATACATTGCAGTCGCCCTCGACAGGCAACCGTAACAGCGCTCGAGTTTGTGTAAGCGCTAACCGGCGCTTTTCTTTGCTCTTTGTATATTAATTTCCTTTTTGACTTGCGACGCACGCAAGACCCGGGCCAGGAACAGGCGCACAGCATGGGGTCACGACAAAAGACAATGCGGACAGGATCCATCATTTTTATTTACACACGTCTATGCAATCGCGAGTAGACGCAGGGGCCAAGATGAAAACTGCAGTGTCCTTGCTCAGTAGCACCGGGGCACATGTATAAACGATGCTTCGTTGGGTCAGTCCCCTGGCATTTCGTGGTAGCGTGGCGAGTGGTTGTGAGGACCACCTCACGCTCTCCTAGCGTGTCATTCGAAAAACACTCCCTGGGGGCTGAAGGGTAGTGGACGATTGATGTACCGCTACCCTCATTTACAGTCCTTTCCTAAGGTCGGGTGTATCATAGCGGTGTGCTGCGACCACCGGTGCCATTTCGTCGACTGTCCGCTGACAACGGCTGGGGACTAGACTTGAGTGGCCGACCTCTGCTATCCGAGGCGGCTGCAATGAAACAATGCAGAATGCCAGTGTAACAAATACGCCTTGTATGGCTAGTGCAGAAAAAGCGATAACGACGCTCATGTACAAAAGAACATTCAAATATGGCTGTTCGGACGAATGGGATTACATATACATGCATACCTTAATATTTCAAATGTATGCTTGTAACGTCTATTTACAAATGTTACCTATTCTATTAATTTGAAATTTGGGCCTGTTTGTTTAACACTACAATGCACAAAGTTGCATGACTGTGACGCACAAAAGGAAAACAAGAAGGGCAAAGTTAAAACAGTGTTACATTGTTAAGCTCACAGTTGAAGCATAAACTGCTTTTTTTAGTAAAAAATTAAACACCAAAATTGCTCACTCTTACTACCAAAACATGTACACTACTCGCGAGTCTGTCCATCAACTGCTGTTAGGGCACTCATGCTCGATTACACATGAGCACCCGAATTGGCTAATGCTAAAAAAATGTTTACCAAGATAACATATTTTCTGCACAGTTCAAGATAACTTGTCTGGTGATGCTTTTCTACTGAAGGAACCACTATGTTGATGACAACAATGCAAAGAAGTCATTAGATCGTGGTTGACATTCTAATTAGCAAGAGGGACATACCAGCATACAAATAAAAAAAGATTTAACAACAGCCTTTATTGTTGCTATTCTGTCATTGATATTCCTTTTATCTTCATAGTGACCCCCTTCATGGACCATGAGTCATCAGTAATGAATAAATAAACACTAGAACAATGACCTTCACCCATAGGCAGAGAGTACTGGGAGAGGGGGGGAGGGCACCCCCCTGGGCTGCTTAACAGGGGGGGGGGCGGGCAGAGCCCCCCATGGCACTAGAACGGGATATTTTTTAAGAGCTTGGCTTAGGCTCCAATAGACTGTTGGGCATTCTGTCTTGCAGTTACTTTACAGGAGACTGTTTACGACCGCTCCTTTTTCTTTCAGGCTTTTAAAATTGGATCATGGGGCAATGACAAGCAGGGAGTTTGGCGCCATGGTTGCATTATAAACGAAGTCACAGGATGATGAAAATTGTGGCATATGTGCGGCTCTTGTGCAAAATAAGTAGAGGATGTAATCGCATGCATCACGCGAATGGAAGTTTCTTTATATAATACATTTGTTTACGGTCTTCTTAATACCTTCGATAAGCCTTTCTCTTGTATGTATGTGTACATTATATATATATATATATATATATATATATATATATATATATATATATATATATATATATATATATATAGAGAGAGAGAGAGAGAGAGAGAGAGAGAGAGAGAGAGAGAGGAGGGGGGGTGAGGGAAATGTGAAAGAGGAAGTCGGGAACTATGCCCCCTCAGGAAATTTCAAAATCTCTGCCAACGCCTTCACCACAGACCGAGGCATCCCTGCTTTTCCGCCATGACCTTTGCCCTTTATGGTTGCGTATCCACAGTAAGGCATTTGCGGAGTATATGTGGTGACAATTCCTTTCTCAGAAATAAAACAAATGTCTGCATGGCCATACAACGTTATCTATGAGAAACCACACACAAAAAGGTTTATGTCTTTCTTTGGGGTAGGACTACTGACCCTGAATAACTTTATGACTCCCTCTATTGCAGCGTTCTTAACATCACTGATAGTGGTGTGGTGACATCGTGAGATAAAAGAAGTTCATTAGAGCTTCAACTGTGTAAATGCCTCGTTGCGACCAAAAAAATTAAAAAATGAAAAAGCTGTATTTAGAAGTACTTTGTTTCCCACTGAATGTAGGGCGCTGTTTTTTGTCACTGTCGCATTACAATGACAGGCCTTTGAAGCACACAAATCGTAGAGTAACTCCTGCATTCCTCTAATCCCATTAAGCTTGTCAAAAACCTTGTTTATTAAATTCTTTTTTAAAATCATGTTTCCATTTCATTTAACAGGGAGCAGTTTTTTATCGGTCCGACGTCTTGCCAGGTTTTGGCTGGATACTTGCCTTATCTGAGTTGACAGATGACTTGATTGGGCTACTCTGTAATAATGGTAATGGCAAGTTACCTAAATGATCTTGGTGAAAGATAAGATTGCTGTATGAGAAACGGATGATCGCTGACAAACGCACACTAGAGATAGCATCAGTTATTGGAAAAAGGCATATACAAATAAGCACGTAGCCAGCGCACCTTCAAGAATCGCATTTCTTTGTGGTCGAGGACCCTGCGTTTCTTTGTGGTCACACCTACAGTAATAATGACACTTGTGAGGCAACAGTCTTCCCATAAAAAGTAGTGTGCAGCCAAAACAATGCAACTCAGTCTGGCCAAATGCGTGCATCGAAGCGCAGTCCACCCTAAATACCGCCTCTCTTATCGCTGGTGGCACAACCGCACATCACGCCTTCCACTCACAGGAGCTAACGGAGGCCTGGCTGGAGCGGCCTGGTCGTGGCACGAACGGCGGCGGGGGCGGCGCCATGTCAAAGAAGTGTGGGCTGCCACCCGTCGCGCGCATGTGCTTGAGCAGCTCGGGGGGTGGTGGCGGTGGGAATGGTGGGAATGGTGGTGGTGGCAGCATGTCCAGGGGAGGCAGGGGTGGGGCACCGTCCAGCAGCGGCATGTCATCCTTGCTGAGGAGCGGAGGCCGTGGCGGAAACAGATCACCCGGTGGCAACGGTGGTGGCTGTTGCAACTCCCGCTCCAGCAGGGTTAACCTGAAATACACGGTACAGGTTCACATGCCGAATTGATGAGAATAGAGAACATGTTGTACAGGTTGACATGAATAATTGGAGAGAATAGAGACCACATGGTACAGGTTCACATGCAGGATTGGAGAGAATGATGTGGTACAGGTTCAAAAGCACAAATGAAGAGAACGGAGAGACCATGTGGTACAGGTTCACATAAGGAATTGGAGAACATGTGGTAGAGGTTCAAAAGCAGAAATGAAGAGAACGGAGAGACTATGTGGTACAGGTTCACATAAAGAATTGGAGAACATGTGGTAGAAGTTCACAAAAAATTGGAGAGAACGTGTGGTGTAGGTTCACATGCAGAATTGGTGAGAATGGAGAACATGTGGTACAAGTTAATGTGAAGAATTGGAAAGAAGAGACTATGTGGTACAGGTTCACATGCAGAATAGGAGAGAATGAAAAGACCATGTGGTACAGGTTCAAAAGCAAAATTGAAGAGAGAGGAGAGACCACATGGTACAGGTTCACATGAAGAATTAGAGAGAACATGTGCTACTGGTTCACATGCAGAATTGATGAGAATGGAGACCATGAGGTACAGGTTCACATGAAGAATTGGAATAATAAATGGACCACGTGGTACATGTTCACATGCAGAATTGTAGACCATGTGGCACAGGTTCAAAAGCAGAATTGAAGAGAATGGAGAGACCACGTGGTACAGGTTCACATGAAGAATTGGAGAGAACATACGATAAGCAGAGGTAGCACAAGGTTCACACGCTTCTTCCAGCTGAAAGGGGTCATGAACCACCCCTCAAGGCTTAGCAAAAAAACACATCCTGTGGATAGCAGACGCAAGATCTTAGCCAAATCTTGCCGTCATGCACAGCAAGGAGTACTTACAAGCGTAGCACAAAACTGCCATTTGCTCTTAGGCCTCTGTCTCGCTCCCTTCAGCACTGCTGGCAGCTGCTGTTTGGCATCATATAGTGGGTAGCATGTTATTATCTAGTGGTCGGCACAAATCAAATACCGTACTAAACGGTTTCGATTTCATCTCATGCCCCTCTAGCAAGAGGGTGCCGGCATGTGCCAGAGCAGTACTCCATAGTCTACTAACATTAACAAAGTAAGCCACACTTACGTACAGGAACTCAACGGGATAGAGCGCAAAAAAGGACGAAAAAAAGACTGACTAACACAGCTACCCATGTTTGACAGTTCACGTCTTTTCTTTGTCCTGATACATTTTTGCATATTACCGCTTCTTCTCGAGTGATCAACCAAATAGCTCTGCAATAAGCACTCTTGGAGAGAGCGCTTGCATTCCACCACACACTCAAGGTCATGAGATGCACTCACATTACTTCCTTACCCTGTGTGTCCCACCCAGTGTAGACTTCAGAGCACTCATCATGATGAGAGAAAGCACTTAAGGTTCTGGGTAAACCCATGTGAATCCCTCGTTCTTGATGAATTTGAGAAATTTTTGCCGCAATCAATTTGGGAGGCAAGACACACTAGTACTGAGGTCATCCGATAATTCATGGAAAGGTGGTTTATGAGGCCTTTAAAATCCTAGCCTGCTGCTTCTCAAATATGCTTGCAGGACTTGCTTGCCTGTTTTCTTCCCATTAAAACCAAAATGCAAGGCACTTAGAATAACAAAGCAATTGGGACATACAAAACTTTGTTATAATATGATCTCCTTCTAAACAAATCACTCTCTGTCTGTCTGTCTCTGTATGTGTGTGCGTGTGTGTGTGTGAGTGTGTGTGTGTCATACCCCAAGACTGCTTGTTGCACTTAGAATGCTTCTTTTAAAAGAAACAAAACATGCATGTTGGCGTAGTTCTACACAAACTTGCCTCTGGCGCAGGGCTGTCCTATCCCGGTTGGCCTCTTCCAACTTGCGCTCTGCAGCCCGTGCAGCCAGCTGAAAAAGAAATCAGTGGAAATAGTGTAGCATACACTTGCTTGTCCACCTCAAAATATGGTGCCACTCCGCTGAAAAACACCCTTCAGAGTTTTTTCTGTACCCTAAAAAAGACAAAGTGAAAAAAGTGTCTTCTTGTCCCATAAATATAATCATCATCAGCGCTGGCCACTTTCCTATCAAGAAAGCTATGTCACGTTGGTAACGCGCATGGCGTTTGTGACCTGAAAGTACCGGGCCCACAGCGATAGCGCAAGAAAAGGAACACAGGATAGCTGACGATTTCTGTTGTGGCAAAAAAGACGTCCTTTTTAGTCAATGTTTTCTTTGAGTGTGTTGTCTGCCCACCTCGAAAAATGCCACTGCACTTTATAAACACTCTTTGGGGAGTATTTTACTGTTTGCCCACCTGAAACTATTTTGTCACTGCACTGCAGAAACACCCTTTGGGAAGTACTATTTGGTTGTTTATCCACCTCGAATGATGACACACTCCTCAGGGTGTATTTTCTGTCTGCCCACCTCAAACAATGATGCTACTGCACTCTGAAAACACCCTTTGGTGTGTATTTAGCCGTTTTACCACTTTGAAAATGGTGAGTATAAAAAGACCCTTCGGGGTGCACTTGGGCTGTTGGCATCCTTTGCAGTGTCTTTTGGTAACACAGCAATAATTGTCTGGCTAGCTTGTGTTTCTTCTTCTGAAAACTCCATGCTCGACACTTTTCTACGAAAAATTCTTGGCCATGTGGGTAATGTTCATGCTGTAATAATAATTATTTCTATTTTACATCCAAACGCCGCTATACAATGGACACTTTGCAATAATCTGCAAGTCAACTTTCCTGTAAGGCTTGCTTTCCAACCAAGAGCTCTTGTTCACAGACAACTTTTTTCGATCAATGTGCAGCAAAGGCACGCGAGTATAACAAAATGTCACCTTTCCGAATTCTAGCGATGACACACGAGCACGCTAGTACAACACAATGAGCGAGAAAAGTAGTCTGTGAACGAGAGTTTCTGGTTGAAAAACAAACCTTACAGAAAAGCCACCTTGTAGATTATTGCAAACTGTTCATTATGAAATGCCACAGTGACGACACCAGAAGTTTCGACCCCGTGGAGTTCTTTCACGTGACCTAAATCTCGGCACAAGGGCCTCTAGCGTTTTTCCTACATTAGAATACGACTGCTTTGTCAAGGATTCGATCCTGAAACCCTCACTTGAGCAGTGGAGATGTGCATGCTGTTCTTAACTCGAAAGTACCAGGCTTGCGGAATTAAAACAAGGAAAAAAATACAAGCAAGACAATCATTGGTGGGCAGCACTATAGATACAGCAAAGCGTGCATCTGTACCCAGATTGTCAAATGGGATACTATATGCCTGGATGAGATATTCAGTCTGAAAAATACTCGGATCGTTTTGTTCGAGGAGGGTTGAACAAGAGAGCGTGCAATTCTCACGAACATCATGCACCACAAGTGCTAGAACTCACCCAATTCTCGTGGGCCCTCTTCTCCTGGTCTGCCACCTGATGCAGAAAGTACACAACAAGTTTATCAAGTTATTGTGACATGTTAATGTAGCATATATGTTCAGCGAGTCACCACTATATATTGATGCAGCATGCTGAAAGATATACCCCATTAGCTTAGACAAAAAAAAGCACATATAAATACAGCGCTACGAACAAATAAAAACCCCTGATGTAAACTTTAATGCAGCAATGTGGCACTATTGGCATGCCGATCTTATTTCTCATAACGGTCAAGATAATACCGACATACCTCGTTAGTACGTGCCTGTTTTAAGTGTACAAAGGGTTAAAATGTAGTTGCAACGAATTTTTGACAAAGTCTCATAAAGACTAATACATATGCAAACCGTTGTGTTTGGCTAATTCCTACAGGTTAGTGCGTACTAACTGCATAACATGATAATATTGTTGCGGTAAAGAGAACGAGGAAGCTCCCTCAGACTGGAGGAAGATGATGGGACTTATGACTGCCTGGGCAACCTCTGCGATCACTGTCAATACACCAACTCTGCCACCGTGGGTCTGTTTTCTTCCCACAACAATATATTGCACCAGGAAATTGTACAGTGCCGCTGAACTTGCAGATGTCACGTGCCATGAATGGTTTTCTGTCATGATGATAAGTGCGGAGATCAGCCAATAAGTTAATCCGACTTTTACGTGATTGCAACAATGACTGTGAGTAATCATCGAGAAAAAACAAAGGCAAGGTGGCGATTACTGACAAACGTGATGGTGTCGCTTATCGCCACGAAAGGCCTTATCACAGTAAGCATCCTTGGTTATCTGCTTAGGCACGCTTGTGACGTCGCATCACTTTAGGCCTACTAAACGCTTTTAGTAGGCGACTACCTGAACGGGCTGGGCCGCCGATCTCTGGCACTTTGTAGTGCGGGACAGTGTTCAAGCATGCACCACTTCACAGAAACGCAAGTAGCCAACTGTTTAGCGTTGCGGGTCGGGGGCACCAAGAAACGTTACTGTATTGTACCAACACGCGCACCATACAGCAAGCGTAGATTTGTTGTAACCATGCTGCACACTTTCATTCAGTGACAGCCTAAACGTGCCTCCATCTGCTGCCAGGACTAATAGAGCATCACGGAGAGTGCATGGCATTGCTTAGCTCATTGTCGCCGCGTTAATCCAGCAGGCTACTCACTAAATCTGTGATGGCCTGAAGCAGAGTGGTCGTACACTACAGCAAGCGGATCAGCAATTACAGTGTCAGCCAAATAAGCAAAGCGCTGCATGCAACTAGCCATGCAGTAAACGACTTTGCTTTCTACGACGGCACTGCATTAAAAAAAAACTGCATCAGTTTTAATTTAGAAGCAGATCGCGGAACAACTGTATCACAGACAGCCGATTGTGTCTGTTCTGTCACTGTACCACGCTGTGTATCCCAAACCCCGCAGTAGTTTCGAAATGCTCATAAGCGTTGCCACCGTGTGCTATTGGGCAGTTGTGTGAGAGTCGGAAGCTTTTCTGCACTTTGGCAAAAAAGAAAAAAATGGCATTGCAGTGGGTACTTTAGACACTATGGCACTGAATTTATTCCTTTTTTTTTGGCGATGGTGGCACATGTCAGGAGATGCAAATTTGTAGCTGGTAGTTAATGCATAGTACGTTACGTGCGTAGTCATGCCGCCGTCCCCGGCACATACGTATTGATAGGGTCTCACTGTACATCCTGCTGGGTATTTTGTTCACATTCCACGCTTTTTATTTCAAGTGAAAACGTTTTTTTGAGATCAATAACACAGTTCTCATTGTGGATATGTGTGCTACATGAAAACACTTGCTGGTTATTGTTTGGGTGGTGCTCTGAAGTAATCAGCTTTAAGCATACATTCACTGTTACAAGGTTGTATCAACCACACACACAAGAATGATGCAGCAGAGGTATTTGCTGACACATCAGGTGACAACGAATCTTGCGTTGGCAACTTCGTGCCCAGTAGCAACGGCTGACTCTGATCTTGTTTTACGTTAAAACTATTTTCTCAGCGGACATCTCGCATATTTCAGTAGCCTCCACAGAGGCATCTCTGAAATAAAAAAAATTCAGGAGCTCTCGAGCTACCGAGAAAACTGAGGCAAGCTCTAGCATTGCATTAACGCAGATGACATGCTACTTTTTTTTCTATTACATTGCATGATGCTTTTCTTCCTTCCTCCATGCTGGGAAATGAAACTTAAAGGGGGGCCTACAAAACTTTTTGAGCATGGTCAGAAAACGCTGCCAATCAGTAAGTACAGTGAAATCTCGGTAGAACGAACCCCACATTAAAAAACGTTTCAGATTAACGAACTTTTAAAAAATCTCACGCCAACTGCTAATAGTTTCAATGTAAAATTATTTCACTACTACGTACTTCAGAATACCGAACTTTTCAAAATAACTAGTTATTTCCACGTTATATTAACAACGCCCAAGCACTACGAACTCATGTACTGAAATCTGTCGCGACCACCGGAGCGGTATGCAAGCAGACGACAAAGCGAACGAACGCCTTGCTTCTCGAAAGACGTGCGATGGTGCGGAAGGGAAAAAAAAGGAAAGGCCGAGTTTCTTTTCTTTCTTTTTGTTTGAATGCCGACGCTGCAGGTTTACAAGCAGGAAGGCTAAGGCAACACGAGAGGGCAAGGCCAGCGAGGCAGAGTGGGAGTTGCGGAGCAGGAAGCATGGACGCGGAATACCTGAGACAGCGAGGGAGCAGAAAATTAAACGCGAGCAATTTTAATTTTTAGGCGTTTTTTTTTTTCTTTGGAAGAGGCGACGACAGCCGCGATGCTTTGGGTTTTTCGTGTTTTGTCACTTCTCTACATGTGCTCTAGGAGGCCTTGTTTGTCAGTCATGTTTATCTCTTTTGGGTGATTACTTATCGCGTCCGCAAAGTAAGTCGGCGTTTGCGCTGCGGTGCTACTATAAATGAGTTGGTCTCTGCTTGCGATGAAGAAGTGGAAGCAGTTTTCGCTAAGCGAGACAGTGGATATTCTTTGGCAACTGGAAGGCAAAAAGCAGGCTGTTGTGATCAAAGAACCGAATCGCTCCACAGGAATGTGGATGAGCTGGAGGCCTTCGGCTGTTAAGTCTGTGCTGCACACATAAAAAAAATAAAAAATAACAGACTTCTTCAAAGTAAACGTGCATTTTTTGGTTTTCACTTATGCATTTGTTTTTCCTGGTCATAAGCGCGTTCAAAGACCCACCATTGTAAAGGTAAGTCGTTTTTGTCGGTAGAAAATAGGTATTTATGGTTAATTTTGGGGCTTTCACTATAACGACGTTTCAAAATAACAAACAAATTGCAGCAGCCCCCTGAAATTTGTTATACTACCAGGATTTCACTGTAGTAGATGTTCCCGAGAACACGCGAGCCAAATATTATAGTGCAGGACGCGGCCTAGAATTTACAGAGTCTGTCTCAAGTTCTCAAAGTCAGCTAGAAATTGCTTTCTCTTCTCTCAACAAATGACAGAAGCAGCTAAAAAGCCACATGTCACAGCCGTTGTATCAGCTGTTGGCTGATTTGAGCATGGTGCGCTCGGTCAATACAGTGGCTGCTGCGAGAGGCTGCCACTTGTCCACGTGTGCGCAAGCAGCCACAATGAAAAGCCACAAATTCAAAGAAAGAAATGGTCAAGGTCACAAGGCGCGTGACGTTATTTTCTTTACCCATGCCATTATCCCCTGCTTAACTTCCAGGGCTTTTGTTGGGACGAGAAGAGAGAGAATGCAATTAGAGTGTGCGACAAATGTTTGCACTCCGCTCGTACTGGGCGGATTCTACAAATTTTTGCGGCAGTGAATTCATGAGGCAGTAAGATCACTTAGTGAATCCATTACATGGCTGCTTGAAAGTGTTGCAGGGCCCCTTTAATCTACGCATTTACCAGATCGACACTTCAGTTGCTTCCAGGTGACAAGGATCAATAACTTTATATACAGGCGACAATGAAGTGTGGCAACGCTAAATGACAAGTGGCCTTTACAAAATAAAATCAGATTGACATATTGGAAATAGCTGATCTCCAACAATCTCATGATTGAAAGGGCACGATTCGTGGAAAAACTGCTACCACAAATGAGCATGCGACTGACACACCTTCGAGGGCTGCAATTTCTGCGCACGACGCCCAAATCTGCGAGTTATAAAAGCGTTGCTTAAAAATATGGGCAACACTGGGTGCCATTTTCACCTGGTTTTTGTAGTTGCGATCGGAGAGCTCCATCTCCTGGCGCAGCGACGACAACTGAGACCTGCAAGGAAGGTGTCAGTTTTTCCCATTCAATTGTTTGTTGACTAGACCATCTCAATGGCACCTAAAAACAATGGCCACACCTGTTAGTGAAGCACTAAATAAAAATAGTCAAGCCTATTGAACAAAGTACACTAATATAACATAATAAATATGGGGGTGTGAAGGTACCACTATTGCTAGTGGGAAGTTTCACCTTTTCATTTGCCATCATTTTCGTTTTCATCTCCCTTCCAACACTTTAATAGAAGCAACCCATAGGACCAAAGTGCCAATTGAGAGAGGCTTTCATCCTGCACTAGACTTAAACAGGCCGACCATGATAATGATGTCAGTTTCTCTGCTAACACAGGAAAGAAAGTGTTACGAACTGATGGTAACTGTAATAACTAGCAACCACTAGGCATAACATGTAATTTCTTAAACTACATAATGCTTGTTATATAATTGTGTTCTGTATACTTACAAACAGCACTCGGAATGAGCATAGCAGCAGATGAAGCACACCAGTGCAATGCCACTATTATAATTTACTATGATGCATTATGGTTAGGCTTGTGCAAATAGTGAATTTTTCGTTCTAAGCGAATTCGAACTAAATAGTGATTTTAGTCGAACAATTTCGATTCAAATTTGAATAATATATATATATATATATATATATATATATATATATATATATATATATATATGTGTGTGTGTGTGTGTGTGTGTGTGTGTGTGTGTGTGTGTGTGTGTGTGTGTGTGTGTGTGTGTGTAGCATACTATAAAAAAATAAGCATATCTGTCATGAACCAGCTAACCTAAACAATATATTTTTTTTTATATTAAAAAAAGGCCTGAGCAAATGCTATTTTCTGCATCAGAGAAAGTGAAAACAACTTCGAATAGTCACAGGACTTCACTTTTGGGAGAATGCAAGTGATAGCCTGTGAAATATGTAACTTTATAAAATGCACTAAACTTGGTATAACATGCTTTTAAACTCAAAGAATTACCGTATTTTTCGGTGTATAAGTCGCGGTTTTTTTCAGAATTTTTCGTGGGTGCGTCTTATACAACGATGCGACTTATATACATTCAAAATCGAGTTGGATGCCACGGCTTGGGTGGCGCTGTTTACGTCAAGCAGAGGTTATCTGATTAGTGGCTAAAGTCAAGGCACGAGGGAAAATTAAACCCTTCACTGTGAATTACGAATCCTCAACTTCATTATTTAAAGAAAAAAGGAGATAAATGTAATGATTAGTTCACTAAGTATTACGGCTAGGTGGCGTTAGCCGCCGCGCAATCTAAAGGGTACAGCCACATCCATCCATCCATCAAAATGGCGTCTACGGCGCTTCACCGCTACCACGGAGGAAGGAAAAGGAAACCTTTTTCCTTCCTCCGTGACCGCTACCTTTTTCCTTCCTCCGCGGCCTTCTGCGATGCACAGAAACCACATTTAAAAAGAAAGTAAGATTAACGGTAAGTTAACACCCTAAAGGTAACGCAGCTATGTAGTTTTGCACAAAAAAATAATCGGAGGGGAGAAAATGTGGAGGTATTTTTTAAATTATGAAAAGCAAGTTTGGATTTCAGAGCCACTTCCTTTACCGTCACTTCCGTCCGCCATAACGTCTTCATTGCACTCGCTGTGTCGCTGTAGCTGCGCGCGTCTCGTGTGTTGTGTTGTGCGTCGTAGCATAGAGCCGGTAGCGCCGTAGAACCTCGCGAACCATGGCGCCGCTTGGAAAGCAAAGTCGGCGAAGCTATGGCGCCAAGTTCAAGCTGCGCGCTGTTGAATTTGCCGAAAACCACGGGAACAGAGAAGCAGGGAGGCAATTCGACGTCAGTGAAAAAATAATCCGTGACTGGCGCAAGGCCCACAGCGTCCTCCGGACGATGAAGTCGACAAAGAAGGCCAACCGCGGCAAGAAGGCGCGCTGGCCGGACCTCGAGCGTAGCCTGCGCACGTGGGTACTGCAACAACGAGCCGAAGGAAGAGGGCTGTCAACAGTGCAGCTGCGCCTGAAGGCGAAGGCTCTGGCAGCGGAGAGCAATGTTACGGGATTCAATGGTGGTCCGTCGTGGTGTTTCCGCTTTATGCGACGGAATCAGCTGGTTATGAGAGCCCGGACGACAGTGTGCCAGAAGCTGCCCGACGACTTTCAGGCGCAACTGGACAACTTCAGCTCATTCGTGAGGGAGGAAGTTGCGAAGAAAAATGTCAGCGCGAGCCACATCGTTAACATGGATGAAGTGCCGCTGACATTCGACATCCCGCTTGGGAGAAGCATCGCCGAAAAAGGGCAGAAAACTGTCACGGTGAGGACAACAGGCCACGAGAAGTCCCACTTCACCGTTGTGCTCGCCTGCTGCGCGGACGGCACAAAGCTGCCTCCCATGCTAATATTTAAGCGGAAAACCTTGCCGAAGGATAATTTCCCTCCTACAGTGGTGATTCAGGCGAACAAAAAAGGTTGGATGGACGAGGGAATGATGAGTGTGTGGCTTGACCGCTGTTTTTCCCGTCGACCAGACGGATTCTTCCACGTGAAGCCAGGAATGCTGGTAATGGACAGTATGCGGGCACACATCACCGATATTGTCAAGAAAAGATCAGTTCAAAGAACTGTATGCCAGTGATTATTCCCGGCGGCATGACGAAGATGCTTCAGCCGCTTGACATTTCTGTCAACCGCAGCTTCAAGGCAGTTCTGCGACGTTCGTGGGAAACGTGGATGTCGGAGGGAGAACACAGCTTTACAAAAACGGGGCGCATGAGACGCGCGGAGTTCGGCGAAGTGGCGAAATGGGTGAGTGACGCTTGGGAGTCAATTTCTGCGAAGACCATTGTGGCGGGCTTTCGCAAGGCCGGTTTGATCCCCTGCGCGGCCGATGGCGACGTTGAAGAATCCGATTCGAGCGAGTCGGAGGACGACAGTGATGTGCCAGCAGTACTGCAACCAGAAGTAGCTGCATTGTTCGTGAGCGACTCGGAGGAAGACGACTTCGATGGCTTTGAATAAACGTCACCAAGCTATCGGAATAATAAAGGTACTTCTGAAAGTATTGTTTTTATGTGTGTTTAAAAGCGCTCGCACGCGTGACTGCCGATAGCTAGAAACGTGCAAAAGCGTTGGCCGTCGCAAGCATGCATTTTTGCAATGCATTGTCACGACGAGATACTTAAATGTCGGTGGTCGGATGAGCAAGTGCGTCTTCTACACCGGTGTGACTTATGCACCGGTGCGACTTATATACGTTTTTTTTCAGAAAAACTGCTATTTTGAGGGGAGTGCGACTTATACAAGGGTGCGACCTATAAACCGGAAAATACGGTAGTCGAAGTGAGGGTAATATTTTCATATAACCTTGAAGTGGGGCTTCGTGCCATTGCTGATTTCTCTTGAATATGTGTTTTCACGGCTTAACACTGCTTCACTGCAGTAAAACTACTTTAAAAAAAAAAATGACGTGCATAATCTATACCTGAAAAGGTGCTTTCACGGCTTAGCACCCCTCCACTGCAGTGAAACAACTTTTACAAGGTGTCGCATGCGGATTAGTATGCATCTACTCGTTTGTTTCAAATAATTCGAAAATTTTCAGAATATAAATTTGATTCAAAGCGAATTCAAATGCCACATTATTTGTTTGAATATTCGAATGTATGCACAAGCCTAATTATGGTACAAAAGATAACATGCAAATGAACTTAACTGGAGAACATGAATCATTTTTTGTAGTATAATAAGCTTTACTAAACAGAGATATTTCCAGTGACAAAGACGATGATTTGACAATACAAATTACTGCTTTCAACATAACTTCTCTACGTTTCAGCTATTACGGCACTTGCTTCAACTCAACAAAGTGAGCTCACCAAACACACTGACACGAGAGTGTTGCAAAGTAAAAAGAAATTGCACCACTGGTTTACTGAGCACCGCAAGATGTTTCCTCGTGACACCCTGCAAATGGCACAAATGGGGAACACCACTACCCTAAAACGACATCTCTTGCTTGTCTTAGTACAATACCCTTTCTTGCTTGTTCGCAATAGAAAACCGGTGAAGTACGAACTCTTTGGACAGTCCACTTTGGTACTTCATGAACCGACTCACTTGTAAGACTGGCACTGCTGCTCTAGCAGGGTGAGCTGCTGAGTGACCGTACTGGCCTCAGTCTCCCGCTGTCGTCGCTCCACCTCCTGCATGCCCACTTCCCTGCGAGGCACGGCATCAGCCGCATAGCACGCGTATTAGCCAGTTTATAATAAACAAATACAAGCATGATGCTTATAAATGCATCACTCAGCATGACCCATAAATCGATACCCCTCCATGACAAGATGTTGTTCTGCAAACAGCTCTTCACAGCAACAAATTTGACAAATAGTACTGCAGTACCAGGCTGTGTCTAAAAAGTTTTCTTAAGGGGAGACAAAGGTCTTAAAATAACACAAAATTATAAACAATGATGACTTGCCAAAATAGTAATTTGAGGTATTGATAGTCAAAAGTATGTTTTGGAAAAATGTTACATTACGACAAAATACCATTTCTTCTTTGTTAAAAGCTTAATATATAAAATTACAAATATTTTTAAAACTGGAAACATGATTTTCTAAGAATTGTTATTTTTGTGAAGTGAATCTGCCTTACAAAAGTTTTGAGCAAGTTTCTGTGAAGATATCAAGAGAAACTTGGTACCATTCTTTTCCGTAGCACTTTACCTACAGGCTAAAGCTTTCCTTTTTCTCTCAACTTTGATTTTATATGATAAATACTAGCTAATTACTGGAAGATCATTTTTACCACGTTTAAAATTATTTCAGACCAAACAAATTGCCATTTTGACATCTAGTTTGCTTTAGCCTGTGGAATAAACCTTTCAGAGCAAACATGTAGTTTTGAAAACGTAACTTTTTTATTGCGAATTACCATAACGGCCCGTAAGAAAATACCTAATTGTAATGTAGAAATCTGTCATCACTTTTTCTAAATGAGATATTTGAGATCTGTTTGCAGATTTGAAATTTCTATTCAATGGTACGCATGCATAGTAATTTTCATGACAGTACAATAATAAATAAACTTTAAGACCCTCGTCCCCCTCTGAAAAGCAATAAGCACTGTAGATTGCTAGTCGACTATAAAAAAGCCCACCTTTTTAAACACATGTGAGCATTATAAAGCAAGTACAATTTTATCTAAATTTTTCATAATATGAAGTTTCATCAAAAGCGGGCCTTACACAAGAACTTCTAACTCAAATTCCACTCATTAAAAAAACCTAACACTTTGCAGGAACATGAAAAAAGCTTTTGGCCACTGCAATGAACCAAAGCAAATGAGATCAGGTTAATATTAAAAACTTAGAGATTAAATAAACAAAATATTATGCACAATCACTAGGGGCATCTTCATGTAACATCCAGTTACAATAAATATTGTGGCAACATTTTGCAAATTGAGATTCATCGCGCACATACTAGTGTTATAAAGAAATGTACAGTAAAAAAAGTTATAACTGTCTGCGTGTAAAAAAAATTGCAAGAATTATGATTGTCCGCATACCAAAAAGCCAGAAAAAGACTCGGAAAGTTCTGAAAAATCAGCAAAAACGATATGAAACAAGCACAGCGCTTACACAAGGTAATAAAGAGGGCTAAAATTCTCGAAACTTGTCTGATTAGCTTTGACTGCAGAGGGAGTGTTTGCTCAGGATATTGAGAAATTTATGCAAAAAAGGAAATACAAGAGGTGATACTGCCTTGAAGCTTCCACATCAACGTGCCATGACCTTACAGACACTGACAGCATTCGCTAAGGCCTATTTTGACCTTCTTTTTATCAGTTAAAATCAATTGCATTGCATTCTAAGGATAAAAGGACATCACATGGCGAGTTTCGAGTAATTGAGCCCTAGTTACCGAAATATAAAAGAAAATTAAAGTTGTCACACAGCCAAACAGGTGCTGCGGCTTAATTCCATAAATAGAACTTTGGTCTTCATTTCATCTTTACGGCAAAGTAACAATAATAGAGTAGTCAAAGCATGAATGATCAGTGTGAGCCGATTTCCCTTCAGCACAATACACGTGCAGTGGCTTACTTCTGCAGCTGCACTTCGCGGTCCTTGAAGTAGTTGGAAAGCACATCCAGCTTGGTCCGGGCCTCCGCACTCTGCCGCTCGGCCTCGGCCTTTGCCTCCGCACTCTTCTCCAACTCTTTCTCCAAGGACTCCACACGCACTGCACAAGCGACAGGCATGCAAGGAAATTTGCCTGTTGTTCTTGTGGTCACCACGATGATGAGTGAAACTTCTCAAGTAAAGGCTCATCCATGTAAGCAGACAGGTGCATAACTAAAACAGCGAACAGGAAACGCAGACACGTAGACACAGCACTAGTACTGGGTACACACCATAGAGTTTTGCACAACATTCATTTTAGAGTGAACTTTGGTGCTGCGATCACTCAGTCACCGTAGAAACAATGGGTAACATATAATTTTGCCTAATCTTCGTGCTTGCAACTTTGTATGCTACTTACGGCTTCGTTTATAGTTGTGCTTTGGCTTTTTTTTTTTTGGTAAAGGAATGGTTCGCTGCGAACTTCGCGAGCCAATTCGAATTGGCGTGCCTGAAAAGGTCACGGTGGTGAAGTGCGATTGAAAAATGTTTGCCTAACTTAGTCTTGTGACAAAGTGGCTGCAGACAACACAGTGCGAAACAGAGCCATAAGAACAGAGCTTAGACAAATCTGTGTACTACCCATCATTCCTATGCTGGCTGAAGCTCCATGCATTTCAGCTCCAATGGAAACTAGCGCCAGATTTCCCTCTGGTGTATTATTGGGAAACTCTACGGTAAACACAAGACAGTAGACACAGGACAGCGCTAGTACCCTGTCTACTTGTCACTGTTTCTTATGTGCTGTTCCAACCATGGATACGCAACAACTAGCTCACATTATTGACATTATTATAAATATGAAATGACCGTATACAGCACAGATGTGCATCTTTGCTTGGGCTTTTGCATGGTTTCTTTTTACAAGGCCAAGATTACAGGTTGTTACAGAGAACTCAGTTGCAAGACATAAAGGTGTAAAATGGACGACTTGTACGCTGTGGCTTGCTGTTTACAGGTCATGGAAGAACAGTTACCAGTACCTTTCACAAAGAATCTGATAACAAGATGACAGACACATAGTGTCCACGTGTGTCATCTTCTCAGCTAGGTTTTACACAGTGCCAAAGGCAGCATTGTCGGCCATATATCATATTCACTTGCCTAATCCTTGCAGCACTCTCATAATTCTCGCACCCTCCTCCCCCATTGCCCAACAAAAGTACAATTTTTTTTCCCCCGCGAGTAATGATTGCACTCTCGATAATTGCAGCCAGAGAGTCGTGTGCTCCTTCCAATTACTGACGATGATTGCGCAGAACAGCCTGGCGCCATTTCTTAGGCATCATGTGCTCTATCAACGCATGTAGCCCCAAACCAATCCAAGCCAATGTCGCAAGTGTGCGTTCCGGCGTTAGGGTACGTTGTGACCATCCTGTGGTTACATTATGGGGCAACATGGTACACAGCCGATTTCAAGTAAAAAGTGATTTATCACGCACTCAACAACAGCAACAGGGCCCCGGTAAGCGCTTTGAAGGCGACAAGTGTTGTGTTCGCTAATGGTGACGGCAGCAAAAACACCTGAAAACCGCCAAGGCGCGCTGGGCATTCCGTGTGCCTAAGCCTGTGGGAATTGAGGCTAGCCCGCTGCCTTTGCACGGGCTTTGCCGCCTTTTCTGCCGTCCTCATGTCTCGACAAGCCTCCCCACCTCCGCTGTCTGCCGCGCTGGGAGAGCAGAGTGACGTTTAACCCCCTCACCTGGTAGCGGATGTTGACTGTGGCACCGCGCGCGGAGTAATACTTTTATGCTCGTGGCGTGGATAAGCCTATTTGCTTTCCCGCCGCGCCTTTGCAACGGGCTGTACTGCGTTTGGTGTTGCCACAGACAATAAAATGTTGCAACCTTGAGCAGTATCGTGTTCTCGCCACGGCGACGGTTAACGCGAGCTCTGCGACTCGCTAAGACCGGACCCACGCTAGTGGCCGTACTCCTTCGGGATACGTGTTACGACAAGACTGAGATAGATGATAAAGCTTCATTTCGTCAGAAGGTAACTGTGGACGAGTCCCGTGTTAGATGGCAATGAGCCCAAGGTTGACTACGTACGCTAACCTTTTGCGGGCTCACATTGAGTGACGAACGCTAACGCTACGCACGCAGGTTTTGCATGTTGTATTCCAAAACACTCTACTATTTGCTGCAACTTTTGTGTCTCAAATCCTGCCTTGTGTTGAACATATGGTTTTATTGTTAAGGTAAGTCCTGATTAGTACTTCTCAAAACTTGCAGTTGGGTGCTAGCATGAGAATCCCAATTTGCGCCACTTTATTTTTCTCCCCTCTTGATAAATTTTTTCAAAAAATTTTTCTAGCGTTATTATCGGTAATTCAATACATTTTCTGCCGTGTCGTGTAATACCCTCTGAAAGAGATCTTATGGCAATGCCAACACTGATCATGTAACCAAGCTGCTTAGTTCAATATTGTGATACGGGAACTGCGACTGGGGCTGAGAAAGTTTCTGGGGGAGACAAAATTCCAGGGAGACAAGACCACACAAGAGAGAAAACAAGACAAGAAAGAATGCTGAGAGAGAAAAATCTGTGGGAGACGACAATTGCTGAGGTTTTTCAGTGCCAAACCACAATCCTGTTATAAGGCATTACGGTTAATTTTGACCACTTGGGATTTAGTAATATACAATTAAATATAAGTACACCGGTGTTAATTGCCTTTCACTCCAATACAAATGTGGCTGCCATGGCCAGGAATCACACCAACACCTTTCAGCTTAGCCAGGGAGACAGTACTGTATTCTATTCCTAAGAAAGCCAATGCGATTCACAGATTCTGTGGCGGAAAATTTCAAAGGCTATTATACCTTGCTGAGCACGCAGTTGCTCCTGCATCTCGTCAAGCTGTGCCCGCAGCTGCTGCCGCTGCTCCTCGAGTTGATCCCGCTCCTTGCGCGCCTGCACGCAAAAATGTGCTTCAGCCAAACATTGAGGACAACACTGATAAAAAAGATGTGCATTGTTACCACCCCAAATATTACACATTGTTAAAAATCTACAATTTAGAATATTGAAAGGGTCAACTCATTCTTGAAACACCCTTGTCACCACCAAGGTTGGCAAACAACATAAACAGCACAAACCTCAGACCACACTCACAACTTTCTTTGCTGGTAAGTCTAAGGTTAACTAACTATACATGGTGGCAACTTTTCCTGACAGCACTGTGGAAGCTACAGAACAGAAGTGCATGCCTGCTACCGTGCAAAAAAACAGTACTTAAGTTTATTGATCATTTCCTCACTGGCCTTGCTGAAATAAATGCTACTTTATTTATTACGAGACTCGGGCAGCTGTGGGAAGTCATACGAAAATACAGTTATCACTCCCTTTTGAAAAAGAATGGCTGATACAGTTAAACCCCTTTATAAGAGGCATGCTCTGAGCAGCAGCTTTTGTCTCTGACATGAGATGTCTTTTATATGCAGTGTACCTTATATGCATTTTCTTATCAACCGGTATTTTATTGTAGGCAAACTGGTGTCTCTTATACCCATTTGTCTTTTATATCAGTGTCTCTTATAAAGGGGTTTGACTGTATTTCCATTTCTCTGACACCACCTTCCCCATGCCTGTTTTTCGAAGTACTGTAAACACCGGAATATAGATTGATTTTGTCTTCCCAGAAAAGGAGCCATAAAAAGCTGATCCCTGTCTTATATACCGGTCATTGGCGGAAAATCTTCAAAAGTGTGGCCACTATGGGCAACTAAAGTCAACCACCTCTATTGCCATTGCAATCGTCAGCGTCGCTTTGTTTGCTTCAAGTTTTGTGCAACATCATTTTGCATGTTGTTGGCCTGTGAATCTATTTGAGCTTTAAGCTGTCCCCAACAACATAGTTCTCAACCGGTGGCCAATCACAGTTCACGGTAGTATTAACGAAAAGAGCAATCGAGTTCACAAAGGCACGAAGAAATCTGGTCTGAAGTGTGAAAAAAGTGTTGGGACGCTAGCACACAAGAACGCGAGCTGGAGCTGCGAGTTGCAAACAATAACTGAAAGCTTATTTTTGCATGAGAGCTATCGCTGCTCAAATCTCTCCTTATACTGTTCCTTTGTTCGTTCCTTCAATGCTGGCAACTCTGATTACAGTGGCACACATAGCTGTGACCAGCGGGCAGATCGAGAGCACCACAAAAGCCTTCAATTGTGACGGATGCTGAAGGAACACATCACGATACGTAACGATCAATCGCAAAAAAAAACTGTTTCTGTGCCAGACCACAAAATATCTAGAGCTGGAGACGAAGGTTACAGAGTTAACTAGAAGCCGCGCTTGCGTCATGATTGCTACTGGTGACATCAAAGTGCACTCAACGTCAGTTATGACATTGCCGGCCGTGTAGAACATACGTGCGGAACACTTGCAAATAAATGAAATTTTTATTGTGCACGTATACTCGGTTTTTTACGTTAAACATTTATCACATCCTTAATGTAGTGGGTCAGTGTGTGGCCATATACAGGCTGTTTGGTTCTCCAAGAAAAATATACTAGTAATATGACACTAAAATTTGTGGGAATTGAGGCTGGCCCGCTGCCTTTGCGCGGGCTTTCCCGCCTTTTCTGCCATTCTCATGTCCCGACATGTCTGCCCTCCTTTGCCGTCAGCCGCGCTGGGAAGGGCGGAGTGACGTTTAACTCCCTCACCCGGTAGCGGATGTTGACTGTGGCGCCGCGCGCGGGGACCCCCGAGAGGTTTTCGCGCGCTGCGTCGGGAGCGGAGAGTACAGTCCGGGACTTCAAACGGTGAGCCACGCATTCTTTTTCGTCCGTCGAGTCCCGTCGCTCGGGGCTCGTCGGACTTCGCTGACGGCGCCTCGCGCCCGATGCGAACGCTCACCTTTTGTTGCCCCGCTGCGTACTCACGGCCGAAGGGCAGTACGGTGTCCTAGTGCGTGGCCTAGCTACGCCGACCCGTCTCCCTCCGAAGCCAACGCGAGCGCCTTTGCCCTCGCTCGAGCAACCGGCCCCTTTGTCCCGGTGTCTCCGTGGATCACCTTTACCGCGGAGACGTGCTCGTGGCACCCTGTGTAGTACTTTGTGCCCGTGGCGTGGATAAGCCTACTTGCTTTCCCGCCGCGCCTTTTTTGCAACGGGCTGTACTGCGTTTGGTGTTGCCACAATAAAGTGTTGCGACTTGAGCAGTATCGTGTTTCCCGCCACGGCGACGGTTGACGCGTGCCCTGCGGCTCGCTAAGACCGGACCCACGCTGGTGGCCGTACTCCTTCGGGATACGTGTACACCACACTGGCGCCCAACGCGGTATCAAAAGCTCTAGCTTTTGACTGCTCTTAGCGAGTCAGTTCGCCTGCGCGATTCGGGCTCGTCGCAACATGGCTGCTTCGCGGGACTTTTGTCCGCTGTCCCTTTTTAGCGGATGCCGCGTTGCACAAGGAGGCCATTGCCTCTATTGACGGGAACCCTGCTGCACCCGTCTGGGTCGGCACCCCTTTTGCGGTGACAACACGAGGCGCCTAGCCGCTCCCTTTGGAGATGGCGCGTCGCTTCGGAATGGGCCTCTTGCCCTACCCGAACGTTACGCACAAGCGCCTCCGACGCCCGTCCGTGTCGGCACCCCCTATTGCGGTGACGACACGAGGCGCCTAGCCGCTCCCTTTGGAGATGGCGCGTCGCTTCGGAATGGGCCTCTTGCCCTACCCGAACGTTGTCTGCTTCGTGGCATGCCGCGTTGCACCAAGAGGCCACCGCCTCTATCGACGGGCGCCCTTCGGCGCTCGCCTGTGTCGTCACCCCTTTTTGTGGTGAATACACTCCTACGTGGTAGCTGACGCGCTATCTCGTGCCCCTTGTTGTCTGCCGAGAACCTGGATTTCGGTGCGACGGCCGCTCGCAGTGCCTTAGCACATGCAAGCGTCGGGGGCGAAACAGCAGCTTCGCCGCCATTCGGCGAGAAGGGTGAGTCCCCATGCGGACAAACCTTGGCTGCTAACCAGGTAAGCGGCGCACCGCGAAGCGGCCGAGCGGGGGAGCTTTCCGAAGGCCACGAGGTCGAGAGTGAACCCGTAACGCCGACTCACGCGGCGGTTGCTGCGGTCCTGAGTGGACGCGATACCAGACTCCCCCATTTGGGAGAATGGGAATTGCTTTCGGCAGCGAAGAGCTACTGAAGGCTCAGCAGAGTGATCCGTTTCGAGTCTCGGAGGGACGGAGCGCCGTATACGCTGCTTGCTTTGCGGCGGGCGCCGTTAAACCGTCTTGACGAGGCGCGGAGCGCCGTTACGCTGCTTGTTCTGCGGCGGGCGCGATTAGGGGGCTGAAACAGCGTGTGTCGCTGAGTCCCCGGCGGATTCATTTTGCTGGACCATGACGGGCTCCTGCTGAAATATATAGCCACTGACGACGAGTCCATAGACCCGTTTAAGGTGGCTATGCCCAAAAGTCTGAGAGCCGCACTGTTGCGATCCTCTCACGACGAACCCATGGCCGGTCACCTGAGTGGCTCGAAAGTTTTTGCAAACTGAGCAACGTTGTGACCTGGCCCGGCACGAAGCGTGGCTTTTATCGCTATTGCGTGCCTGTCACGTCTGACAAACGGTTGAGCCAAGGGTTGGAAAGCCGCCCGGTCTTATGAACCGATTGTCAGTGAGCGTCCGTGGCGCGTACTAGCTGAAAGATCCCCTTTGGGAAAACTCGGCCGTGCCCACATCGCAGACCTGAAGCCCTTTGTCATGGTCTGACGAGCTTGCGCCAGTGCCCTGCGGCACTTCGCGCAAGCAACGGGCACACCCGGAGCGGCGGACCGCATTCGGACCCCGCACCGGTATAATCTGAGGAAGCTGTCACGTTTGTGATTTCGCGCCGGACGGCGGACTTCTCCGCAACCGAAGGCCCTCAGTTTACTGTCTAGCCTCAGTATAGGTTAGCTTCTTTACGGCCTTTTCTCGTAAAGAAGTTGACCCCGCCATGTCTGCTGCCAGTGTTTCTTTTTTTTTTCAAGTGTTCATGTGTATTTTGTGTTTCTTTTGTCTAATATTAAGTGTTATCTGTGTTTTATGTTTTTTCGCCAGATGTTGAGTGTCGCTTTGCTCTGTTTTTACTTTTTTTTTCGTATTCGTTTCGTCTACCGCGAAGGGAGCTGTGTGTGACCTTGTGTGTCGGTGCTTGCCGGGAGGGAGAGAGACGAAGGACGCTTTGCGCCTACGCTCGCGTAGCCGTCGGCGGTGTGTGTGCGTGTGTAAGTGCGTGACGCTTCAGTGCGAGCCCGCGAAGAGTGCGTCATGGCTGCCCTCCATCGACGCGGACACTGGAGGTGCTGGGGGGTCATTGACCCACTGACGTCAGACCATCTGGCTGTGCTCTGCTCTTGGCCGTCGCCGAAGAAGCCGTGCTGCCTTTTCCACCATGGCTCCTGCGCGAGGCCAGCTGAAAGCAGCTATATGCTGCCGGCCAACGCCAGGGCGCCTCGCAGCCAATTTTGGTTCGGCCTCCCTGACCACCGGAGAGGCCCGGCTTCCCGCAACGTCCAGCTTCGTCATCGAGCCGGAAATGCGGGGGCCTCCGAAGCACAGCCGAGGCAGCGTTCGTCGGACTCGCTGCTTATCAAGACCAGCAACGAGCCATCAGTGAGCCCCCCCCCCCTTCCGGTACCTCTGACCTCGCACTCGGGCATCGCACACAGCGGACACTGTCACGCCCTTTTCCGCCCCTCCGCGCAGTGGACGCTATCCCCCATAAGCACCACGAACACCAGTGCCACGTTTCTGTCCTCCCTTCCGCAGTTATTTGTATAGTGTCATGTGTTTACTTTGTTATTTATGTTTTGTTTCTCATTTGTGATCTTTTTTTAGCAGCAGTAACAGGGCTGGACTGAGGTTAGCTGTAGCTCATAGCAGTGTCATTTTAACTGCATGGGTGACGTCCGGCTGCCTTTTGCAGACCGGTAAAGGGCAAATTTAGGAGGGGGGGATGTGGGAATTGAGGCTGGCCCGCTGCCTTTGCGCGGGCTTTCCCGCCTTTTCTGCCATTCTCATGTCCCGACATGTCTGCCCTCCTTTGCCGTCAGCCGCGCTGGGAAGGGCGGAGTGACGTTTAACTCCCTCACCCGGTAGCGGATGTTGACTGTGGCGCCGCGCGCGGGGACCCCCGAGAGGTTTTCGCGCGCTGCGTCGGGAGCGGAGAGTACAGTCCGGGACTTCAAACGGTGAGCCACGCATTCTTTTCCGTCCGTCGAGTCCCGTCGCTCGGGGCTCGTCGGACTTCGCTGACGGCGCCTCGCGCCCGATGCGAACGCTCACCTTTTGTTGCCCCGCTGCGTACTCACGGCCGAAGGGCAGTACGGTGTCCTAGTGCGTGGCCTAGCTACGCCGACCCGTCTCCCTCCGAAGCCAACGCGAGCGCCTTTGCCCTCGCTCGAGCAACCGGCCCCTTTGTCCCGGTGTCTCCGTGGATCACCTTTACCGCGGAGACGTGCTCGTGGCACCCTGTGTAGTACTTTGTGCCCGTGGCGTGGATAAGCCTATTTGCTTTCCCGCCGCGCCTTTTTTGCAACGGGCTGTACTGCGTTTGGTGTTGCCACAATAAAGTGTTGCGATTTGAGCAGTATCGTGTTTCCCGCCACGGCGACGGTTGACGCGTGCCCTGCGGCTCGCTAAGACCGGACCCACGCTGGTGGCCGTACTCCTTCGGGATACGTGTACACTACAAATTTATACTGAGCAATCAAAATATTTCTTCTATTCACACTTTTCATGCACATAACTTTGTAAATGCGTAACAATAGAAACGAGCAACACCGAAATTAGCTGCAAGCTGCCATACTACTTGCGGAGCAAGGCAAATGACCGGAAGCTCCCCTCTCTGTAAACTTTTGCTCCACTGTCATGATAAGTTGTCACCGAGTGCAGATGGCATTCATTTTCCACCAGAGCACAAGTATGTGAGTATTTCTGTAGAAATGAGTAACGTATTTCTGTAGAATTCATCTGAGAGCAACAAATGTGGCCCACCTGCGTAGCGTCCAGCAGCTCTTGCAGCCGAGCCTTTGCTGCTCCTTCCTCATCAGCTTCAGTCTCGGCATCATCCTCCCCCTCCGAGGTAGTCCGGTGTCTCCGAAGCGCCTCCAGTTGAGCTAGGGACGATTCCAGCACCTAAAAATGCGCACATTCTTTTCTGAGTCATGTCCGAAAGACAGGCTTCAAGAACTTTTACAGTGTACAGGCACCTACTATAAACCCTTCTTGATGTAACCGTATTATAGTCAACGACAAAGCAAAACTAGAGGTAGGTAATGAACTATATCATGGACCCTGCAAGAAGCACATCTTTTGTCCCGGCATAGACAGGTGCCGACAAATCACATAGGCACTGTATAGCATAGCTGTATACCTAAGAAGGCCTTGCAGCAAAGAAGTATGTGATGGTCTTCTACTGTGTTAAATCAGGAGGGTTTTGATTAAACAAAAAAAAAAGACCAAAAAAAGGTTTGTTATACCTATTCACAGGTAATAACTTTTTTCTTATAAAACGACATTTTAAAGACAGAAGGTGGGTGAATACAAACTTGAACGAAACTTAGATTACTTTGCTATATCTAGAGATGAAATCTTTTCTAACACATGCCGTCACTGGAGCTAATGTACCGACAAGCAGCCTCGTCTTCCTGAACTGCACCTGCAAACTGCATCCCTAGCTGCTGCCTCAAAGAAAACAAGACACTGACTCCAGTGACAGCCCGTGTTAAAAGTTTTTTCATCTTTGCAAGCTTCAATCTTCCCTTGAACTTCCTGTCTTATTCACACATGTTCCAGCTATTGTAGCAAACGGCCATTTGGGCGAGTAGGTAACCCAGGTGGTAACATACATCGTGTACTTGATACTATGGTCACGTGGCCACGTACATGTGGGCCAAACTGGTTGATACTTACATATTCGTTTGCAGGAGCATAAGAGAGCGTGGACGTCAAGGAAAGGTGCTCACATGGTGCAGCATTGTGCCACATGTGGCTGCTCACCCTTTCTTGTTGACGCGACCATTCTACTTAGGCACCAGAACGAAACCACCAGCGAATTAATCTAAGCTTTCCACACCAAGAGATGCGGGGAGTGATGCGTGAGCCACATATCTACTGCCCTATCAGAGAAGGAGTACTTTAAACTTAATCATTCTCATCATCCCTCTCCCACCGTTCCTTGATAATCTTTGTCTTACATCGATATTCATTCCGATTTTTAAACAAGAAAAACTGTAGCATGTGCGACAATCTGTAAGCTTTTTATCTGTTGCCTCTTTGATAAACTTCCAGTTGTAAGTGTTCACCTGCATCGATTGTTCTCTCCTCTAGTTCCTGTCCTGCACTACGCCCCCACCATCTGCATTTAAAATGTTACATCTGTTGGTTTGTTAAACCCACTTCTTCTGAAGCAAGTTTCATAATCATCACCATCATACAATCTCATAATTAAAAAAATGGAATCGTAATACACTGACACATGTAAGAGAGAGGAAGAAAGGGAGGAGCGACATGAAACAGACAGGCCATTTCTTGTAAGAGAGGGATTGACCACCTGGATGCGTTCGTCCTTCTGCTTCAGCTGCTCGGCCATCTTGGTTGCCTCCTGGTTGCTCGCACTCACCTCCTCACACAGGGCCTCTTGCCTGCACAAAACGACAGCGAAGATGGCATGCATTTGTTAGTAACGACCCTTCCTTCAATACACTCGAACCTCGATATGACGAACATGAATGTAACGAAACATCAGCCATGACAAAGTCAATGAAAAATAGCATTGCAACAGATGCAGCGCTAGGAATATATGTTTATAACAAACTTTTGACTTCGTCTAATTTACAACCTTCCTAACAAACATACAGCAGATTGCTTGTTTAACAAACATGAAATCATCAATGTTTACAACCTATACATTTACAGGCTTTTATGCCATTATAAGATGCAACAACAACAACAAAAAAATGGACCACCTCCCCGAAAGAAACCCTGATGGAATGCGAAGCAGCAGTGCTGCACACGGGTGGCGTCACGGGTTGAACCGCGCTAACGCGGGTGCTGTGGCGAGCGCTAAAAGATTTGTTTAGAACAATGGCTGCCATAGGTACAGACGTGCCATAGGTACAGACGTGCCATAGGTACAGACACGTACAGACGTGTTTCAACGTGTACAGTAGGTGCGCGTCAGGTTTATTGCACATGAAACGATGAGGCGGCGGTGTAGCGAGCGGGCATGTTGCGGGCGAACGGAAAAGGCGGCAGCTGCGGGTGCTGTGGCGAGCGCGTGGCAGGCGAGGCAGAGAGTGACGTCAGTGCCAGCAGTGGGGTGACCTACTTGGTACCGTGCCAACATCTTTGGCGCGAGGTGCATTTGTACGGAGGGACAGTGTTACACAGGCTAGTCAAAGAGCTGCTTCACATCTAACAAGTCTGAATGCAAAGGTGAACATTTGAGACTTCTGTCTGGTTGAAAAGCAACTAACATTGGAACAGGAAAAGGGACACCAAACAATGTGTTCAATTACTTTAAAAAATGAAAAAATCCTGACGTTTCGGGTCCAGCTCAGACCCTTCTTTAGGGATGACTGTGAGGGATGAATCTAGAGATGACTGTGAGACACAGAGTTTATAACGCCTTCTCTTCAAGTCGGAGAGTCTTGCTTTTTTGACCGACAAGTCGTAGTTCGTAGCAATACACACACGGGAGCACGCCTGTAGACCGGCTTTACATTTCCAGGTGTTTGCCGAATATACCACTACTCCACAAAAAGCCGCTTTGTGATATGCCACAACTTGCTATTGCAATAATCATTGATCCAGCAACATTACAACATCCTTTCACTGCTTCCATGATTTCAGATGTTACCTGACATTGCATGTTCACTGCAGATGTGTTCCTACCTTTCTTGTCTTACTAGAAAGCACTAGATTTGGCTGTTATTCACGTTTTTCTTTACTTTTTGAAATCCTATATATAGTTACGACATGTAGGGCTGTGCAAATATTTGAAATTTCGCATATTTTTCTCACCTGTGTTTGCTATTAGATTTAATCTGCACTAGAGTTTCACTATTCAAAGTATTTGAACTTCCCAGAGACAAACACAATCAACATCCCCTTCAGGTTCTTTACAATGAGCCCTTCAGATTCTTTATATGCTTTACCACATCACGTTAGTGCATTGCAGCGAAGCTGCCTTTCAAACTTTGATACGGTTACAAATGTTCTGACTCGAGGAAACACTGGTTCCATTCTCTGCAATATTGCCCCTTAATATTTTTAACATTTAACAATCTCGCATTACGGCACAGCTGCCTTTAAGGCTCTGGTACAGCTGTAAACTGACTCGTGAAGACGCTGGTTCGAAACCTACGCGACAGAGGTGGGGGCTTTAATTAATGCCATTCGGACCAGAACGCCTGAAATACAAAAAAAAATTGGACAAATATTCTGAGCATCCGAAGTTTCAGATGTTTTGTTTCATTGACGTCTACAGGACAGATTAGCAATTGCAATTTGACGCCCTTGACCGCCAAAGAAGTTGGGCATCTACAGAAGTTGAATGAGGAGGAGAGGCAGAAGAAAATAGCATTTTTTCCTTTCAAGTGTTGTGACACCACACTGGTTGCACCAAATCATGTAGAAATAAATACAGTTCAGCCAGTGCATTGCCTCATCCTCGATAAAACAACTAGAGAGCACCATCCCACCAACGTTTGACCAACCTAACCAAAGTAAACACTTCCATGTTCCTATCTCTTAAGAATGTGCCTAGGGATCCTCTGCACCTTTTTTTGTGTGTAATTTCATGACAAAGGGTTCCAAAAATATTAAACAACATTCGACAGCTATTCAAAATTTCTCAATTCAACCCGCACTCAAGCTTCAATATTTGAATTCGCTTCACACGCAAAATATTGTTATTCGCACAGGCTCTAATGATACGCTGAACATTTGTGAGTGAGTAAATGTCAAGCTGGAGATTTTGCTGACGATGTTCAACATAGCACAACTTGTGTTCAAATGGGTTTTAAACATCCATTCTTGTCTTCATGCACACAGTTCTGAATGCATATTATGTTCATATGCTGATTTACTTTTTAACTCCCCCGGTTTAGGAAAATTTTTGCATCCCAAAAGGTACACAAAAAATTTTGTATTTTAAAAACTACACAGTATTAGGAGTGAGTGAATATTCGAAATTTCGAATATTTTCCAAATAGTTTTTACTATTCGATCTCATCCGCACTGAAATTTTACTATTTAAACTTCCCAAAGACAAATATAGACGACTGAATGACAGTGGCCCCTTCAAATTATCAATATGTTTCACCCCATCGCACAATCATTGTGCGGCAGAACTACCTTTCAGGTTCTGCTACGATCGCAAATGTATTGATTTAAGAAAATGCTGGTTCCAACATGAAGATGACAGATAAAGTGGGGGCTCAATTAACGCTGTTCTGTACCTGAAATTTGGGCAGGAAGTCCGAAAAAGCGGACGCCAGAGATTCTTCCCAATTTCACATGTTCTTATATATTGACGTCTACGAGGCAGATTTGAAACTCCGGACTCTAAGAGAGCACACCCTTGTCCTACTGCATCAGTTGAGCTTCCACAGAAGTAGAAAAAAAAAAAATGGAAATTGCATCTTCGCCTTTCATGTGTAAAGTGTTGTTGGCAACACTTTGGTTGCACTAAATAACATACTAATACAGTTCGACTTCTGCATTGCCTCATTTTTGAGAAGACTATGAAACACCACCCGTCAAGTGGTTCATCATCTTAGTGAAAAGAAACACTTTCACTGTTGTTAACTCATGAGAACATGCTTAGGAGCCCTCTCCAACATTCTTTTTCCAGCAATTTCGCTTCGAACTATTCCCAAAATATTATGAAAATATTTATTAGGAAAATATTCGATTCACACTTGCACTTTAATATTTGAATTCACTTCGCACTCAGAATTTTCCTATTCGTGCAGTTCTACATATTATACTAAAAAATAATTAATATTTGAAATTACTCCAGAAATTTAGTCAAATTTATCCAGAAATAAAAATAATTTCAAGTGACAATGTCACCTCTTAACTTTGGGGCTTCCTCAGTTGTTCAGTATTCACCTTTATGTGAAAGTGATGTCGTCGACGAACAAACTTGAACAGGAACGAAGCATGCAAAGAGGAGGATATGGCAACTGACCTGTGCTTGAGCGCTTCCAGCTCGCTCCAGAGCCGGTCACTGGTGTCGGTGGCGTCCGAAAGGCTCTGCTGCAGCGAACGCTCCTGAGCCTGGCTCTCGGCGGCCTGCTCTCGCCAGTGGTCGCGCTCCGCACACGCCTCGCTCAACTGCCGCTCCAGGGCGGCCAGTGCGGCACCCTGTTCAGTCGCTTCCGACTCCTTCTCCATCAACTGCATGACCCCCGCACACACACATTGTCAGGAGGATCGCGAACTGATGCGTTTCCACACAGCTGTCGATTGTCAGAAACTTGTGTTGAATGGTGTGTTGCATACATGATGCTCATAATCGCAACGGCGCTTAACAGTGCCGCACATTGGCCTATCTAATGTTGGCACCTGTTGGGCTTCAAGGCGAGAAGAGAGGGCTTGTCTACTATGCAAGTTTATGTCAACAGATCTGAGTCTGCATTTTCTGGGTCAGAGCGGAAACAAATTGCACTTGAACACTCTGTTTGCCAAAGCCACAACACTCAAATCTCTATATAACGAGCTCGGATATAACAAAATCTTGCTTATAACGAAGTAAATGAAGAACAGTTCTGTAAAATATATAGCTTTAGGAATATATATTTATAACAAATTTTCATTAATAACGAACTTATTTTTGTGTAAGATGCAACTTTGTTATAATGAGTAGAGGCCGGATTTACAAGCACTAAAAAATTGAGTTTTAGGTCCCAAAAACAAGCAGGCAAAAGTTTTAGGGCCCCCCGAAGTTTTAAATATAGGCACAAGAAATTTTTACAAAAAAAATGCAAATTTTCGAAGAAATTTGTGCATGACCTCTGCTTAGAATAGGAAAGCAAAAAAAAATTTTTTTAGTTTATGATGGTACAAAGATGGCAGTGGTTTCGCAGACCCATGGAATTTTTTTACCACACAGTTTGCAGAACACGGTCTTCCCTTTTATTGCCCAGCATGGTGAGTCAAACATTCACTGTCGAATAAACACGCTCTTGGATCTCTCTATTTTAGGCAGGGCTGAGAAGGGCACCACAGGAGCCAGACTACTAAAAGGGTCTTTTAGCCTCGTATAAACCGGGTCTAATCGCAGAGGGTCAATTTCTCTTGTGTCTGTGAACACCTCAAAGGGCCCCTCATCAGGTTTTTTGAGTATGTAAAAGAAATGCATGCACAGGGCGCTCACAATCTCGTCTGCCAAAATTTTCTACGCTTCGCGCACTGGAAAGAGGTGAAATGTCCGACTGAATGTCGCTTGCCCTTCATCACACGGGATCGCGCCCCAACATAGTGGAGGCGACGTACAACAAGAAATAGTCCTGCGTACATCAAAGTGGTACGTGACACTGCAAGAATTACTCGAGGCGACATAAGTAATTTGTACAGTCTGGTGCTTGAACAGAAGTATAAAGGTTGATAGAAAGCTATAAGGAATATAAAAACATACAAGTGGAATCTGTGCACATTATTTACCGTATTTACTCGAGTAATGAACGCACTTTTTTTTTCGAAAAAGCCGAGCAAGTTGGAAGTGTATTTATTGTGCGGAGTAAATTTTGTCAAAACTTTTTCGGGATAAGCAAAAAGTGCAATGCAAAAAAATTAGGCCACCTAGCTTTGCGCAATTGACACACGCATACCCTGTTTGCAAACAGCTTCTTTGCAGCATTTCACACATCTTCCGTGGTTAATGGCACTATCTTCTGCAAGCTGTCCCCGCGCTGCCCGTGCACGCCATAATAGAGTTTTTCCAGCAATCACTCAACTGCAACAGTGGTATCTGCCGTGATGTCGAGGGGCGCCCAAAAGTGTACGATACGATGCACTTTGCCAACTTCGTGGCAACCTTGCACGACAACTGCGATATCGCCGTTGACATTGTATCAAGTAACCAGCATTGCAGCAAGCTACCACCGAAGGATCAAAACAAAAAGGTCGATAACAAGATGACCAGGTCGACAAGGTTGACCGAAGAGGGCAAGGAAGAAGTTGGCTTGCTTCGTCTACACAGGGCGAGTGGCCGTTTCAAGCTCACCTCCTCGCACCACGCATTCGCAGCTCGCAATGAACCAACTTAAAATTCTTGTGGTACAAAGCTGGTACAATTTTTCTGGTACAATTCTTGTGGTATTGAGCACACAACTACTTCCCGTGTCTAACCAAAATCTCTCATGTGACATGGTCAATCGCCCGTTAAGGAGTAAACGACAAACAAAACAACAGCCGCTATCCGATTTTTTTTCTTTTTTGATTTACACTTGACTTTCCCGTGACGACACTCCACGGTTTCGCATTTGTTCTCCCTTTTCCTACGGCTACACAGAAGTGCCACTTGTCCCGTGCCTTGATAGTGCTGAAAGGTACATCTGAGATGAAGTATAGGCTGTACCCTATAAAGTGCCGAAAGCTCAATTTTGCCCAGTCACATGAATACCGGTCTCCAACTGTACTTGAAAGCAATATTTTAGGTTAAATAGTGCTCATATAGGCACCAATTGTGAATATAGGCACTTACAGGCACTTATAGAAACTTAGGCACAAACACCAAAAATGGGCATTTATAGGCACTATAAACACAATTAAAGTCCTCCTTAACCTCTAATTCATGCTCCTGCATGAAAGTGGCACGATAGGAACGCAAGGAACAAAATAGACGTTTGCCTAAAATGCGGTCTCTAATAATGAGGTTTGAACATAGCTGCCATTAGTTTAGACAAATAACTGCATTGTAGGAAAGGTAACATTACAATTAAGAAAAGGTTCTACTATTGGCTTCAAACACTGTTGAATTGGAAGAAAGCTCTCAGAAAAGGACTATGAGGACTTCATCTCCGGTTGTTAGCACCGTGCTTGTCTACTTTCGTTCAAGTTATCTGCCATCTTTGATTTGTAAGGTTTAACGTCCCAAAACCACCATATGATTATGAGAGACGCCTTAGTGGAGGGCTCCGGAAATTTCGACCACCTGGGGTTCCTCCATCGGAAATGCAGCAGCCGCAGCCGGGATTTGATCCCGCGACCTGCGGGTCAGCAGCCGAGTACCTTAGCCACTAGACCACCGTGGCGGGGCTATCTGCCATCTTTAACGCGTCCAAAGCATAGGGCAGCAAATGGGACATGGCTTTGGTTAGGCTCTCTGCAAGTCACAACTCTCTATTCGTCAAGTCATTAGTATGACAGACAATCCAACCAATCTATCAACAGATGCTAGAAAGAAAGGAGGCATTCCTCCTTCCACAATCTGTATTACCCTTTCACAGAAGGAAAGCAATAAAAGTATTTAGTTATCTAATGGAAATGGACACTTCCTAGTCACAGCTAATTTATAGGCAAACACAAACTATATAGGCAACACAAGTCGAAAGTTCTTCATCCTAAAAGGCAGATGCACACAATGCCTGCATGAATGGGCCTGCCATCCGGACTGACATCACGAGCCACACGGCTGGTGATCCCGCTTTCAGAGGAGACATTTCCAAGTGCAGGAGCAGGACTATTTCTTCAGTCACGAAGACGATCGGCGGCTGCCGTGCTTTGGTCTTCTGGGCGGGGCCTCTCCGGACTCCTTAATCAGACTGCAGCCCCGCTTGTTTGACCTGACCTCAGCACAAGTGCCCTTGTCAACCGACTGACTGTGATGAGAGGTGGGCCACTATACACCATAATCCTTCATGGAACTGACAGGCCTCTACAAACCGGTCAGTAAAGATAATTCTTGTAATATATGAGTTTACGCTAGCTACACCTCTTATTACACCATTACATATCTAATCTAATTCTGTTTGCCAAACTTTTTGGAGCTGACATCAGTGAAGCTATAAGCAAAGCTTGCATTCTGCCGTAGAAAGAGAGAGAAAGACAGACAGACACACGTACATACGTGCACACACACACGTACATACGTGCACACACACGCGCGCACACACGTGCGTACACACACACACACAGCAGTGAACTGCATGTGTCAGAAGCACATTTTCATCCACCTTACTTTCTTCACATTTGCATCATAGTTACTAACACGAACCCCTATACTTTCGTTGGCTGTTAGCTCTAATTAATGATCTGCCAGAAAAAGTTGTTCATCAGTACTAGACCAACCTTGTGAAAAGCATGATTTTCCACCACTGCACAAACTTCTTGACACTTGCAACTGTAAGAAACTCGCAAACTCACCGTCTTTTGAGCGACAGCCAGGGCAACTTGGTTTGCTTCCAGCTTCTGCGTTTGCTCAGACAGGCGAGTTCGAAGTTTGCGCAGCTGTTCTTCTTGGTTCTGTAAAAGTCAAAGTACTCCATCACATGACTACTCAACCAGCAATGTACAGGAGGAATGGAAATAAATGCAAACAGATAAGCAACTACAACCTCCCCTATTAATCACTCTTTTTAAAGCGGTTGTAGCCTGAATGGTAATAAAAAGCTAATACACTCAAGGCTGAATATAATGAACATGGATATAACAAAATATTGGTTACAATGAAGTAAATGAAAAATAGCCTTGCAATAGATACAGTGTCAGGAATAACCTTTATAATAAATTTTTTGATATAACAAACCTATTTTCTGGAAAAATGAAACTTTATTATAATAAGGTTTCAGTGACTTCCATTATATGAGCAAGAACCATTCTAGCATCTTTTGACTGCCACTATGGTCATAGCACAATGAAAACAGAACACCAAGCTTTTCGCGTTTCTTTCTGTCCACCCTACACACCCAGTTTGCACACACAAATCTGCACAACGCAGGCCTACGGACCACCGGAAACAGAGCAGATAAACGGTGAACCTCTGGAACAAGGTTGAATATAGCCAGTGTAAGACCATCAAGTATAAAGAGTTATTGAAACAGCAGACAATGTCAAACAGGGAATGGCCCCTCTTGGCTACAGATTGTGATCTCAAAAAGCAAATCAGTGGGCAATACGTAATCATTTTAAGCCCTGCTCAACTTCATAACGTTGCAACTGCGTAGCACACTTAGATCAAGTGTCACCAACTGGCCCAATCGTCCACTTTGGTTGCAATAAAGTAATGTGTGGATGTCTCGTTCCATAGGACCTCTAAAATTACAGATTCCTGCTCCTGCAACAATGTCATGCCATAATCTTGAATGGCTCAATTTAGATGCACTGCAGTTTCATCGGTTGTCGTCATGGAAAGTGTAGTGTGAAGCGCAACTTGCATGTGATAAAAGTAAGTTTTGCTTCGAGTCGAATTCAGAGCTTTAAGTGGGATTCACACGAGAGAGATATACACGGGGGATAAAGGCAGAGCCTAGCGAGATCAACAGGCGACGTTAAGTCCCCCCAAATGTGCCTCACTCACCTGGATGAGGCGAACGGTGGGGGAGATCAATGTGGCCGAAGCCTCCACCATAAAAAGAAGCTGAAAAATTCTTTGACCCCCGGCCATAAATATCGGCAAGCTCTCGTATTGGGGGAGGGGGGTTGAAAGTCCCGTTGTATATTGACAGGAGAAGGAGGAAAGCGCTGGTGTATCTTGGGTGAGGAAAGTACTGGTGTGGTTTGAGGTAAGTTCTCGTTTTGCGCCCCCCTGCCGCTTTGCTCTGCGGCATTGCCCTTGGTATGACTCGCCACCACAAGCTTTTCTTTTTCGCAAAGACAAACTCCCCCAAAGCAACATTCCGGGCAGCGTCATTGACTACGGCTTTTCTTTCTTTTTTTCGACTACTAAATTGCTCACGGCCGCTCTGACTCATCAAATACTACTATTGATTCGGTAGATAGTAATTTCAATAAAGTATCTTTCAATGAAGGTTGACTTTCTGTGAACGAAGAAATTTCTTTCATGAGAATAACCGAGAACGGAAGGAATCTAGCCTACTAATAGTTGATAATTTTATCTGTACGAACATTTCATTATAGTTACGAAATACAAGTTAATAGAAGACGACTTTCTTCACTACGCAAACTCAGCCTAAGATTCTGCTGCATCAGTGCAGCCAATAAAGTAAAATGTGAAGTTTGTCATGTTTCTGAAAATAAAAAGCAGCTCTGGGATTCTACGACTGCCTAAAGTTTAAGCGTCTAATCTTGAATAAAGAGGCCTGTCAAAAAATTTTCTTTATGGAGTAAGACATCTCCATCAGGCTGAACAAGCAGAGCAGTAGCAGCAGCTGTAACAACAACAAAAGCAGGCGATGTCACAATGCTTATCAGAATAACCCCTTTAAAACAAGACTATATGTTACTCCATAGAGATGATAGCACTCAATCATCTGCTTGGTTAACGTCTGCCACAGACAATTCTTTAGGTTAGTATTACTATAGTCATCGAAAGGGGTGTCTCACAAGCGAGAATATTCTTCTGCGAGAGAAAATAAAAAAAGTTGCTTCATCGTTCATTTTCGCCATCACGGTGCACACAAGTTAGGGGCGTAACTTTTTAGTAATTTGGAAGGGGCACCGCCGCTGCATTCTGCAAGAGAGAGCGCTACAGTGTGACCAGAGACCCACTCGAAATTCCACTACATCTCCTGCAGCACGGGGATCGTTTGACTGGTCGGAGAAACAATACCTGCCTCCCTCGAGGAGCCGCAAGGAGGTCGCGTCGACACACTAACCCGTGACGTCATGTGATGCGCCATCCTCGCCTCTCCTCGGAGGAGTTCTCCCACAGGTGAATAACGCTTTAAATGTGAGCCTAGTTATAATTAGAGCCCACAAAACATGAACTGCCATCAAGCTTACCACCCCTGTGGTCTGTATTATGTGAATTGAGCTGCAATACGTGGGGGCTCACTGCTTCACCTGCACTTCCTCGCGAAGCGTGTCCAGCTCACGTTCATGCTGGGACAGGGTACGACCTCCGCGATCTGCCTGTGCCTTGGCCTGCACCAGCTGGTCCGACAGCACCTGCCGCTCCGTCTCCAGGGTGAAAAGCCGCTGCTCCAGCATGGACAAGCTGCCTGCACCAACCAGAGTCATCAGTCTGTTGATTCCACAAATGTAACTGTTAGAGGGAACTTCAGCACAATATGCGAGGAAGCAGCAAACACAACAAATCAGCCAACACCACAATGATGGACAAAAACTGGTATTTGCTCTAGGGAAGCTGGACTATCTCCTCATGTCTTCTCTTTGTAGCTAAACACAAGCTAAATGATGAAAACATGTGTTGTGCCTAAGTACTAGGCTTGTGCGAATAGTGAATTTCAGGTTCGAAGTGATTTCGAAGCGAATAGCGATTTTGGTCGAATATTTTCGAATCGAATCGGAATAGAATGTATGACGTATAAAGAAAAATTGGCGTACTTATCACTACCTAACTAACCTGCACAATATATTTTCTTTCATTGAAATAAAGCCTCTATGCAAGTGCTTTTCTTTTTTCATTCAAAGGAAATCGAAACAACTTTTGAGAAGTAGGAGGGTTTGACTTTCAGTAGGATGCAACTGATAACCTGTAAAAACTTTATTCATTATAGTTAGAGTGTATAAGTCTGCAAAACAAACTTTTAAGCTTAAAAAATGATCAATCGATTTGAGGATCATATGTTCATTTGAAGGGTTTTTCAACAGCTTTTCAAGTAGCCATAGAATAGATTCACTAAAGAAGCTTATTGCCTCACGAATTAACCACCGCAAAAACTTTTATAATCTGTCCAGCATGAGCAGAGTTTTGCGATTTGCCACATGCTGCGATTGCATTCTCCCTTCTTGTCCCGACGAAAGCGCTTGAAGCAAAGCCGGGAGAGATGGCATGGGGAAAGAAAATATGTCACGAGCGTGTCGTGACCTTGAGGATTCTTATTCTTTCCTTTTTCTTTCAAAGCGGGGCTTTTCATTGCAATCGCGCATGTACGTGTGGACAAGTCGCGGCCACCCGCGGCGGCCCCAGTAACGACCGAGCGCCCCATTCTCAATTCAGCCAATGGCTGGTAGAATGGCTGTGACGAGAGATTGTTGACATTATGGCGTCATTTGCCGAAAGAAGAGAATAATTTTTATCTGACGGAGAATTTATCATGAATGCTAGGTCGCATGCTCCGCTATAATATTTAGCTCATGTGTTCTCGGTAGCCTTGACTACCGATCGACAGCGTTCGCAGATCATGCGCAAAAAGTGTTGCAGGGCCCCTTTAAATTTGAAATAAGGCTTTGCAGCACAGCGAATTTCCCTGAATTGGTGCTTTCACTGCTTAGCACCGCTATACTGCCGTGAAACCACTCTTACAAGCGGTTACATGGAGAATAATATATATACGTTCCAATCAAATACTTTGAAATATTCAATACCGTAATTACTCGAATCTAACGCGCACCTTTTTTCCGGTTAAGCGAGTTCATAAATCGCATGCGCGTTAGAATCGAGTACGAACAAAAAAATTACGGTCAATCTATTGCCATCGGCAAATCCAAAATGGCCGCCCCCTACGTGCGTCGGCATGGCGCGTCGGCCATTTCTGCCTATGTGTTTCCCATGTGTGGCACTTCGTACGTGTGCTGAGGAGTTCGTCATCTAGTAGTGCATTAGTATCGACGGCGTGGAAGGGCCGACTCCAAAAACTCGAGTGCATCACGATGCCGCTTTTAAAAGAAAAGTCATCGCGTGTGCAGAAACGGACGAAAATCGGGCCGCATCGCGGTCGTTCGGAGTTCCCGAAACGTGCGTGCGGGACCGGCGGAAACAAAAGCAGAAGATTGTCGACAGCAAAGCTTCACGCAAAGGCTTCAGTGGACCACAGCAAGGTCGGTTTCCGCAAATTAAAGAGCTGCTCGGCGAGTATGTGCTTGAGCAGCGAGCGGCACATGCGGCCCTTGACGACAGAACTGCTCCAAGTGCGGGCTATGCAGTTAGCTTTAGAAAAAGGGCTAATGCGGAGCCAGTTCAAAGCGAGCAGGTGCTGGCTAACTAACTTTATGAAGAGGAAAGGCTTTTCCCTCCGAAGGGGAACATGCATATGCGAAAAGTTTTGCGGAGGAGTACGATAAAAAGCTTCGCAGTTTTCAGAGGTTCGTCCTAAACTTGCGGCGCAACAGCGGCTACCTGCTTGGGCAAATCAGGAATGCCAATTAGACGCCTCTTTACTTCGACATGCCTGGCACCACAACCGTCGAGAAGACGGGGGCAAAGCAAGTTCGCGTGCTGACATCGGTCCACGGTAAAACTACACTGACGGCAATGCTCTGTTACAAATATGAGGCACAAGCTTCGCCTGTACCTCATATTTAAATGGAAGACGCTCCCGAAAGGAGTCGTTTTTTCGAGTGGTGTGATCCTGCGGGCCAGCGAGAAAAATGGGTGCGCGTTGCAATCGATGTCTTACGTTTTTTTTTTTTTTTTTTCGCGGTGGAAATCGGGTGCGCGTTACAATCGAGGGCGCGATAGAATCGAGTAAATACGGTAATTTAAATTCCAATACTATACTATTAGTTCAAACATTTGAAGAATTCGAATATTCGCACAAGCCTACTAAAAATTCTTTACTGCAAATATTTTCCTGCATCCCATTTTCCAAGATTAATAGGTTAGAGAAAACGCTCTCTCCACGAATGAAGCACAGTGGATGGCTGCACTACATGGCTCGAACCCTCAAGGTCGACTGAGGGCCATTCAGCAAGCTCGCGAACAGACAGGTTCTCCATGCCATCTCGAGGACAGCCCAAGCACTAATTTGGTAGCTTTCAATAAAAGTTGTTACCACCACCTTTCTTGAAAAGTACTTCTTTGCCGTATCAACACTGTGACATTTCTGTTCTTGATGTATGCAAGTGCCGTGGCATCGTGAAAAAAGCAATTTTCATTCCTCAATTATACGACTTGTTAGAGCAGTGTGCTGTGTTGATTGCATACGGCTAACTACCTTTACTGTACTAAATGTGTAATAAATATTCTTTTTGTTACTTTTTCCTAGTGTGTACTATGTCCTTTATCTCTTTTGCCCTATAACCCAAGCAGCGACTTGCTACTTTCATGCAGCAGTACAGCTACATAGATGCATTAAATATAGCTTCCTCACCTGCAAGCGACGATGCTTTTCGATGAGACTGAAAGAAAAAAAGAAAGTTATGAACAGCTGTGCAACATCGCAGTACCCAAACTTTAACTACAAAAAGCTATGCGGGCCACACATGAAGGCTAGTGTTGTTATTTGGTAACAACACTTATTCATGTATGCCATTTTAATGCAGTTAATGCCAATGTTGCTAAACTACTATTTACCGAAAGCAGCTGTGCTTATTGCGAGGATGGGAAAAAATAATTTATTTGTTGCAACGATAAGCTGAAATAAATTGGTAGCTGTGAGACATGCATACTAATTATTAAGTTAATTACTCTGTACATAGAATCAATAGACATTAGAGCTACTACTATTGAATAGTAATAAAACACAAATAAGGAATGTTAAAAAGTGTGTGGCCTGGAGCCTGCCTTTGCTATTCCTTTTCTCTGCGTACAAAACTTTGATACCTGAAATGTTATCATGTAACTACACAGGGGCACAAAAAGATGGGGATACTGCAGTTACGTAGTTATAGAAACACCGTGTAGATACGCTGCGTAATCATGCACGCCATTGGCCCACATTGTATGTAGCCACAGGATCAACATACATACTGGTCGATTCACAAATGTTTAAATATGGTAGCTTATGCACAGAGAAACGTAACCAAAGACTTTTAACAAGTCAGGCATGCTCCTAACAACGCTTCTAGTGCAAGTTGATTTAATTTTGTAGACGTAATTGTTTTGCGTGATGATATGACAGATTGATAATAACTGATGAGGTTTATCACCCCCAAAACCAAGATATCATTGTAAGAGATGCTAGGTGCAGAGAGAAACGTGCAGTCTTGCAGAACCTGTTATTTCTCACCGTCTGTCATCTTTGCACCCAAAAAGTCATGTTCAGTTATCTTTTCTTGATGGTTCACACTTCAATTAGCTTTCTCTGCATACAAGCTAACTATCTTCTTTCTTGCCCACCGAATATAGGCGAGCTAGGCTAGCGAACACTGCCAAAGAAAGCAGCTGTTACCCAAAAAAACACAAGTCAATTGTCAAAATGTCTTCAGCAACATTTCTCACTTGAGGACTTCTTATTGCTTCAAACTTCTAATTTTCCCTGAGCTTTTGTTGTGTTTGTGTTTCTCCTGAGTAAAGCTGTATTGAGAAAAATGCAACAGCTTGAAATATGAGCGCTACACGTAGACAGGGACAGGAATGGCACAAACAAGCGCTTACTACCAACTGAAAATTTAATCAGAAAGTTGAGAAATATATATTGACAGACAAAACGTTTCGTAAGCACATACCACACTGTAAACCAAACAAAACAAAACCGATAAACTATATATGTTAGCCCCACCTCATACCAATGGCAATTTTGCCTTACAGTGATTCCTCTGCACCTATAGAATCTGCCACTGTCCAAAAACGCGAGCTCCTTGTTGGACAGAGCTATTGACAGTTTGCTCACACAAGTCAAGTTACCACGCGCTATGTTTGCAGCTTCAATGATAACGCTTGTGTCCTCACCTTTATGTTTATTAACCACAACTGTAATGTCAAACTGAACTTCACAGCCACATCTACCGACATTGTTGGGCCAGAAAAACATCGTTGCCGCTGTGAACATTGCACGCATGCACTTGTCCATGTCTTTCCTGTCCCTGTCTACGTATCGTAATTCAAACCATTATGAATAAAACTTGCCCAATAAACCATTTTGACAACGCAGCAGTTCAATGCAAGTAGCTCTAAAAAAAGTTACAATGCTCACCAGCCAAGCAGTGTGAAGGGCGATTACCATGGTGGCAGCTAGCAGGCCACAGCAGGCCAGCAGAAGTGGCACCGGGGACGACAACAGAGGCCAGTCCAGTGCTGCTCGCAAAGGCTCGGGCAACTGAAAAACGGGACATTAACGAGGCACAAAATATTAGAAAACCGGTGCACACAGCCTGCACATAATGCACGTTAAACAGTTCTGTTTTTTAGGGGCGAAGCTCCTTAGGGCGTGGGCTGTGCGTCCCCTGTAGCCTGTATGTAGCCACCTCTAGTTTAGTTCTTGCAGTGTTCACTAGATGGCGGAACCGTCCCCTGTATGTAGCCACCTCTAGTTTAGTTCTTGCAGTGTTCACTAGATGGCTGTACCGTCTCCTGTATGTAGCCACCTCTCGTTTAGTTCTTGTAGTGTTTACTAGATGGTGGTACTTGTAGCTGATGATGAAAAGATGCAAGATGTTATAAACTAGAAAGCGGTACTTGTAGTTGATGAAAGACGCGAGATCTTATAAAATAGGAATGATGTCACATATGGCGCGTGTCATTGGTTGAAGGCAATCGTTCGATTTAGTGCGGCGACGTACGCTAGGGGGAGCGATGTAATAAAATGGAGTGGGCAAAATGTACAGAGGATTCATGGTTTACCAGGTTTACCTCCGGAGCTTCGCCCACTAATCATCATTCACTTCGTGGATATGGCGGAATTTTTTTGATCTAGTTGAAATTGCATAACAGCAGTTAATTAAATGGGGCTTTTCACGCCGAAACCCCTGTATGATTATGACAAGCGCTATAGTAACAGACACCGGCTAAGTCTTCAATATTTCGGGTCCTTACTGCGGACTTAAATCTAAGTAAACATGTGTTGCACTTCGTCACAGCCAAGAAGCATTCCCCACAAATCTCACCTCCGTCAACCAACATCTTCAAGCTCACCTCATGAGCAACACCTACCCTGACAAGTACGTACTATTCTAGGGGCTCACAATTAAAATATCTTGCTAACTGCATTAGTGATAGTCTTATTTCACTTGACATGTTCAGAACTGCTTAGACTGGTACATTATTATGTCACACATATTGCTATATCTACTGACGCATCTTTTTAATGAATAGTTTCTGTGTTTGCAATATAAAATATTTAATGTTTTTAAATTATCACACTACTAACCACCCTTCACTCACATTTCAAAGGACTCACCAGAGCAAGCATCTGCCAGAAGTACTCCTCGACCACTCCCCAGTCTGTGGTGCCACCGCTCGATTGCTCTTGGCTCGGCTCCGTCTCGGCTTGCTCTGGTGAAGCGGCCAGGCCATCTGCTGGCAGCAAGGAGAGAGACACGAGAGCCTCAGCGGTGGGTTCTGCAGGTGCGACTTCTCCTTGCGAAGTCGCAACGGATTCCAAATCCACTTGACTGCTAGGTTCTGTAGGTGGTGCTACTGAAGACATAGGGGTAGCCGCACTTTCTGCAGAAGACTTCTCAAGCTGTGGAGCATCAGGCAGTGAAAGCGATGGAGTTTCGTCAGACAGTGGAGCCAATGGTGTAGTAACGAAGAGATCTTCTGAGGCAGCAGTGTAGGCACGATTCTCTTCCAGTGAAGGTGCAGCCAAGATGGATTCCAAAGGCGCAACAAAAGAGCTTTCCGCTATGCCTTCGTATGAAAACGGCAACACTGTTGTTCCAAGGCTATCATCCGCAGACGATGACCCTAACTGCGAGACAAGGGACTCGGAAAGTGGGGCACTTTGCATATGCTTTTCCTGCAATGACACGGGCAATTCAGACACTGCAGGTTCGACAGCAGAGCTTGAACTCAGACTAGCCTCTACAGGCTGTGGTGCTGGAACAGATGAAATGGGGGCTTCGTCTGACCCAGTTGACAATATAGCCACGGAACTGTCCACGATGGAAGACTTCTTCGTCAAGCTCGGTTCAATTGGGGGCACAGTTGAATCTGTCAAACTAAGTCCTTCAGTAGAGCTTTCAAAGGGCTCTGTTTCCAGAGACGAAGGTGATTCAAAAGTAGAGGCATAAAACTGCTCAGACAGCAGTAGTGATGAAATACCCACCTCTTCGTATGTAGATGGCTTTGAATGCAGCTGGTCTGAGAGTGGATCAACTGAACTCGAAGTCAGGGCAGGTTCATGAATGGAATTTGTACCAAGCCCAGTCTCCACGGGCAGTGAAGATGCAGTTGACAATGAAGAAGGCTGCTTGAGCGACTGCGACGAATAAACGTCCTGTGAAGATGTTGGTATGGCGGGAAGCTGAGACTCTGTGGAAGGCTCATCCACGTCAGTAATTAGTGAAGGCTTATCCACTAAACTAGCACTCGAACCTGTTTCCGAAGGCAGTGGATTTCCAGCCTCGCTGGTTGATGCTGATGATGGCAGAGGAAGTGCTGTTGAGGACGGAAATTCACCTTCGCTGGTTGATGCTTTTGAGTGCAGAGAAAGAACTGTTGAAGACAGAAGTTGATCGGTGGTAGCCGAGTCGGGTTGCTGAACCGGCAGTGATGGCGTGGACAGGCTGGCAAATGCAATTGTACCTGAAGAACCTGCACCGAGGTCTGTTCTGGATGGTTCCAAGGACGAAGCTGCTTCTGTAGTTTCCCCATCGTCTTTCAAGTGGTCCTCGTCTGAAGGTGTCTCATCCTCCTCGTCAACTTCACCGGGAATAGGCTTTTCTTCCTTAGCATCTTGCTCATCTTCGTCTTCCACCTCAACCGACACCTCGACACCTTCATCTTTTGCCGTCTCCAAAGAGGCATCCAACGGCTGCTCACTAGAGGCTGCCTTTTCTTTTCCAACATCTACATCGTCAATTTCTGTATGGTTCAAACCAGGAATTTCCGTGCTGCTCACTATCATGGTCTCTTCTGAAGCTTTACTACCATACACTTCAGATGACAAATCAAGCTTTATATCAGTCGTAAATGAGGGTGACCAGCTGTCGAGAGAAGATGTTGGCGAATCACCCACGCTGCTCTCCAGCTGAGTCACGGCATTGACCTCCTCAATCAGCTCGCTGGCTTCTTCGTCGTCGCATATAGAACCGCTCATAACAGTGCCATATATCCGGCACCTTTTCATGACTGGTGGACTAGGCGTCGCCTCTGTGGGCACGGGCTCTGTGAGTTGTGCTGTGGCTGCAAGCAAAAGCATTCTCAGCAACACTGTAAACACTGCAAGAGTTGAAGCTGGGGCAAGTTAGTCAGGATCCATTAAAGGGACACCAAAGAGAAACAACGAGTTGTTTTAGATTGATAAACTGCACTCTGAAAACTATAGTGTCATCAGTTTCGCTATCGTAAGTTCATTATTATCAGAGAAAATCAAGGTTGAAGTTTTTTTAAATTTCGCACTGTAATCTTAGAGTGCGGCATAATAAATTCCACAATGTATTTTTCACATTTTTGCGCCATTGGCTCGATGAAATTTTCTGAAACTTCGTATTCTAAGTCTATGGCACCCACCGATGACAATGTACTTCAATTTTATCGATTAGAAGGTACGTAGGACGCAGTAGATGCCTTCAAAATTTATGATATCAGAGTGTCTGGTGCGAAAATCTCAAGGTGGCATCTCCACCTGTAGTTTTTTTTCACATGCTCTATCGCTTACTAAATGCCGTGTCAGGGTAAGAGTGATGTTTTTGTGATTGTGAAATTGTACTTTACTAATATGCAAAAAAGTGTTTCGCTCTTTAGTGTCCCTTTAAGAAGAAATCAGCAGCACATATCAGAACGGGAAAGAAGTGTTGACAAAGGAAAAGCTAAGAGCATAACTGGCATATCAGTAGCCGAAATCAAACGAGTATTCAGCAAGGTAATCAACTTCTCTATCAGATAGTACATTGTGCCCCTGCTTGTCCCATCCCATTTTCCAAACTTGTATGTGCACGTCGCATAAGTTGGTTCTTCCAAAGTAAGCAACCTAGATAAACAATTTTCTGTAATTTCTAGGGCCTAGTTGCCCCCCCCCCCCATACCATGCATTCTTTTTTTTTTTTCACCAAACCTCCTAACTTTACCTCTGTGTCTTGCAAATTCATCATTAACACTTTGTCCATTTAGGTTTTCAATTATAATTTAGTATTTCATAAATACCATCGTTAATGAAAGGAACCCGTCATCTGAAAACGATAAGCTGATGTGATGACGTCGGTTAATTTTTATTCTTTCTAATCTAGTGTTCTTAATACTTCTAACCATGCAGTCAAGTAATCATATAGGAATTGAAGTGGCACCCACAACAGCACCAGCAATCGTCGTCATTTCATCATTCCTATTACATATAACTCTCATTCGCAACTACATATGCCTGAATAACAAATGTGTGTGTCATAATAGACTAGAATTATTTCATAATAGACTAGAATTATGAAAATGCTATTGTCACAATAAGAACAATTGGAGTTACCTTGTGTTGCTTCCTCTGGAACAGACTTTGAGGGTTGCATGGACTCAATCTGGAAATTTGAAGAAATCCCTGTTACTAAATATCAAACATTACCAAGCCGTGCAGTCTCCTTACCTCAACTTCCACCAGCTGATCTTTAGTAAAAAACATTCTTTCAATCTTGATGACATTCTCAGGGGCATAGCCACGTTTCTCGCCGACCTGCAAACATCAGACCTAGAGTGAGATGCCGACTCTGGTATGGTGGGGAAGGAAACAGCCCAATTCATCTATCATGCCACTTGCTGAACTCAGTTCTGAAACCCAGAGATGCCTAGGAACAAATCTACAGAGGCTAGCAAACTAAAGTGCCATCAGGAAGCGAAGACATAAAACATTGCATCACTACAGTCTTTGCAGTCACTGCGCGAGTCGTCGTGGAAAAAACGAGGTGAAGTGCCGTTCAAGAAGAAGGCAATAAGCCTGAGTTCATAATATCATCTGCAAGAAGCAAACTGCAAACGTTATCCCACTAATCACTTATTAAAGCATGCAATCTGCTGCAATGCAAAACACTAGAAAATGTTTTCAATCAGTTTTTCATCTACAGATTGCGCCACAATCAGCAGAGTTCCCAGGATAACAACCAATGGTGCGTTTGTATTCTGATACACTGCTTGTGAAGAGTTTTGACCAAACAACTTTTTGCAAATGTAATGAGGAATAAGGTTGACAATGATAGCAATAGAGGCCCAACACATGACAAGCTAAATGGTGAATAAAAGTCGGGAAAACGATTTTCTAACATTCAAATAAACTCTGTATGGCCAAAAAAGTATAGGTTCATCCTCTTTGCCAGAACTCAGCGAATTTGTCGAGGCGGTGCAGCACTTTGCCATTCATTCCAAAAAGTCTACAAGAAATTGATGCCAAGTTACCTCGACAAGCCCAAAGAGCTTGTGAAGAATTGCACTCGCAAATGGCTGTCTAAGAAGATGTAGGTAAATTGTATACAGTGTTATTATTCAAACACTGCCATCATTCAAAGTGTGAGTCGAGCTACTTCGCGGGTGAGTATATGCAGAACAGCTCCAACCTCGTAGCTTTCCCTTCATTGCCAAGAAAATTTGGTAAAGGTACCTTGAAATTAAAGTAGCTTCCCACTTCACACTCCTAAGGTATATGGATCCTTTCACTTGGATAAACTTTTTTCAGGTTGAGCTGCATGCATTGTGTTTTATCGTTCAGCAGTAATTTAATTTTTCCATTTAATCACATGTTCCGCAAAAAATATGCGACGGATGTTCTCTCCTGTAACTGTGGACGAGGGCCAGCAGGTAGACTGGCATACAAGTTTTCATTTTTTCACTCAGTGTGGTGTGTCATCCAACAGATTCATAACTTTTGTACAAACATTAATAGTGAATATTAGAGGCGTGCCGTTATAGTGCTAATTGTTGCTGTCCATGAACACAATTTGAGACTAGCACCAACACTAAGCAGCCTCTGTCAATGTGTTCATGACAGAGACACAGTGTACAGTATATAGATGGCTTGTACTGACATAAATGTCATGTTATTGTGGTAAAAGCATAGCAGGAAACTGGCTCTATAACATAACATGAACATTATCAGACATTTCATGCAGTACCTGCCGTTATTCTGGCACAGAAGCAAGCAATGTTTTGGATGAATCGTCACGACATTAAGGAAGGTTGGCCACAGCAATGTACATGCTACGTTAACATCAGTGTACCTGCTAACTCGTACTTCAAGAATCTGTGTTCATAACATTATGTGCAAGCTCTCAATATATTTATGCACATGGCACAGCTCGAAGTCTGGACACCCAGTGCACTGCGTGAAATCGGCATTTTCGTGCCAGCCTGTGTGAAACAACGGTACCCAAGCAACAAGTTTGGTGCCAGGCTAAAGAACGTCGTACTGCAGACCAGTCTATAGAGATTAGAGCAGCGAATACCTGAATGTGCAGGACATCGCTTTTCTCCGTTTTGCCGAAAACTGTGACCTTTTCATTCTTGCCGAAACTGATGTAACCGTCCACTATAGGAGCGTAGGCCTGTAACGTGATTCCTTCGCCTAGTTTTCCTGCAACAAAATAATACAGAACAATCCTGCTGTTCATTAAGACAAATTAAGCTGGAATCAATACGTCGCGTGCCAACCACAAGACAAAGCAGACACGAAGTCCTACAAGCACAGCGTGAATACGCTGCAACTTTATTCCGTAGCGCTAACGTTAGTTCCGTGCGGTGGTGTCGGAGTGTCAACTAACAAGAACCACTGCGCTTGCTGGGAACGGCCAGCGGGTTTCCCCTGAGAAAAATTATGTAATACAGAGCGAGCGAGTTAAAAACGGCGCGACACAGGTGACCTTATTTCAGCGCCGTTGAAGCGAGCCAAGAAATCAGCGAACGGTGCAATCGTTCGGAGATGAGAACATTCCCAGCGTTATCAGTGTAGCCTCATTAAAAATAATGTCACGTTTTTAAAAGATCGACACACGACACTACCCGCGGGTATTCCTAGGTTACTGGCTCGACATTGGGTAAGGTAAACGGTCCGGTAAAGACGAAAGTGCACAAGAGAAACAACAGCAATATGTTTTCGCGTGACACAAGCTGTCAGCACTTCAGAAACCAGCGCACAAAAAACGACTGGTTTCGCACCAACTGGCTGGTATCTTACCTTGACACCCTTTGTCAACACATAAGATGCGTGTCGGTGGACTTGGAGCTCTAACGAAGTTAATTTCACATAGAATAGCTAGGAAGAGCACGGCGCAAGGAAAAGCGCTTGCGAACGCCATGCTCAAAGTTGTAGTACACGTCAGGAGGAACGGAGGCTAAAAGGGGCAGCAGCGCCGTCCACTACGAACTGACGGCACGGCGCGGGGCCGAATGAGATCGATGCTTTCGTGTTGACGAGCTAGCCGAGAAACACGAACGCAACATATGTTTTCGGTCAGGTCATCAGCCGCCACATTTACACAATTTGTACTCGAGTAATGGGGCCCCGGCTTACTGGTGCAGCAGAATCGGCGGACCATGCCAACTGCGATAACACAGGGGGCGCTGACGTCAATGTGACCTCCATCATCTTCTCAGGTCGGCCGGCGAGCCGAAAGGCCCTATAAACATGTTCCGTGTACCGCTAAACCAGGGGCTCAGGGCCTCTTTCAGGCCCCTGGTGCAGGGTTCGCTTCCCTTGCGCACTGCCGCGTGCCTGCAACAACAGAAACAGCAGGCGAAGCCCGAGAAAATCGAGGTTTTCATTGACGACCAGCCCGTGCTGGTCGATCCTGGTACCACCGTGCTTCAAGCTGCTGCGATGGTCGGGGTCGAAATCCCGCGTTTCTGCTACCACGAGCGGCTCTCCGTAGCCGGGAACTGCCGCATGTGCCTCGTGGAAGTAGAGAAATCACCAAAGCCTGTGGCCGCGTGCGCGATGCCCGTGATGAAGGGCTGGCGAGTGCGCACCGACTCGCCCATGACGCGCAAGGCACGCGAGGGAGTCATGGAGTTCTTGCTCATGAACCATCCGCTGGACTGCCCCATCTGCGATCAGGGGGGCGAGTGCGACCTGCAGGACCAATCCATGGCCTTCGGGAGCGACCGTAGCCGCTTCACGGACGTGCAATACTCGGGAAAGCGCGCCGTCGAGGACAAGGACGTGGGACCTCTGGTCAAGACCATCATGACCCGGTGCATCCAGTGCACCCGTTGCATACGCTTCGCCAGCGAGGTGGCCGGAGTGGACGATCTTGGCACCACAGGCCGGGGCAATGATATGCAGGTGCCTCGAATTCCTTTCCTGTCTTGCATTGCCTTCCCGCTGCAACAATCAAGATGCGCAGATGGCGTATCTTTCATTTGTTTGAAAGGTCATCTTTCATTCGAAACTGCTACCGTAACTATCTATACTTCTTTCGTGTCCTCATGCATCAAATGCAATATAAAAAAATGCGTGCTTTTTGTAACTATTTCTTTTGGCTGGATATATATGTGCGTGAAAGCCTCTGTCAGACGTTAACATTCCCACAAGCGAATTTGCCTCGGTTGAAGTTGTTGACATGTACACATAGCTTTGCGAACAAACACTGGCTAACTTGTGATTATACCGGAACTTGTGCAAGTGGCACTTTATAAAACTTGCATCATGTCCAATGCTTTCAAAATGTACATTGCAGATATTCTCTCAGTTGAATTGCCCTTGGTGCTGAAGCAGTTCTGTTGTTCAGGTGGGCACCTACGTGGAAAAGATGTTCATGTCGGAACTGTCGGGCAATGTGATTGACCTGTGTCCCGTGGGTGCCTTGACATCCAAGCCGTACTCTTTCGTGGCCCGGCCGTGGGAGACGCGCAAGGTGGAGAGCATCGACGTCCTTGACGGCTTGGGCAGCAACATTGTGCTTAGCACCCGCACGGGCGACCTGCTGCGGGTGCTTCCACGGGGTAACGATGACATCAATGAGGAGTGGATTGCGGACAAGACGCGATTTGCCTGCGATGGCCTCCGTCGACAGCGCCTCACGACACCAATGCTGCGAGACCAGCAGGTAGGACTTCATCGCAGCATAGGCCCAACCACCTAAAGCACGAGAGCTCAGGTTTTGCTCTCTTTAGCATCACTACACACGTCTCTATATGGTATTGGAGTAGAGCAGCCTCCTGAAGCCACCGCAACCAAAACTGCCAGCCCGTTCTCTATAATCAAGTTTATTTCTTCTGAATATTTCATGTCTAGAAAGGAGTGAATTGGTCCATTCAATGTGGCTAAGCAACAGTTTGAATGAGTATGCTAAAGCACATGCATCTTTTTTTTTTTTTTTTCAAACGGTCAAAGGCTAGTACACAAGCAGTACTTGTATAGACATACTTTTTTTTTAAATAGACAGTATCTCCTTGCCTTGCAAATAAATTGTTTTAGCATAACTGTAATCCACTCTTTAGTAACAACATGTTCTTGCACTGTTCGAAATATCAGGAAATTTGCTGTGGTAAGGTCTGCCAAAATGTAAAATTGCTGTAAACTGATGTAGAATGATGGAAACTTCATAATGTAGCCATTTCTGTAATAATAGCTGGTGATAAACATTAGATGTGCCCTGTCTTATAGCACATAAGTCATTTGCAAATAATGAGATTGTTTTACATTTTAGCAGAATAGGCAACTTGTGTTTATTCAGGTACAATTCATAGCGGCAACCACGGGAAAGAAGCTTCCCTTGAATTTTCAGTGGCAGCCACATGATGCTGGCCGGAATGCACCGGCTTTCACACCATGCTAGCGATTTTGGCTGTTGGTGCTTTAAGGGAATGCCAAAGAGAACTATTCTTTCATAGTAATAAACTACTTTATTACATTGCCAAAAGCATGACTCGTGCCTCAGAAAGATCCTTGGCACGAGAAGAAATGGCAGTGGTAGTACAGAAATACATCAGGATTTCTTTTTATGGAGATACTTTGGGCTCCATTGTGTGTTTCGTCACCTTTTATTTGCACTCTGTTTAATTCTCTCAAATATTGCTACTTGTAGAAACCTTTTTTTTTTTTTTTCGAACTGAGAGTTATGCAGTTTCTAATATTTTACATTGTAATCTCAATTTTCGGTTGTCAAGTGTGTTGCACTATGCTGTGACGTAAGAGAGATATTAAGTGGCACCCGGTTAGAGTGCATTTAGTTTAGTTAAGTGCATCTGCTCATTTTATTGCACATTGATCGGTTGTATAGAGCTTCAGAGTTAACATACTGCAGCAGTTGTCACTGCCAGCTCTCAATTTCTGTCGAATCATCCCGAAATCGCTCGCTTAAATGGACAGTTCATACTTGGCAGACTTTCCTGAAAGTACGCTTCTCATGCAGTCTACACCTTTGTTTGTTTAGGCCCTGAGCTCACAATGTTCTAACACATGGTACAGGGAGTGCTACAGCCATGTGGCTGGCCAGAGGTCCTGTCGGCAGTGGGCAGCCGTCTGTCGTCTGCGGCTAAGGCTGCGTCTCCAGATGGCACGGGAGGTATCGTGGCCATTGCAGGTGCCTTGGCAGACGCGGAGGGCATGTTGGCGCTGAAGGACCTGCTCAACACGCTGGGCTCAGAAATACTCTGCACAGAAGAACGGTTCCCGGGATCAGCGGACATGCGTTCTGACTACCTGTTTGGTGCGGGACTGGCCGCCGTCGACGAGGCAGACCTAGTGCTGTTCCTCGGTGCCAACCCACGGTGGGAGGCGACTACGCTAAATGCGCGCATCCGTAAGAATTGGCTGCACAACGAGCTTCAGGTGGCTTCTGTTGGCCCACCCATTGACTTCACCTACGAGTGTGAACAGCTGGGTGACAGCCCTTCCACCCTGCAAGCCCTAGCATCGGGATCACATCCGTTTTGCAAGGTGAGCACTACTAAAGCCAGCGCTGTCGCGGCTTGAAGGAACAGTTTAACGTGATTGCTTCATATGCATGGAAGCAGCTCGGGTTGTAATCATCTCTAGTAGTATGATGAGTGGCTAATGTAAGCACCACCCACAGAATCATGGCTTGCCTACCCTTTCCGGAGAAATGCCGACAGTGGTAAATGTCGTCAGAGCCCAGAAGGAGCTTATGTCTCGGCATTATTCAAGCAAAACAAAACAAAAATAATGACAGAAGGTTGCTACTTGTCATGCTGGTATTATTTATAGAAAGTTAGTAAGTGGGTCAAAGTTTCTTGGAATCAACACAGCCAAAAGAACAATCAGTGACAATGCCGGTATTGTAATTTTTTTCTAAAGATTAAACAATCAATGACTTGGCCACGCAGTATTCCCAAAAGCCTTAGGTCTCAATTATCTTGCATGCAAGTTGGCTGTTGCTTCTTGTAACAATGGTGCGTTTTTTTATAGAAACCATCAAAACTCAATTGAATGAAGTGATGACAGCACTCGTATTTCATTAAATCTGAAAGTTCGTAAAATCGCAAAAAAAAAGTCTTACGGTTGTTCGAAATTTACAATTGTAACATAGTAACACCCAAAAGCTACCTTGGCATTGAATTTGCTGATAATCTATTCCAGCATGTATAAAAAGTCTGTGAATGTGGCCTAGACATGCAAGTGCTTAGGTGCACCGATTGGCCTCATCAAAATGAATCAAGGATCGTGAATAAGGTTACTGGAATGGTCAAAGTAAAACCTTTAGAAAATTGAAATTGCTCCAGCCACAGTTCAAATAGAGCCCGACGTTTCGAGACCGACTCGGTCCCTTCCTCAGGGGGTGACTGTCTTGGTCATGGAAGTGTCGTCGCGTCGTGTTCTCTCACCACGGCTCCGGCTTTCCCTTTCCACCACGTTTCGGAGACCGTGAACGTACACCGAAGGCATTGTTCCCAGCGAGCGGTTCACGTTGGCAGGCGTATGCTGAATGTGCCAAGACTCGAGCAAGAGCCTCTTTCCCAAATTCCGTTCTGTTTCAATAACAGAAGCGCCGTCTAAGTCAATTTTATGGTCGTGCTTCTCGCAGTGCTCCGCCAGAGCGCTACGTTGCACTTCCATCTTCCTGACGTCGTTCTTGTGTGGCGCATTCTTTCCGGGAAACACTTGCTCTCGCCTATGTAGCAGGCTGGACACCCAGAACACGACACTTTGTAGACAACGCCCGGGTGTAGCTCCCTCGGAGGTCGGTCTTTCGGCCGCGGTAGCAAGCGAGCGAGCGTCGAAACAGGTTTATGGATTACCGTGACCCCGGCTTTTCCTAGGATTCGGGAGAGCTGTTCACTTATGCCCGGCACATATGGAATGGCGACGCGGTTGTTTGGCGTCTTCGTTTCTCTCGTGTGCGGTGGTGTGGCCAGGGCGGAAAGGGGGTCGGGCGGTGTGTCGCTTGCAGGTGTCTTTCCGCGGTGCGGTGGTTGTCGTCTCAACAAACGGCGTGACGCCCGGCGGATGAACGCTTCTGTGTAGCCATTCCTTCGTAGCTCGGCGACAATCCTCTTTTCCAAAGGGAAATGAACAAGCTCCTGGCGGATATCTTTAAAGCGCACCCGAAGGCGAGAAACACATACCTCCAGCTCATCTGCCGGAA